ACTAGTCTCATTAGGCTATTTTTTACAATGCCTGTTATTTTGACTTGTCCCATTACATGTCACTTTTTATAATCAAATGTTTTATATTTTTTAATAGAATATAAGGTATTCCTAATTTTGTCATCCGTTCTCTCCTTGCATTTCACTTATTTGTTCTCTTCACCTCTTAGCTGGATGAAGATGATTTCAAAGAGGAGCAGAATTCTGTTGCCCGTCTAATCCAGATGCTTTATAATGATGATCCGGAAGAAATGTTTAAGGTGAATTGCTAATATCCATGTTTTATGATGATGAACAAAATAATTTTTGTTTTGTACTTGTTTTTTCTGCTGGAACTTTTTCTCTTCCTAATACCTATTAATAATTGCAGCTGACTTCACTTTGTTCTTACTGGTACTTCTGTACTGAAGCTGCACATGGAATTTACCTGAGCAAATATTAGGAAAAAAACTTTGTCAAGCATTAAACTGAAATTTCCAATTGGTGTTTACTTAGGATATTTCTTTAGAACTTTAATGTAGATCATAACTGTTTATGGACTCCTGTAAATATGAATGCTATGTGTGATTTAATGTTTTTAACTTAAGTGTAATGATGTTTAATATGATGCGTGTGACTGCAAACTTCATTGTTGACTCCCTATTGAAGGGGGAGGGTATTGTATTTTATGATTTCAACCTTTGATTTGTGTCATAATTTCCATGCATAAAATTGCAGATCATAGATACTGTGAGGAAGCACATACTTACCGGAGGACCAAAACGTCTGCCTTTCACTGTTCCACCTCTTGTTTTTTCTTGTTTGAAGGTTTGGCAGACCTTTTCAATTAGCTGCTTATTGTGTACTTTTTTACTTTGTTGCTTACATCATGATGAATTGGCAGTGATGACAGGAATAACATAGGCTTAGTTTTGATATTGAGATTGATTGAATTATTGAATGAAAATATAAAAGGCTGTCTGCTAATTTTCTGCTTTCCTTTTTTTTATATATAATTCAAAATATTCATGCAGTATGTTCTTTACTATCTACAGTTGGTTAGACAGTTGCAAGGTCAAGACGAAAATCCTTTTGGAGATGATGCATCAACAACACCAAAGAAAATTTTTCAGCTTTTAAATCAGGTAATGCTTTTTTTTCATAAAATTTAAAGAGCATAGGTTTTTCTTCACTTTTTATGGTGATTTATGCCACCATAATTTGGTATGAATGATGAGTGAATATTTAATGATATTGAGGCTGCGAAGATTTGTTGGTACAGCAACTGATAATCTAAACAGTTGACATTGACATGTTATCTCTGTTTTTGGTTTGTGTTAAATTCGATGTATTCTTAAAAGACTATCTACAGTCAATTGGTTACTTTGTTTGATGATACTTTTGTCTTTACTGTCTCAGACCATTGAGACTTTGTCAGGTGTCCTAGCACCAGAATTAGCATTGCAGTTGTACTTGCAATGTGCTGAGGTACTGGAATATATTTGGTTGTTAGAACATCCAAACGATATTTTCTAACTGTATTTGCTGATTTTTATATTTCTTTCATTAAGGCTGCAAATGATTGTGATTTGGAACCAGTTGCATATGAATTTTTCACCCAAGCTTATATTCTATATGAAGAAGAAATTTCTGTAAGTCTTATCATATAACCCCTACTGGTTCTCTCCGTTCATGCTCACAAAATTTATGGTTTAGCTGTGCTCAACTTTGTGCTTGTGTTGTTATTCCAGGATTCCAGAGCACAGGTCACAGCTATCCATTTAATAATAGGAACTCTTCAAAGGATGCATGTCTTTGGTATTGAGAACAGGGATACTTTAACTCACAAGGCCACCGGGGTGATTATTGAATTCCTTTATTTGCTTAGTGCTTAACATATATATATATATATATATATATATATATATATATATATATATTGTACTAAGTCCTCATATTTTGTGCCTTCTCATTGGACAGTATTCAGGAAAGCTTCTAAAGAAGCCAGATAAATGCAGAGCTGTGTATGCATGCTCACATCTGTTTTGGGTTGATGATCATGATACCATGAAAGATGGAGAGAGGTTTGTTTCCATTGATATGACATCTATGTGATGTCAGACCTTTTTTCTTTGCATTGCTATGTTTGTAAGATTGTTTATTGTTTCGGGAGTCTCTGTTTGGTTGAATAGAAATAGTTTTAGGTGAATTTAATTGTTATGCATGTTCAAATACTTCTATTGTAGTTAATTCCATCTTGACTACAACATAGAGCTATGCTGTACATGTAACTATCTATGGTCCCAAAATTGTACAGGCAGTTGTAAAATACACGTGAAATGTGAAAAATATAAATTGAAAATTTGATTTGATACAAAAACTCATAAGATGTGTCACAAAATGAAAGACACATGGCTGCATATAACATGATATCCTGTTTTCAAGAACGGACTCTTGAACCCATAATATTAGAGTGTATTAGAGGATAGTGAGAATGATTTTGTCCAACCCTGCTGTCCCTCAAGGGAGATATTTACATTGACTCTACAGAAAATAAAGATAAGTTGAAAAGGCAGGGTGGGGAGAGAGAAGAGGATGTAGGATGTCTCAAAATTTGTAAGGTATTTGGGAATTTATTTCTGTATTTATCTTATGATTCTGACTGTTTTTGTTGTATTCGTATTTATTTTTGAACCAGGGTCCTATTATGTCTCAAGCGGGCTCTAAGAATTGCAGATGCTGCACAAGAAATGGCAAATGCAGCACGAGGTAGCACTGGATCAGTAATGCTCTTCATTGAGATATTGAACAAGTAAGATTAACATCCATGTTGTTTAGCATTGTTTTTCTTTGCTTTGCAACACAATAAAATGAAATGATGATATGTCTCTGTTTTTTCAAGGTATCTTTACTTCTTTGAGAAAGGAAACCCACAAGTCACCGTAGCTGCTATCCAGGGATTAATTGAGTTAATTATGAATGAAATGCAAAGTGACTCCACAACTCCAGATCCAGCTGCCGATGCTTTCTTCGCCAGTACTATGCGATATATACAGTTCCAAAAACAAAAAGGTGGCACAGTAGGTGAGAAGTATGAGCTCATCAAGGTTTCACATGCTGGATGACCGATTGTCATGATAGATTTTGTTCTTGGGCTGGTCCAGCAATCTTTTTCAATTGTCTTTGGATTTCAACTGAAGAACCACAAGTTTGTGGGTTCCAGATAACTGCAAAAACAACTCGGTCATTTAGTTAGGACTCCGAATTCACTGTGTAGCTAATGAGACTGAGCACAAGTATAAAGATTTACTAGATTTTTTTTTCTCAATTTCACATTAATTAAGAGAAATTATTTGTAGTACAGTTGCTAGATTTAAATTCTTGAAAGTTATGCACAAATGTTTACGAGGATTTATGGATTTCCAGTGTAGTGTCTATGGCCAGACAATTAGTCGTTTTTTCCCTCCTTTATAATGAAATTCTGGTACTTACTAAGGGAGCGTTTTTTCTTTTTAGCTTTGCCTAGTTCATGTTAGCACGGACTTGGTACCCATTGTTAGGAGGGAATGAAATGTTGGATATTTTTGGGTCTTTGTAACGTTACCTTAGCATATCGGTACTTCCGTCTTATTTATTGTATGGTTTTTTTTAACGTGTCAACATGATAAAAAATTATATATGCTATATTTTTATTTAGAAATCGTAAAATTTAATATTGAATTTTTAATAAAAAATATTAATTTTTTATTGATTATTTTTAGTATATATTTAAAAAATGTTATTTTATTAATTTTGAAGCGTAGTTAGATACTAAAATTCTGTAAATGATTGGGGGGTGATAAAAATGGTTACATATGTACTTTCAAATATAAAGACGATATGTGAGAAATTGAGAAAGATGAATGCAACATGTGGACGAGACATTTGACATAGTGCTAATTTCAAGAAAGACAATTAATTAAGGTAATCATGGTGTCAGCATTTTGGAAGACAAGATAAGAATGTTTTAAAATGGTTATTGTCTACAAATCGGGAGACAAGAATCTCTTGCATGTAATTCTAATGGTCGATACTAGATTTTGAAGACGCATGTTAACGTTAGTTTTTTTTTTTTTTTTATGTCAACGAACACACTGGTTAAGAAACTACAAAATCGGGGTAAGAATAAAGGATGGTACCACACCTGCAGAAGATTTTAAAAGCTGTGTAACGGATTTTCTAAAGGATTTCACAAGATTAGTTATTAAATATTCCTATAATTAATGTTTCGCTTCATGATTTTGGTCTTTGAGCAGGGTAATCCACGAGTGTGTTAGCTTCATGGTCTTCAATGAGAATAACCCATAGACATTAGATTGCTTGATGTTTTGCTTCATTATTGCTCTTCAGTGAGTTTCTAAAACTAATAAGACATTTAAGTTTTGGCAAAAAATAATCATCTAGTCTTTGTAATTGGCTTGGTAAAAACTCGACTTCGCACTTCCTGTGCTTATTGGAAGGGTGATTCTCATGTAAGACAAACCGTTTTTATACATAAACCGAAATTCATTGTCGTAGTGCGAAATTAAAAATCATTATTACAATAAACCTAAAAAGTTTCGGCTTAAATTAGTAATCTGAATTTATGCACATTGACTTGATTCATAACCCACTAAAAACACCTTAAAATTAAGATCAGGTCAACGCTCAGAGATTAGTACTTCATCCAAAAAGGCGCAGGGATTCGTCGTCATAAAAAAAAAATTGACGTAGACCAAAAAACATCATTATTAGTAATTAACATTTGTTTATCGAGGAACTTGCGAATTTTCGCGGGGACTGAATGAAAATAATGCGAGGAAAACCCCCTTTATCCCATCAATTCACAACTAAGAAACGACTTAATATGTGCACACAGCCAAGCCTTGTATCGATATATATATATATATATATATCTTAATGCAAGCAAGGTCGTCATCCTAACTGGGACATTCCAGCCTATTAATACAAAAATCAAAACGGAACTTATAAGAAAAAGGTGGGAACCATGGAATGCAAATTTGACTATTAGAGTTGACAATAATTCAAAGAAAGCAAAGCAGTAAACCACCTTATGCTTCAAGGAGATCTAGAGATTTGTCTGAAGAACACCCACATAAACTCCAACTTCTTCAATAACAAAGAAATAATGAAAAGAAAGAAGGGGAGGGTAATACAGGTAGAACAAAGGGCAGGGCAGTCAAATGTTAACACCTAGTGAATCACAATATGGAACAGGCCTTTTGCGCTTTACCCTTCTTTTTCTTCTGCTTAGGTGGTTGAAGGACAACTCTTATGGCTGCATCAAAGACTGCCTTCACGTTCTGCAATAAATGCCCGGAATAAACTTAAACGTGTCAAATTAATCAGTGTGATTTAGGGGGGAAACCAGAAAAACATTCAACTGTGTACCTCCTGTGTTTTTGAACTGCATTCAATGTATGCGGGTGCATTAATCAGCTTCCTAAGCTCTTCTCCCTTTAAGAGAAAGCACATGTCAGATTTACTTTATTAAATAGTTTTACAAGATTCCAGAGCACCAGAAGCAATATTCACCTGAGCTGCGGTAATAGGCACGGCACCAGGATGGTCTGTGCAGAACTGTTTATCATCCCGGAGGTCTATCTCATGACAAATCACAAAATAATATGGAACCAACTTTTAGTCGAGAAAACCATCAATAGCATTTGCGCCAGTCAAGAAACTAAAACAACCAATTTACCCCCTCAATAGACCAAAACAGGCAATGAACCTCACCAGAAGATTATTTGGAAATATTAATACATAGGAGACAGGGCCAGCCTATCCACATATAAATTGCATGAATAAAACTACCAACCAACCAGAAACATCAAAGCACTGACAGTAGCTGCAGTATCAACTATACTGGAAAAACAATGAAGATGAATATCTAAAGAAAAAAGAGGATACAACACGCCAGAAACCCACCCCCTCCTAGCAGGAAAAAACTGACTCAACAATTCGTCAATCAGATAATGGAAAATTTCAAAGATGTTGTAACTAGTAATTGTATCTAAAGTCAACATTTATTGATTATGAAATCCATGGAGTTAGGTTTATATGATTTCATCATAACACAAACCACAATTATCAACATAAAAGCCAGAAGGCAGGATATAATGAATGCATGGTATGACAATAGCAGTATCACATCATGCAGCTATATACTTACCAAGCTTTGTGCCAACCAGAATTATTGGGACACCAGGCGCATAATGCTTCAACTCTGGAATCCACTGAAAATGAAACAAACACGAGCAATTCATCAGCAATTTTCTATAAATTAAATATTTTCTTAACATCTAACACAATCAATATATTGTTCATTAAAGGTCAAACAGAAACCCTGTATTACGTACCTTTTTAGAGACGTTTTCATAACTGGCCTTACTTATGAGAGAGAAAGCCAGAATGAAAACATCGGCACCACGGTAACTCAAAGGTCTTAATCTGTTATAATCCTCTTGTCCTGCTCCACAAATAACACAATAAATCCAGAGAGACTTTCTCACATCCCAGAGTTCGCCGAAATAGAAAAAACGTAATCACGCAACATTACCAGCAGTGTCCCACAAACCCAGGTTAACAATGCTTCCATTGACAACCACATTTGCGCTGAAATTGTCAAAAACAGTCGGCACATAATCCTGTTTCCACGCAGACAGCAGAGTGAAAAGTTAACAATAACAACGGCAATGCCCCTCTTTCTCAGCAGAAAACACACAAATACAATGCTATCAACAGAAACTCCCGCAAATTGTTAACCCAACTGAATAGTCACAAATTCAGCCCCAAAATCTCAAAATACACCCATTTTCACCTTTAAATTCCACATACATTGCTGGCTGATTTCCCCAAATGGAGATACCATGCAAACGAATTTCAAATTTCCCAAATTCAATCATCACCCCAACACCCAAAAATCCACATTTTCATTTCAAACAGTAAGTAAAAAAAAAAAAAAAAACCGAAAATAGAAACACATAAAGAGAAAGAACTGACGGTGGGGAAGGTGTTGCTGGTGTAGGAAATTAGCAAGCAGGTTTTTCCCACAGCTCCATCACCAACAGTGACGCACTTGATGAACCTAGAAGCACTCATCTTTCCAACTCCGAGAAAACCAAAAAAAAAAAAACCGAAACACGAAAGCCTCAGATCTTCACCTGAGGACCAAATCACACGCCCCCTCCAATTTCTTCTTCTTCTCCTCCTCTCCTTCACCTGCTTCCGTCTCAATTACGCATCTGCACCGACCAAAACCCAAACCCAAACCCACAAAACAAAAAGAAGAATCGTCGGTGAATGAAAAACAGAAGAGAAGAATAAAAGAAAATGGCGAAACGAACCCTAATTGCGAAAATGCAGAAAGAGATTGCGAGGGAAAAGGGGGAAATGAGGAAACCCTAACAATGACGGAGAAGAGATGAGAGAAAGAGACGAACCGCGAGATTTTGCTGTTGAACCGTTCATACAACCAAACAAACGATACTATCTATCAAACCCAACAAACTCTGCTGTTATTAACTTTTCATTTTGTTTAAATTAATTCCCACATTTTTCCCATTTTAACTTGGCGTCTTTATCGCACCCATTTTCGGATCCTCACTCGATAATTTCATGGTCGCCGATACTTTCTCACTTATTTTCTCATTTTATTACCATTTTTCAATTCTTTGTATTTTCACGCTAAATCCTTCTTCATTTTCCAATTAAACAATATTAATACATTTTAGATTTTTAATCTAAAACTAGACAACATTTCGTAATCATTATTATTTTTCTCATATCCTCAATCATTTTCAAAAATTATTTTAAATTTCGGTTCATTTGAATGAAATTATTTAAATTTAATTTAGAATTTAATTTTGATATAATCAGTATACAAAATTTTACATTACTTATCAATTAAAATATATGATAAATATCATTTTTAATAAACTATTATAAAAAAATTAGTTTTTATTGATGTAATAATTTTTTTGTAACAATTGATGTAATAATTTATGATTATACAATATAAAAAAAAATTACAATGTTGTGAGTGTATTTTAATTAAAATTTTAATTTATCACTGTTCGAACCAATAACATAAATTAAAAACGTTGTCCTAACAAATACAGACGTTTGTGTGTGTGTGTGTGTAATGTACATTATCTTTTATTTTGTTTTATCTCTGAATATTTTTAAAATTAAATATGAATAAATATTTTTATGTTATCCAATCATTATTTTATAACATAAATATAGATGCATGGTTCTTGCCAATTGATTATACATGAATTTAATTCATTGTTTTGTACATTTATAATTTAATTATGATGCTATACTGTGAAAAATAAAGTGAAAATCATTTGTGAATAGCAATTTTCTTTGGTGAGTTAGTCATCCTCATTGCAGACGGAGCAAGTTCCTCAAAAGATTGGCATTTTGTTCTTTTTAAACGAGTTATAATTTTTTTACACGTATTTTGAACGTCAAAAAAGATACACAAATACATTCCATTAAAAATAATTGCGATACTTGTTACTACTAAAATGATTCAGGATTTCATGTATAGATGATAAACTTTATGTTTATGACCTTTAAAGAATTGTTGAAAGTTCATCCACATCACAGGTTCATTAATTTTTTATGATAATTAAAATTAGAATAATTTTTTCATCCTTTTCCCGTCACGATGGGATCCACATTTCTCTTACACCTGACTTGTCATCAAATTTTAAAAAAAGAGGTATACAGTTTTTCCTTTTCTAAAATGTCAATATATCTAATTTTTGGTACAACATTCCTAGCATGGTGTGAAAGTCGCCAAGGATAAACATCAGATCAAACATCGCTGATTAATTAAGGATGTCTGTTGAATATGAAATGACAACCAACAAAATTTATCTTTACTATTATAATGGACAAAACATGAAACTTGTATTTCCAATTTTTCACGTTTCCTCTGCTAGGCTTTCAAATACAACACACTGAGTCCTTACTCCACAAACAAGAAGTCAAAAACTAGAATTATGTCACGGGTCACTCAAAATTTGCACTAGATGCACAACCAAACAAGCCACTATTCATTATCCTTGTAGTCCTTCTGAGGTACAGACGCTTTTTTTTTTTTTTTGGTGAAGATAGGTATTTAGGATTACCATCTGCTTTATTTTTGAGTATTCATATTTTTTTGCTTAGATGTGACCAGACATTTTCAATAAAGCCAAACAAGAAATGTGATTTAGACTTGTGATTTTTGGAATATTCGGAACCTGTGCTTGGCCATGTAATGTCTACATGTGTTTTAAGACCAAGTTTGAAAATTCCTAACCTTTTAGTGTTTGTTTTCCTGTGCAGTACAATTTGTAAGGAAATTAAGATTTAACTAAATTTATAAAGATGATTCGGAGGCATGATATGAATGCAAGACTTAATTGGACTAGTCATTGAGGCTGAATGGAATTATGGGTAGGGCAAACTTTTTCGTGTTGATTCAAAGTTATGTCCAAATATTTGAAATAATATAATAGGTCTTTCCCACATCTTGTTTTATTGCTAAATTTCAGAGGATTACCAGCTTAGCTTAGAGAAATTACCAACATTACTTTAGATCAGATCATCGACTTTTCAATGTCGTTCTTCTACCTGATTGCATGTCTTTTTCAGAATTTCTTCTTAAAATAGTTTGTGGTCTTAGTTCTATTTGTATATGCAAGTACCACATGTAAAAGTTCACCAAAATTGTCATAAAAAGATAAGGGGTGAGAAGCTTTTTTCCTCTCAAGGAGGTCCATTTTATCAAAGGTTAACAACTTAAGTGAAACGTAAGGTTAAAAATAAGTATGTGGAATTCAGTTCTCCTACTTGACGCACTAGATTTACGTTTCATTGTTTATTCATCAGGTTGGAAATTGACTTTACACAGGCTAGATAGAATGATAATCAATTATCATCCACATGCTCTTTTAATATTTTGCACTTGTATACATCATGATCTTTTTTGTTTTCCGGGTATAAACATTTTTGGGCTTATCCCATTACATATCCGTATGAAAATCATAACTGCCTATTTCTTAACTTCATCCAGTACTTGCAACTGTAACAGTTGGCTTCCGTAAGAACACCACCAGAATTAGAGGAATCATCTTATTCATCAATCGTCATGCCACCGAGTTCTCTTCAACTTTAACACCAGAACAAGAGATTTATGTTGCACAGCTACGAAGTTTAGGTTGTTGACTTTAACCATACCCCCTCCACTTAAAAGAATGAGAGTTATTTCAGCATTGTTGTGAGCAAGAAAAATGATGAGAACAATATGATCTGCTCGGATAATAATTATTGAATATGCCTCAATTTCTAATAATACAACTTTGTAATTGACTCGCGTATATAATGGGGGCCATTGATGGCATTCAAAGTGCACTAGAAAAATACATGAGGTTATCACAACATTCAAGCACTCACTAAAAAATAATTGCATAAAGCTGCAACAGAAACATCAAGCCCAAAGATCAGGATTTACAGAATGCACGCAGCGTATCATCTAGGGTCTTTCTGTCATAATCCCCTGTGAAAACGCAATTGCCTAGGGGACCCTTTAGAAGGATAAGCCTTAGTAATCCATCTGCCACCTTCTTATCAACCTGACATACCAAAATAAAAAAACTGTTAGTCCTGACAAAAACAAAGTGAACCTTAAAATAGAACTGAGCATCAGCCCTTACCGCCATGATAGATTTAAACATGTCCACTGTCATGATCTCAGGGGGGGCTGTAGGTAACTTAGCCTGTTTTAAAATGTCTTGAACTCGCTTCACAATAGAATCATCAATCCAACCTAGGCGATATGACATGTCAACTGCCATTACCTGTGTACATTGGCATACAGATTTCCCTCAATAAGTCTGGCATTCAAAGAAAGACACCGAGGAAAAAACTGGGCAAGAATAATTGCACACAAGTAAGTATAACTCATGGTATTATTTTGTTAAAAGAAAAAAGGAATACCATGCCAGCTGCAACAGCTTCTCCATGAAGCCACTGCCCATAGCCAGACCCAGTTTCTATTGCCTAAAATAAGAGCCACAGGAAAGAGAGTTAAAATCAGCGAGGAAAATTTACAGATAAATAAAAGGCAGGAACAAACTTTGTAGAATAGAGTGATGTTACAACTTGCACAGCAAATAAACACATATTATTAGATGTCCTTAACCGTTATATTTTAAAAGCTCCAATTATGTAAATAATCTGCAAAATTATCAGGGATGGAAGTTTAAGTCAATAGATTAACTCAGAAATTTAGCATGAAAGGGGCATCAATGATTAATTAATCTAACATCATAGGCTGCCATTCATTACAAAGAAGCAATCATATTCATAAGTCATAACAAATTAACATTCTTCATGTTCTATCCTCTGTAGAAGCTTAAATTCCATGTTTGAAATAACCGGACCTGTTGCTTTGGAACATGCTAAATTAAGCTTGGGCACCATACTAACAAATAAAATTTTCTTTAAAATTCCATGTTTCCATTCAATCAAATTATTTTTTCATTATGTTTACAGTTTTATACTTGTTTATAAACACATTAATTTTTAACCCAGGTTATAAATATTATCTGGAGAGTATATAAGCCTAAGGAAGATCTTCCCAATGCAGATTTTACAATTTTGCAACCTAAAATAATATAATAACCATTCATATTACTCACATGACCAAATGTATGACCCAAGTTCAATGTTGCCCTCAGTCCACTTTCCTTCTCATCTAAAGACACAACCTCAGCCTTGTTTTCACAAGATCGCTTTATAGCATATGCTAGTGCACTAGGATCTCTGCAGTGGATAACATTAACTTGTAAAAACTGGACAAGGAAAAAAAACATACTGAAAGCAACTGCACAACATTTTGATAAAAGAAATAGAGCAAAAAGAGAAAGTATGTGGTACTGATGAGCCGTGACGCAGAGAGTACTGCAAAAATGGGATCACATCTTTATGCAATTCTGATACTTGTATTGTATTTTTGAGGTATCTGCTTTTGAAATATCCATCTAAAGTGCTTGCCAGCCTCAATCATTACATAGGGGCTTGAGAGAGGAAGCACAACATGGAACTTGAGTTGGGATAGGATAATCACATGCAGATAAAATTCATTGATTTATATATATAAGTCTGCATATTGCTGATAAGAAAATGCATATTTTGTTTAATATAAATTGTTGTATCCATATCTTAGTTTCTAAAATAGCTATAGTATTTGAGTATTGTATCTTGTCATATTGGATACTTCTATCTATAACCCATGCAACGCAGATTAAATAGTGAAAAGTCATAAGGCTCAAGCCTGAGATACTTTTCTCAGCCAAAAGTACATAGTTTAGTAGAATATTTGCTTTTATCATCCATGAGATGTTTTCACCTATTATTACAAGGTTCATAAAGAAAATGGAGCAGATTAATAAAAGAAATGAAAGGTTGTTACGGAACAGTAAGATACTTCATTAAAAATCTACCTTGCCAGTAATGCCTGCATATTTTTCTCTTGCCACTCAAAAAACTTTGCATCCCTAATGAGCCCATACTTTATAACCTCTGCAAACCCTGATGCCAGTTCCCTATCCGGTAATGTACTTAAAGTGTCCGTGTCTATAAGCACACACTGAGGTTGGTAAAAAGCACCGATCAAGTTCTTTCCAAGGCTATGGTTTATCCCGGTTTTGCCACCAACTGAAGAATCAACCTGGGAACATAACACACAGTCCAATGAATCCAGAAACACAATAACGAAGATTGTGGACACTAGAACCATTAATAGACATCATCACGAAAAGAAATTCGAAAAGGAGCAGCGAAAGACCTGTGCCATAACAGTGGTTGGAATCTGGATAAAGTCAACACCACGCAGGAACGCGGAGGCAGCAAAGCCACACATATCGCCAATCACACCGCCTCCAAGAGCTACAAACGTACACCGCCGATCAAGTCGCGATTCAATGGCCTTATCAAAGACTTTCATAAGATTATCCTATCAATTGAACATACAAACAAACACTCTTTATGCAATTGCCAACAAACACACTTGCCAAATCCCAATTCAAGCACATAATACCAACCATGTCCTTGTACTGTTCACCGTCCGGTAAAATTACAGTCTCAACAGAAACATTAGGGTTTCCACTTGTTAAAGCCTCAACAACTTTATCTAAATACAGTGGTGCAACCGTTTTATTAGTTACAACAAGGACCCTCTTTCCATGCACATGCCTATTACACAACCATAAACTAGTGAGAAAATATTAAACGATACCTCATTAGAAAGTTGAAATAAAATATGAAAAATTGAGTTGTTACCTCTGAAGTAACTGTGGTTGGTGAAGTAACCCGGATCCGATATAAATGGGGTAGCTCCGATTGCCCAAATCGACTTCGACGATGGTGGGTTGGGTTTTGGGTACGAAGGGATCCATGACCTGAGAGGAAGCGGCGCGTATCCTTGACTTGGATGCGGCGGAAAGAGAGGCCCAAGCCCACTTGGGGTTGCAGTTGAAGTGTTTGTTTTTGGGATGGGAGAAGAAAGAGGGTTTGGGGATTGGAGATGGTTGTTTGGTGGAAAGGAAAAGAGAGAAATGGGTGGACGTGGAAGCCATTGGGTCTGAAGGGGATTCAAGAATGGAAGGTCGTGGCTTGGTGGTTGGTGAGTGAAGAAGAGAACTTTAACAACAGCAATAACATGCTCTGTTCGTTGAACAGAAGAAGACGGTGACCATCAGTGGCGGGGTTAGGTGAGGCTAACTATTTTTTATAATATTCATAATAGGAATTTTTATTTGTAAATTTTTTACGTGCTTTATATAATCAAGGAGTATTTTATGCTTTTATATTAAAAAGACATAAATATTTTTTAATATCTTAATATAATTTTAAAAAATATTTAATATATTTTCAAATTTAGAAATATAATAATAAACAATATTTTTATTTTTATAATTAAAATATTTTCATTTTTTGCTTTAATTTTAAAAAAGATTTTTTAAGGGAAAATATATGCATCAATTATTATATTAATTATTTATATTTAAATACTAAGTTTTTTATAATGTTAATAATGTATATCAAGTTTTATAAAGAAATCTCACAAGCGTTTGTTATTATTTAAGGCGTTTAATATCTACAAGTCACGTGTTCTATGTTTAAAAATATTATAATATTGTCATTTGATGATTTATTTATATTAAAATTTAATATATTTTATAGTTGAATAATTAATTTTAAATTTTTAATATAATTATCTTCGTTTACAGTTTTATCACATATACTTTTTAAACTTAAAATTATTTAAAAATAATATGTGAATTATACTTTTTTGTTACAATGATAATTTGTTTTTACTAATTTTATTTTAAATTTAATTATTTTTATTATATTATATAAAATTTAAATTTTACATTTATATGTATAAAATTCTTATTTTTATTTTATATAAATTTTTAAATTTATTACAAATATCTTTGTTTAGTTTAAGTAAATTTATCAACATATATTTATAAGAATAAAAAAACTAAGTAGAAAAACAAATTAAACTCTTTTTATAAGTAAAAATTAATATATATTTATCTATTTTTCAAAAAAATATTTTTATTGGCTTAATATATTAATAGTAAACTTTATGACAATATCTATCGGTAATAAAAGTTTTAAATGCTTATATTTTAATTATTAATAAAAGCTGGTAATAAAATTCAATGATAAAATTTGCCAATACTTTAGAGAAACAAAAATTTATCTTCTAAGTTTTAATATTTTTAAAAACATTAATTTTAAAAAAATGATTTAAAAATAAAAGTTGGACGCTGATATTAAACAAATATCCTGATTCATATACAAATATTTGGAAAAGTTTGATAGATATTCATCAAAATTATCTTTCACAGCTTGAAGAATTGAACTGCGCGGTACACTATTAGTTAACATTTTAAAACTAATTTTATAATAAGACAATTTAATTTTAAAAGAATTGAAAAGTTTTAACTTTTTCATTAATAATAATTAATTTTACATCCAGAGGACAAAATATTTACACGTTAAAAAAAAATACTTAAATATAAATTATTTTTAAACTTAAGTCTTCTAAATTAATTATTTCATAATATTTTTTTCTTCAAAAGTCAAAACAATTAACTAATCTTGAATTTGAATTAAAGTTTAATGTTGGTTTACCATCAATGCAATTCTCTTATTATTGCTATTGGTATTATTATTTAAAACTTTCATTCTTTCATTTTTCAATTTTTATATAGAAAAAGGATAAAGATGTTTTCTCTCGATAAAGATATAAATAAAATAAAACTCAATTTACATTTATTTATTCATAAAAGTACATTAATAATTTATAATTATATATTTTCCTAAATTAGATTGAATTAATTCGACTAAAAAAAAAGAGATATTGAATTAAACGGGAATGAACACAATCAATTAGGATTAAATTCATACAAGGATCGAATTTAATTGAGGATAATTTAAAATATTTAGAACTAAAGCTAATCAACGAAGAGTTTACTTTGCCAAATTAGCCTTGTTTGAAATTTTCCTCGTAGCAAAGAAGGGTTGTTTTCAAGGATTCTCTGTTCTTCTTCCCTGTTGTAATCTCATCGAAGGATCAATCTTTGTCGGAGAGATCGGGTTTGCTCGTAGGTAAATTTTCGTTTTTTCCCTCTGCTTTAGGGTTTTCAAAAGGATCAAACAAAAGTGTAATTAGAAAATGAATTTAATTGAAATCATCAACATAAAATGCCTGAACTGAGATGCATTAGCTACCCCTCATTCTGAATAATGCAAAGTTTATGTATTTGCCCTTTCTCGCTGCTTGGCACAGTGAAACATAACTCTTTCTGGGTGTTCTTTGATTTTGTGTCCTCCTCATACCAAGAGTTTGTGCTTGCTATTGTACCCATTTCAACTGTACAAATGGTTCTCTCTTTAATGGTGGTTTTCTGTTTAATTTTCTTTTTGATTCACCACTGTATGCATGAACAGTTCTCAACTGCATATAGGTTTTTTTCACTAGCTTATTAGTATTATATTATTATTATTTCCCCCTGTCACTCTTTAAATTATTGCTGGCCATAGTCAACTAGAATCCTATGGCCAAAAAAACAGAATCCACTCTTGTCATGACCATTCTCTTCAGTGTGTGTCTGTGTTTGTTTATACCTATTTTTATCAAGCACTTACGTTACTATAACTATATAGATGGCAGGCCAACTTACAAGATCTAGAAGACTTGAAACTCAGCAGCAGGAACAATCAAGGGCTAGGTGGACGATGTCGCTCACTAAGATTCTTGTGGAATTGATGGTTGACCAAGTACATAAAGGGAATAAACATAACAATTTATTTAATAAGAAAGCATGGAAATATATTTGTGATGAATTTTACAACAAAACAGGTCTGAAATGGGACAAGGAACAACTCAAAAACCGATATTCAGTCTTGAGAAGGCAGTATGCTACTGTGAAGTCCATTCTTGATCAGAGTGAATTTGGTTGGGATGAAGCCACCGGATCCATTACAGCTAATGATGAAATTTGGGCTGAATACATCAAGGTATGTTCCTTCATCTTATGCGTTATTGTTTTTAATTAAATATCAAAATATGGTCATGTTGAAGGAGGAAACTTCTGAAACATATTGTCAGTTTGGCTTTCTCTTGTAGAATATGTGCTCACTGATTTAAAAGAAGGAAAGGGAGGGAAGCAGTTTTAATGGAGGGGAGGGAAAATAAAATACCTTACTATGTACTCTTATAATAGACAAATAAAGTGATTAACTCAATGGTTATAAGGATAATTTAATCCCCATGACATAAGAATAAGTATCAATGGGATGTGTGGGATTTTGTGCCCCTTATTACCCCTGCTCTCCCTCCAAATATTTGAACCAAACAAGCTATTAGTTGGGGTAAAAATTCATGGATGCTTTATATGAAAAATCTGTTTTTGAATTTTTTTACACCAAGCTGAAGATACAGCTTACTAGCCGGTTAGCAATCCGGGATTAATATGAAATTCTCCAAAAATTTGCCTTTTGATTTTGTTTTCATTTTAATGATAAAATGTTCATTAAGTATTGGTAACCGTCTAACAGTTGAGAAAGCTGTGGTATAATCTGTGTCTCTAGAGTGAAACCCTGTTAGTTTTTAGAATAATACTTAGTAACACTTTGTTTACCACATTCTTCATTATCGGGCAAAAATCCATGTGGAACCCACCAAGTATGTGTTTGGTTGGGATTATTTTGGAGAAAACAATTTTTTTCTCCAGAAGCTCTCTTAGGGAACTGAAAAAAAAAAGGTTATTTTTTCTAAAATAAGCTGAACCCCAATCGTAGTAAATAGAGAATGGGACCAACTTAGATTTTGCTTGTGTGTTGAAATGAGTGTTTTTATGTCTCTAGCATTTTTCATATTTTTTATCGCAGACTGCAAATTTTTATGACAGAATTGAATTTCCATCGAACACTGGCAGGGGATGTTCTATGTCCCAAAGGCTTGATTAACTCTTCTTGATATTTCAGAAACATCCTGATGCTGAGACTGTCAAAACTGGTGGCTGCCCAATCTTTAAGGAACTATGCACAATATTCTCTGAGCCAGCAACCAATGGCAAGCATGAATATTTAGCTGCATCTGAGGGTGAAGATACTTCTAGAATTCCTTGTCCAGAGCCCTTGAGCACACACCACGAAGAGTCATCATCTGGATCCCAGGATAATGAAGATGCTAATGACCCTCAGACAGTTCAACCTACTACACCAACTGCAACTTCTCGCAAAAGAGGTCGCAAAGGAATTGATGATGCTATTGCAGAAGCCATATTTGAGATGGCATCTGCATCAAAGATGAGGGCAGCTGCCATAGAGCAACATAGTGCTAGATATAGTATAGCTGAATGTATTAGGGACTTGGATTTGATGCAAGGTGTTGATCAACAACTATATTTTGCTGCTCTAGATCTGTTTAACAAACCTAATGCAAGGGAGATATTTTTGTCTCTCAAAAAGGATAAACGTTTAACTTGGTTGCGTGGCAAGTGTGCTGTTGCATCTAATCGTATAGAATGAAAAAAAGAGGTAAAAATTGCTTCTGTTCAGAGTTTGATCCGTTTGTGTTAAAATTTTCACAAGCTTAGATTTGATAATCTCGTTCATATCACAATAATTCTTGAAGTTTTGATGTTAACATAATTTAATGTTTGCATGACACCGATCAATGTTTTTTAAAATTTGATTGGTCGATATATTAATAAGGCATTAGTTTATGATTTATTAACTCAGTTACATTTAAGTGGAGATTAAATTGATAATAATTAAATATATATATTTTTAATAATATGTTAAACAGTGAATTCATGTTAAATGACAGCAAAAAGTAAAAAAAAAAATTATGATAAAAGTGGATCATGTAAGTTTTTAAATTAGAATGCAAATATTACAGTATATATTTTATAAGATGAAGTTTTATAATATATGGTTAAATAATAATAATTTAAATGTATATTTAAAATATGAGTATATTTACTGGAAAATTTTAGAATATTTTATTAAAAAAATTTTTAAAAAATCAAGAAATCAATATTTTGAGAGAAGCAGTTCAAGATCATTTTCTGACAGTAATTTTTATCCAATTTTGGTAGATGTTATTCAGTTGTTGATGGTGTAATTTATATTTTGTTTCACAGTTTCTTTAGTTATTTGGTAATCTAACCTAATTGGTATTCAGTTGGTCCAATTTTAAAAACCATGACAAAAGTTGGGTCTTTCTAGAAAATATATCAAGTTTTACATTAGCTGACACTAAACTATGTCCATAAAAATTAGAGTATTCGAATAGGTTAAAACTCACTGCCTATTTAATTTAATTCACTGTATAACTTCAAAGTTCTATAGTTAGTGGATTTATTTTGATCTTAAGTTTTAATATAAAAAAATAGTAAATTAAGATTAAGAGGATGTTAGTTCACTTATTTTGAAAAGTAATGAATAATTATTATATTATTTATTTATAATATTTATTAAATTATTTTATTTAAATAAATCAAAAACTATATTTTAAATATGAAAATTTTATTATAAAAATAATTTATCAATTAAAAATTTATAAAATTAAATTAATTTTTTTGTATTTGTTTAATTTTTTAATTAAATTTAATATGGTATGCTAATAATTATGATTTTAATTAAGAATTATTAACAAATATTTTTAACTATAGAATAATTAAAAGATAAAATAATATTTTATCAAATAAGTTACTAAAATAACAATAATTAATTTAATTAAAAGTAAATAGACGATTGTTAAATTTTAATAATTATTTTAATTAATTCTAGTATTTTTTTATTTTTTAATGAGTTTTGATAATTATAAATTCATTATAATTTAGGTTTATACATAGTATGATTATTTTTAAATATAAATATAAATTTGTAGAACTATAAATAATTATTTTTAATGAATTTTAATAAAAATATGATCTCACGAAAAATAAAACTAAAATATTTAATATTTTCAATAACTTTATAAAATAAATCAAGAAACAATAATAATATAAAAATTTTATATTATGAAAAAATTTATAATTTATACTTAAATGATATTTTGTCAAAATGTTACGTTATTTAATAATTATCAATAATTAAGATAAAAATTGAAAAATATGTGATTTGATAATAAATTATTATATTTTTATTAATATTATTTAGTAATAATAATTATTATAAATATTTAATATTATATAAATCTTATTTTAAATATTTATTATCAAATTTTATATAATAAACATTTTTACTCTTGTGAGTTTTTTGACCTTGACTTACGTGAATAAAGATTAAATTAATCAAAACTGATTCATTTGACAGCTTTAATAAAGACTTTTTTGAAAGTTGTTTCTAAGCTTTAAATGTGCGTTTGGAATATACAAATAAATTTCTCAATAAATGAGTCAAACATGAATTCATAAAATAAATTAAATTCTTTTTATAAATTAAAATTAACTTATATTTTCTTTAAAAAATCTCATAAAATTTTTAAGATTTGAAAAAATAATTTCTTTACCAAAAGATAATTTCTTTAACTTGTAAAAAAAATTATTTTTTCAATATTACTTTAGAAATTTATCCAAAAACTTACAAGAATTCTCGCAAGAAAAACAAGATAGGAAGCGTAAATTTTGTATTTTTATTAGTTTTATTTGTTTTGTTGAGATGAAAACACCTTCACAAGACACTTTATTTACATTAAAAGAGACATACTAACATGAATACCTTTTAACATCACGTATCAATTTTTTAACTATAAATTATAAAATTTATACATATATTGCAAAGTGATTGGTTGGAATCACGTTATCCATACATGTAAAAACTTCTCCTCTTGGTACCAACCATAAAATATTTTCCAAAATGAAACCATGCCTTAGAAAAAAAAGGTACAACTAGGTTGTATTCTCACTCCTCCAATTATCAAATTTTCTCGACTAAATGTGATTATATTAACAGTGATATAATGAAACAAAGTGAAACTCCAAGCTAAGATCATTCAAATTCCCTGGCCTCGCAGGGTTGACAGCTTCTGCTCTCACTATGAAATGAGGATTCTACACCAAGCTAAAACTTGAGTCTTACCCAAAAAGAAAAATGAAGTGAATTAGATTGCACTTAACTCTCCCATTAGCCTCCACATATCAGTGGTTATCAGGTATCATATGATATTAGGTGTAAATACAATCTACAGATATGGGCAAGGGTGATCATCTATGATCTATACACTTATATCAACTTCAATTCTTCTAAGGTAATATTCTCTTCACGTCATGCTCCTGTTCAGTAACCTTGGCTTTGTTGTATACAGATTCAAAAACCTCCATGCAGACACTTGAAAACCCCACAATCCCTTGAAAAACATGCGGGCAACCCATTTGCAGGTTATTCAGTGTCATTGCCCGAGTTACATTCACCGACTTCTCATGTTTGCTCTTCTCTTCCTCTGCCTTTCCTCTCAAAGCTTCCACCTTTGCGCGTTTCTCGACAATGGGGTCCTTGGTTCTCATGGTACCGGAGGATTCAGGCATGGAGTATGGACCGTACTTGCTCTCCAAGGACCGAAGCTGAACCACCTTCTTCTCAAGCTCTTTAAATGCAGAATCTGACTTCTTCTTCTGTTTATGCTCCTCTGCCTGTTGAACCACAATGGCATGACTAATTGTTAACAAGCTTTTTATTCCTTCAGATGCTACCTTATCTGGAATTCGATCAACAGCAAGGTGCCATTCTTCACAAAGGGAGTATATCTTTGATTCCTCAGGGGTTCTGCGCAAAGGGTTTTTGCTGAACTGGAAAAGGCTGAGCCTTAACCAACCTGTGAGGGATTGAATGTAGTCACGGTGGGCTTTGAAGAGGTTGCAGAAGGATTGATGCCATTGTTGTACTTCTAGTTCCAGCTTAAGAGTTGATTGCCTATGAATCTCAGATGTGGGGTTGTTTGATGGTGTGGTATTGAGGTACTCTAGTTGCTGAACTATATGCTTTTGGACTTGGTGGCACTCATACATGCTTCTCCACATGCACATTAATCTGCCAACATAAGAAACACTGAATGCTGAGAAAGGTTTATTAAATTCTAATAATAATAATAAAAAAAATAGTATGCTTTGTATTTGATATGTCAGTTATGTCACAGTCAATGAATATCCTGGCAGGCAGAGATTATGCTACACATTCTGTTACCAAATCAGAAGCAATAATAATTGAGTAATGATATTCCACAACTTATGATTATAACATTTTTCTCTACCATTTTTATCTGTCTCTTTCTATCACGTTACTATTCTTTTCCTTCACTTCTTTATATCTCTCTCCTAATTTGTAAATAAATTTGTAAAAAAGAGATAAAGTAGCATTTCTCTTCTAAAGAATTTAAAATTTTAATCGTTTGACAAGGGTCAAATTGTAGCAACAGTATTTACCTGTCCCCGATAGAGAGTATCGCGTTTTTGAACTTGCTCCTATACTTTGTATTGTACGAATTGCCAAAGTAAAAAGGATATCATGATTTATGAACAGAAAACATACGGATAAGAATCATCATGCGGGGACCATAACATCCCATCCATTGGTACAAAAATGATCATTTTACCTAATTAAAAGAAAGTCCACCGGGAAATTATATGGTACAAAGTGTGCCACAATAAGGTCTAGTACATGAAAAAGAGGGGTTTAGAAAGCAATAAGCCGTGATCTTAAAGAGACAGAATTAATTAAAAAAACACGAAGATTTATGGTCGTACAGATTGTACTTGTCACGGCCAAGGGTGTTCAGGATTGTCTTCGCCAAAAACAAGTGAGAAGCACAAAATTAAATCACTGAAAACGAAAAAGCAGTCAAAAGCAATATTTTCTACAGTCACTGCTGCTACGCATGTATTCTGACCCAAATTGTAGTTGACTTTTCACACTGCTACATACAACAAACAGCTTTAACTCAGTCCCTTGAAGTGTAAAATAAAAGACAGCTCCCACGGCTTGTGCATGCCTCTCTTCTAGCTTTCCCAACTTCCACCAGCAAGCAGCACCCCAAAAATGCTCTCTTGCTTTATGATTCAATTGCTATTTTGCTTCTAAACTAAACTACTATTTTCTTACTATTGTTGTATAGATTTACCTTTTAAAAATGAAATTGATACATCTTCACAATATTTTTTACCTCTATCCCATGTTTTTGTTTTCTCTATTTTTCTCTTCTTTTCATCTCCCATCAATATCTCTCTTCTTTTTATCCCTCACCCCATCAGGTGGGTGTGTTTTCTTACTATTGTTGTGTAGATTTACCTTTTAAAAATGAAATTGATACATCTTCACAATATTTTTTACCTCTCTATCCCATGTTTTTTATTTCTCTATTTTTCTCTTCTTTTCATCTCCCATCAATATCTCTTTTCTTTTTATCCCTCACCCCATCAGGTGTGTGTGTGTACACTTAGTGACTGTATAATGACCATTTTTGCTTTATCTTTAGCTAATAACCATCTCAGTTGTGACGCAAAGTTATGTATGAAACTGAAGTGGACCTAAAATGCAAGTACAGAATTTGAGAAGACTAACCCTTTGACAAGTTCAATGAGTTGAGGGTAGAGCTCTATCTCCCTTAATTTGATGATTTCAGCAGATGTACTATCAATGGCCTGAGAAGCAACCATCATTTGTGATTCTAATTTCTCGACTTCTTTCTTTGTCTTCTCTGTCTTAACATAGTCTGCCCTCTTCATCTCTAGCTTCCTAAGCAGTGCCACCTTCTTCTCATGCTCCATCTTTATAGTCTTGGCATTCTTAAACCAACCAAAGAAAGAAGTTGAACGAAAACTAATCAGAATTGACAAATTACCTAATGAATCTAATAAAAAAAAAGGTGGAATTTCTTCTTCAAATGATTTATATGTTAGGAGTTTTTTTTTTTACTTCAATCATGCTTTGAGGACTCAGAGATGAGGGACATGGAAAACTGAACTAGAACTGAGTATATGAACACAAGACCACTAATAGAAAATCATAGCAGTAGTTGTAAAGAACAAGACTTCTTCACTAGACCCACACCAAATTTATGCCCAAAAAAGAAAAATCTTCTTCAGCCTTTATTTCTCTTTTCTTTTTCTTTTATTATTACCCTCAAAGAAAGCTCAGAAAAAAAGCAACACACCTTAACCTCTTGGTACAATTTCTTCTCCCATGCATATAGCCTCTCCACAGTGGAGCAGTGTCCACCACTTCCACCTCCATTATCTCCAAAAGTACCGACAGAAACAGGAGTTCCCTCAGCCAGCTTGCCAAATCCATTCAGTTTTGGACTAGAACCCCAAGCCCACAACGATGGACTCAGACTCCATCCATAGCTGTGCACTTTACCTACCACCACCAAGTACAAACAAGACACAACCCTTCAAAACTCAAAAAGCTGAAGAAAAACAGACTTCAACCACATACAACAAATTAAAATAATTGGAAATTAGGCATCCACAAACAAATCTCAAAGGGTTTAACACTTAAAACTCCCAATTAGTTACATGCATGGGAGGCTTACTTGCTTTACTGTGATCAGAAAAGCCAGAACTTGGAACTTCAAGGAGCAAAGAGACATGCGAACCAGCATCAGCAGCTTTCAGAAAATAGTCATCAAGCTCTTTCATAACCTCAACAAGATCCTTGCTGTTCCTTGAAACCACCATTGCAAGCTCACTAGCTGTCTCCTTCGAAAACCCACTCACCACAGACGGCGGAGCCGTCATGCTCGCGGCCGCCATCACCACCACCTCAGAACCCGTGGTGGTCGTTGCCTCCCACTCCTCCTCCGTCGCCGACCGAGAAATCGGACCCGCCGCCGGCTGCATGAAGGGGTCCCAGAAATCCCAGGTTGACGAAGACACCGGCGGCGGCGGCGGAGGAGGAGGAGGAGGAAGAGCAGGGGAGGAGGTAGTGTCCGATGTCCACGTATACGAACTCGGACTCATCGGCGGAGGCGGAGGCGGCGGCATTGGGGTGGGGGTTCGCGGCGGCGGCGGCGGTGGGAGAATGGGCTGAGGATCAGGCGGAAGGTGGTGGTGGTGATGGAGGACGGTGGTTTCAGCATTTGCAAACTGAAGCAAAGCAGAACCAGTTGCACGAAGTGAGCGAATGTACATTACATGTGCTGCAGAAAAAGCGTGTCTTGCTTGCACAAACTGCTTCATGTAACGCTTCCTTGCTTTGCAACGAGACACCGTTTCTTCCCTCTCTATTTTGGAATGACAACAACCCATCTTCTCTTTTTGTTCTTCCCTTGCTAGATCAGCGGTTTTGTTGAAGAATAAAGCTCTTTTCTTTGGCTTGTGTTTGTGTCTCTTACTGTTCTTAAAAAATGGTCCACTCTATAGTGAAGAGGGGTTGTGCTGCTTCTGCAAAAAGTTGCTATTTTAATGCCCCCAACTCTGGCTTTAGCTGGCAAGAGCAAAGTTACTTTCTTTTTGGGCTTAAAAATCTTCACTTAAACTAAGCCATTATTTTCTCAGATAAATGTGTTTTGTGGTTGAAACTTGAATCTGAAGCTCTACTCTTTGCCAGAAAGGTAATGCGGTTTAGGAGTGAGGATAGTTGTTATATATGCCTCGGGTTCACTCTCTAGTGGAGGAGCAACAATGGAGATTGGAGAAAGAGAAGTAGCACACAGACAGCTTTGGGCAGAGAGCCTACAATAAAAAAGTAAGTTTATTTTATATGTTTGGAGTTAAGTGGACGAGAATGCCCCTTATCAAGGCCTATAGTGTAATTTTGCTCTGGGTTTGGGGTAATTTTCTCTCTACATAACATGCATCTGCAGGGCACGACATCCTCAAAGGGCCACATCCAGATCAGATGCACGGATGGGATATCCTCATAGAATTTTATTAGAATAGTGTATTTGGATCCAAAGGGTATTTTGGCAGTTCGATATGGACATACAGGCCATCTCATCTCATGATTCTAACTCCTCGTATGGGATGGGAATTGTTTCAAACATTTCTTACTGAACAAAAGGTGTTACTTTTTCAAATTCACAAGCAGGAATGTTAACATGATTTTTGTTGTGATGAATAGTATTTTACTTCTTTATAAACTTGATGAGTTAACTTACCTGTACACCCTTTTGATAATAATAAGGGTCTCTTTTTTGTATGATGGTAGTTTATTCCTATGTTAAGATAGGAAGAATTAATGGTTTTATTATTATGTAAGAAAGCAACATTTGACTTATTTCATATTCATGAAATGATTTGTATTGAACTGAATCTTCTCCTTGTGAAGGAAACAAACGGCAACAAATTCTTTTTCCTCAAGGTGCAGCAAAGCAATCAAAGGAATGAAATCCCTTACTTGGAATGCCAGCATCAGCATCTTGTTCATTGGGTTCTCTCTTGCAGCATCGTATATAAACCCTTCACACGCAAAAGCTTCTCACCACTTTCTCCTTTCATTTGAGCCTCTTCAACAAAGCAAAGTGTTGCATTGATCAGTAAGTTAACTTTGAGAATGACAAAGGCTAGAGTTGATGCTGAATATCTCAAGGAAATAGAAAAGGCTCGTCGTGATCTTCGTGCTCTTATTTCCAGCAGAAATTGTGCCCCACTCATGCTTCGATTAGCGTAAGTTACAACAGCTTTCATTTTGAATCTTACGTATTATCACAAACCAATTTTATATAATATATTATTTTGTAGGTGGCATGATGCAGGTACCTATGATGTTAAAACCAAAACTGGAGGCCCCAATGGTTCTATCAGGAGTGAAGAAGAGTTAAATCATGCCGCCAACAAGGGATTGAAAACTGCAGTTGAGTTCTGTGGTGGGCTTTCTTCTTCTTCTTCTTTCTTTTCATTCAAATACTCTTTTCTTCTATCTGCTTAATAAATATTTAATCCTCACTGATTTTCATTTTGGTTTCTTTGGTGGAGCATAGAGGAAGTGAAGGTCAAATATCCAAAAGTTTCATATGCAGACCTTTACCAGGTTATTTTCAATTTTGGCACGTAGCTAACAGGTTATTTAATAAAAGTTTGATTTTTTAAGGCATTGTTCAAGTTTTTACAGTTACATCTTTTAAATCAGAACGATTAATTTAATTTAAAGTTTAAATTCTATATTTTATTGTAGGAATTCAGAAAAATTGAGTATTTTATCAACTCTAAATAGCTTATGTGGTAAGGAAATTAGAGGGAGGTCAAGTATATGTGGAGTGATAGATTAACTTGAATGCAATTGGATTTGTATTTCAGCTAGCTGGTATTGTTGCAGTAGAGGTGACTGGGGGTCCAACTATTGACTTTATTCCTGGGAGAAAGGTATATGGTCTTTGCCCCATAATTCATGTGTTTCGAATTTCGATATCTAAACTTTATGCATTTCATACAATTTTCCCTTTTAGGATTCACTGGAATCTCCACCAGAAGGACGCCTTCCAGATGCCAAACAAGGTAAAAAATTCATGTTGCTTGCTCTGTCTCTGTTTTCTACCATTCCTCGACAAAAATTATATTGTTCACTTTTTTTTTAATTTTTAATAATTATATTTTTACACTTAAATTATCTTATATTTACTTTTTTTAAGTTTTTTTTTATTTCATACTCATTTTTTAAACGTGAAAATATAATTTACTATAAACTTGTGTGTTATTCTCCTCTGTTCTTTTGTAACCCATGGTCTTCTTACTAGCCATTATTGTGTATTTCTCTCTGACCATACCCACTGTAATAGTGAATATTGACTCACAATTAATAGGAAAATGCATTCATATATATATGGAAAAATTTCAGGTGCGTCGCATTTAAAGGATATCTTTTATCGCATGGGTCTAACTGACAGAGACATTGTGGCTCTATCTGGAGGACACACTTTGGTAATAACGACATTAATTATAACCTAAAGTCCCTTTATAAATAGTTTAAGGATACATTTAATCTCATTATTATTCACTTGAATTGATAAGGGTAAGGCACATAAAGATCGCTCTGACTTTGAAGGTCAATGGACAAGAGACCCTTTGAAATTTGATAACTCCTATTTTGTGTAAGATGTTTAATTACATTATGGCGATCGTTTACTTAATTTTTTTTTAATGTGTAAAAATTGAAATTTCAAATAACATTAAAAAGGGAACTTCTGAAAGGGGAATCTAAAGATTTATTGAAGCTTCCCACGGACAAGGCTCTCATGGAGGATCCTGGGTTTCGCAAATACGTTGAACTGTATGCAAAGGTAACAACCAGAGACTTGGAAACAACATTTTATTATCACTAATTTTGTGTTCTCTACAATAGTTAATACGATTTTAGACTCACATATTAAATAATTTTCAATTGTAATAGAGTGAGGATGCTTTTATAGCCGATTATGCAACCTCACACAAGAAACTCTCAGAGCTGGGCTTCAATTTGAAGAATAGTTCCATATTAGTAAAGGGGGTTATAGGAATCATTATAACCTTAAGTGCTGTGATCTTGGGTTACTTACGTGAACTCAATAGAAAAACCAATTGAAGAGACTACTAATAATGTTCTACTCCACAAAATTGGCGTTTGGCTTCCTCTCTCCCAAATAAAAATGATTATATATATAATTTGTTGACTTCAGAAGTTTTCAAATTGTATACTTGAATATAATGTACATTTAATGTTACTTTTGAGTCTTATTACGTATTTGTCTAAATAAGTTTGATGTTGCTTTTGAAAATTAATGTAATAGACAGTGGCTTGCCCTACCATAATTTTTTACTCAAAAAGTAAAATCGAATAGCCAAACTAAATTCGAATAAAAAAACAACCAAACTCCATTCGTGGCAGGTTAAGTTTAAGGTTTGCGTGTATTTTTAGTTTTAGTATTTTGTAAAATTTTAATTTTAGTATTTTACATTTTTATTTAACATTATTAGTCTAAAGTAATAATGTGGTGTAATAAAAAATTAACGCATGATAATTTTTTAATTAATTATACCATTACTAAGAATAAAAAATCATTTAAATTAAAAAATTAAAATTGAAACTAAAAAAGTAAAATCAAAATATTATAAAAATAGTAGTGACTAAAATCATTTTTAAACTTAATTTTAAAAATCAAGCAAGTTGGATAAATTTTATTTTATTTTCTTAATTTACAAATGTTATTTATAAAAGACAACTTTCATAAAAATAAATCACGTGGTGAATTTAGCTCTTCTAATAACTTTTCTTTTATTTATTACAAAGAGTTTTATTTTAAAAACCTTAGCTAAAAAATAAAATTTACTCATTAATATGTAAAGCTTAATGATGTTTTTTAATGTGTATTAGAATAAAACAAAATTTGAGACTATATTTGAGAGTTATGTTTAGGAAGAGGGGGAGATGAGAAGAGATGGGTTAAGAATTAATCATTATTTGGGAGTTGCTTAACTAGAAAGAAAATTTTTTTGAAAGTTTTTTTAAACTCTCTAAAATCTTCTTAATCCTTATTTTTTGAGTTTTTTAATTTTGAAGTTTTCTCTCTCCTACTCTAATATTCTTTCATAAATAAGATTCTAAATTTTTTTTAAAAAAAATATTAATTTTTCAAGTGATAATTTTTTAAAAATATTTATAAAAATAAAAATAGTAATTTTAAAAATTAATTTTTTTAAAAAAATATTTATTTTTTATTTTTTGTAAAAATAAAAAATAAAAGATATAAAATATAATATCATTTATATAATTCAACCCTCTATTACTAACTTTTCTTAATATTAAACATTCAAATAAGAAAGGATTTTAACTTAATTCTCCTTCAAACTCTTTCCCTTTCTTTCTTTCTAAACTCTCAAACAAGTTCTAAAAATATTTCATATATTTACTTCAACCTGCAAGGCATATATAAGTTAATTTTAAAAAGGGATGTTAATTAAATAAAGCTAACACAAACTAATTAATAGCTTATGATCATTGATCCTTTCAATAGTTGACAATGACAGTGTGGCTCGAAAACTTTCAAAAATCTTTATCACTTGCAACGTATAATATAATGGTTATAACTTTTATAATAAGACACTCATTTTCTTATCCTTACTTAAACCTAACATTAAAGCAATGTTTTAATGATTCAATTTGTTATTAAATAATGATGAAATCAATAATATTCAAACTAAAAATAATTTGAAATATGCTTAAAATTATTTTAAAAAATTTAAGAATTAAATCTCATTAATTTGTATTTAAAATATGTTTTTTTTTAAAATTTATTACATGGCCTATTAGTTCAGTTGGTTAGAGCGTTGTGCTAATAACACGAAGGACGTAGGTTCGAGACTTGCATGGGCCAATTTTTCTTATTTATTTTTTTATTTTGCATATTTTCCTTTAAAGTTGAGATGGCATTCCACACAGTCATATGATTGATTGCAATATCAGGCGTTAAAACTGAGACCGTGGTATGTTCACTTTCATATAGTACCAAATAAATGCACTGGAAATGAACAAGGACAGGAAAGCTAACAATATCACAAAATTTAAATTGGATCCAGGAGATCAGATTTCTTACTATTGTGAAGAGAAGTGAATACTAACCCTGAGAATCTGTTTTAGGAAGCAAAATTAAACAGGAATTGCACAATCATAAACCAAATTTGGATGATAAAATCACAGTAAATCAAATTCTTTCTCCTCTGGCTGCAGCAAAGCAATCAAAGGAGTGAAATCCTGAGTATCACTAGGAATTAGGTGGTGTTTAAGTATATATTTGGAATGATAGATTAACATATATGCAGTTGGCTGGTTTTGTTACAACAGAGCTGGGGTCCAACTATTGACTTTATTCCAGGTAGAAAGATATATGTTCATGTGAATGTTTTGTTTAGCTTCATAATTCATGTACTTCGGTTTTCCATATGCAACTTTATACATACTATTATATACTACTTTTTCTATTAGGATTCATTAGAATCTCCCAGATGTCAAACAAGGTAACAAAAACATGTTGGTTGTTGTGTCTCTTGTTTTCTACCATTCCTTGATCTCTATCTTAGGATGATGTAATTTCTTCTTGCTAAACTGCAATACTTGATAGTAAGTTGATGTCCAATCATCATGGGACTCCCTTGTAGAATTTATTTTTAACTAGTGTGAAGTTTAAAAGTCTTCTGTAGAAAACCTTAATATGTATATTAGTAGTATTTCATATTGCTTGAGTAAGATTTTGTCTCCCATTTAATTACACATCTGATTTATTTGCGATTTTTCAAATGCATAGACTTTTGTGGTATAGATCTTATAGGTAACAATGGCTTACTTTGCCCATGCATGTCCGATACTATATATATTTGGCTATGCTCCTTTGTTCTTTTGTAATTTAATCATTGTAAAAATATTACAATATTCTATACACATGGTCTTCTTTCTTGCCATTCGGTATATTGTAGTTGAAGGATACATTTAATCTTATGATTATTCATTTTAAAGTTTGATAACTCCTATTTCTGTGCAAGTTTAATTACATATTACGATAACTACTTGTTTTTTTGAAGTGTACAACAATTGAAATCTACATAATTCTCTTTCTTTTGGGTTTACATAACACTAAATAGGGAACTACTGAATGCGGAATCAAAAGACTTAAAATGAAGCTTCCCACAGGCATGGCTCTTGTCGTGGATCCCGGGTTACGCAATTATGTTGAACTGAATATTTAATTTTTTGTTTGTGTTATAAAATTTTGGTTTTCCTTTTCTTTTAATGCGATTATCTCAAGTATAGGAATCGTGAAGTTAAAGAATATATCGTGAATCATTTTCCTTTTCATATCTAATTAATATTCAGGCGGATTTGTATCTGACACCTTACCAATTGAAAATCGAATATGAAGATTGAAGACCAGTTGAATTGGAGAATAATAATAATATTCCCAGATTCAAGAGGGAAAAGTGAGAAAGGAGTGGGGAAGCAGAAAAAACCCACTTCTCAATCTACCATCCGTTGATCATTGCATACGAAAGAACATGAAAAGTTGACCATGAAAAGTTGAAAGCATGAATAATATAAATCATAAACGAGATAAGCGTCTATAAGAGCATAGCTGACAATCAAGGCAGTATCTCTTACAAAACAAGTTCTTCTCATTGGTGCTGATCAGAAACATCCACAAAACTTATAATTTGATATCATACTTTCCTCACATGTAACCTCAAATTTTCCTAATGCATAACAAATTTTGAATACTGAAACAGCAAGTCAGTAGTAGCAATCTCTAGTGTTCAAAGAAAATATAGAAACCTCTCCCACAAAGCAATACATAAAATTATAATATTTTCTAATTTTCTAAAAATCAAATGGCCTATTAGCTCAGTTGGTTAGAGCGTCGTGCTGATAACGCGAAGATCGCAGTTTCGAGACCTACATGGGCCAATTTTTTAAATTCATCTTTTTATATGACATTCCAGACAGTCATATAACTGAGTACAACATAGGTTCATGCTTAAAATTGGCGGATATTTTGACACTCCATCAAGAAACTTTAAGAGAAATGAGATGTGTGTAGGTGTTATACTATATAAAAGTCAAGGGAGATAGAAAGGAGTGAGTGAATGAAAATTGAACGTAAGGGAAATAGTGTGAAAATATTATAAATAAAAATCGATACCTTATATATCTTTACTTGCATAATTTACCAAATAATGTACTGGATAGCTTGCAAGCACATAAATGAACTAAGACATGAAGGGTATCATTCATTTTTCCACACTGGTCATACAAATTTTATATGGACGAACAATGCCAGAAAAGGACAGTGACTACGTCATTTAGCAAGAAAAAACCGTGCAGGTAGGAGCAAAAAAACTAGGTGTGGCTTTTTCACCAACACTAATGAACAACTGATTTCAAGCAATGCTCGGATAGTCAATTTAGAGTCTCTTGGCTGAAGGGTCGCACACCACTACTTTGTGTTGTCATCATCCAAATTTACAATCTTTCTCACCGTTCTGCATAACATAAATAGAAACGTAGTCATGAAAACAGCCAAAAGGTAAAAGGCCCCAAGGCCAGTGTCAAGTGCACTCGTACTGGGCTGAGCTCAATAACAAGTCTTGCCGGTTCTGTTTTTAATGTTTATGCCCCGCCTTACAAAAAAATATGCATTGTTGACGAAAAAGAGTTAATTTTTAATTTTTACTGCACAATATAATTATCAGTTAAATGTTTATTTTTAAATATTTTTTTTCATTTAAATCATAACCATTTTTTACTAGAGACAATTCTATTCGAGTCAGATTGTATATGACTTTTAAAAATTCTTATTTAACGTTGAGGTTAAAGGATAAACCTTTTAAATATATGATTTTTTTAATAAAAATAGTTCTATTATCTATCATAATTTAATTAAACTTATATTAGATTAATCAGGTATTCAAAGTAATGTTTAGACACTAAAATCTTAGGCCAAAAAATTAAAGTAGAAATTACATGCTTTGCAAAAAAAAATAAAAATTCAATTCTAATGCAAATAAACACACAAAAAATATTGTCAAGAAAAGATAGATTTATTATTATATTAGTTTTCCTAAACATTTTCTATAGATAATAACTAAAGAATTAATAAATAATTTGTCATTATAAAAATGCATCTGCGACGTTAAGTATTAGACTTTTTAATAAAAAAAAAATACTTGAAATATTTAATTATTATCTTTTAAGTTACTGGTAAAGCTAAATTGAGATTGAATTTTTTTTAACAAAAATCATTTTTTATTATTATAACTATCTTTAAATTTGTCAAATATATTTATTTAATACTTTTTCATGATATAAAAATCAAGGTAAAAGCTTACATGAGTAAGACTTACATTATGAGAGGGATTCTTACACATTTTGAGTTATTATATTTATTTATTTCAATTACACAATTTGTAAATATGGCCTAATAATTTGGTAAAATAAAGATTTTCCTTCTACATAGTGAAACTCTATGCACACAACCATTACACTTTAGCCATTTATGGAGAGTTAAGTTAGGAAAAATGGACTTCGTTTTAGAATAACTGTGTGTCAAACTATGACTTCTAGTGATTATATGCGATAAATTTCTACACATAAATTTCAAATTTGCCAAAGACAACCCTTTGTTAGCTTGGGCTTTGTGATAAAGGTCAAGATGCTCTCTTGGTAAGTGAAAGAATGGTGGACACCATCATCTTGAAGTCAATCGGCTTTGTTAAGTAAGCATCCATGCCCACCTCCAAGCATTTGGCTTCATCACATGACATTGCATGTGCTGTAAGAGCAACAATAGGAATGTGATAGTTTGTTCCCGCTTCTGATTTCCTAATTGCTTTTGTTGCCTCATAACCATCCATCTTCGGCATCTTTTTTCACAAAGACACAAAGAATCAAAATCTTAAAACTCAAATTCACTTAATGTAAAAAGAAAGAAATGGTTGTCTAACATATATATGTGCAGTTTTTTAGTTCATACCTGACAATCCATTAGGATTAAGTCATATGGATGGTAAGTCAAAATCTTTGTTTGAGATCTTGTGTTTCTTTCCTTCTGGAAAGATTCTCTGCTACAATCTTCAGCATTGAGCATGCAATTGAGAGCATCTACTGCCTGTTGTCCATCACCTACAGCAACAACAACAGCTCCCATTTTTTCAAGCATTATGGTTGCAACCTTTTGAAGTACTGGCGTATCTTCTGCAAGCAAAATCCTTAGGCCCTCAAGAGATTTCTTTCCATCTACTGCTTTACTTGGGTTAGTGACCTTGTGTGTTTCTCCATTTTTAGAATCTTCATCTTGATCTTTTATTGGAAATGGTGATTCTTTGGTCAATAATTTAGGTTGGGTGTCTTTGATGGCATGGTTACAATTGGGACTACTTTGACAAGATTTTTCTTCCTTCAAATCATTTTCTTCCAAAAAGTTACTTTTATCAGTTAATCTAACTGGAAAATTATTCATCTGGCATGGTGATGATGGATGGGATTTGGCTACCACTTTACTTGATTTATCTCCATTAGCACTAACAGGATTAGAACCACCTATTTCAGATATGTCAGAATCATCAGAACTTGCAGCATCAAAATGAGTAGAATCAATATCAAGAAACTCATGCAAATCACCCTCTTTCATTGTGGTCCTTAGAGTAGTCATGTCTTTCTTTTGTAGCTCAAGATTTCTCTCCTTTATGACAGTTTCCAAAATATGAATCATTTTTGCTTTGTAAAGGGGTTTGTTGACCATCAGCATATGGCCTTTATTGCGGAGCTCCATCTTTATGGTATTGGAGGTGTCATGATTTAGTAGCCATACGAACTTTGCCCTACCAAAGTGCCTATGAAGGAAGTTAAGTTGTTCCTTCCATATATCTGTGCTTAAGTCAAGTAGCCCAATGTCAACAATAATGACAAAAGTTGGGTTCCTCATATCTCGTATATTGAGGAGTTTAGACTTCAATTCTTCATTTGTTGGATAGTGTGTATCAAAGTCATTATTGTGGATTGAACTTCTTGCATGAAAGAGTTCCCCCAAAATTTGAGTTAGTCCGTTCCATTCAGATGCTTCCATTGTGCACAGTCCATTTTTCTGTAACCACTTAGATGTAATCAATCGACTCATTTTGCCATGTAGTGCAAGTAGTACCTGCATTAACACATCAAACTTAATTAGGACATATGGCATGTATGCATTTGCTTTTATCAAGATGCATATTTTTCAAGATGACTCAGATGTAATTTTAAATAATCAATGCATAAGTCAATATTAGAAGTCAACATTAAATGAGAACAATATATTCTTTATATTATTGATTAAATTTGAATCCTTTTCTAATTTAACATAAATCCATTTGTATTACTAAATAACAAAATATGGTCTTATTAGAGAAAGAAATACATTATTTCATCATAGTGATGATATATCATAATTTGTTATAGAATCACTAGTTATATTTTAAAAGATGTGTTTATTTCTCATTCTTTTCCTCTCTCTTTCTATCTTTCTAAAAAATTATATCATGGTATTTAAGAATAAGAAAGGATACAGTTGGTAAAAGAATATTGATGCCATTTTGCTTTTTCTTTGGTACTTGCAAAGTCAACTAAAAGACTATAATAACGATTCCAATGCTATCAACTAGCAAAAGCTTTTGCCTTTTGGGTTCTTAATGATGCATAGTTTATCACAATAATAAACATGGACACAAGCATATGCTGTTTCTTATTTTAAATGTTATTGTCTAAAGGAGTGATTCTACTCACCACTAAGCCATTGCATTTCAAGTTTATTGCACAATGTTGTTCCGTGACATCCGTTGGTGCACTAAGAAGCAAGCATAATCGCATTAGTGTTCCTGGGCCCTCCTTTTTGACAACCTTAATGTCTCCACCCATCTTGTTCACCTACCAAGCCATAATAGTAATGCGTTCAGAGGAAACTAGATCCAAGTCTCATTTTTTTTTCCTTTTAGAAAAGAAACAGACACTTACAAAGAAAATTGATAAACCTTTACAAGAAATCATACTTTTTTTTTAATCAAACGAAGATGCTTTTCTCATTATTCTTTTCAAGTCAAGTAATTGACAAAAGCTTCACTTATCTAGATGACGTATTTTACCTATTTGTATTGAGCATCTACTTTTCTTTTGTCTTCCATCAGACATATTCATTACGATTTATGAATGATAATTGTACTTTATTTATGCGAAACTTTACATATTAAAGGGTCTTACTCACCAAGTTCCTAACAATGCAAAGACCAAGACCAGTTCCTCCATGCCTGAAATGAATAAAATTTTTAGAATGACATAAATCTTTAGCTTAAAAAATTCAAAAGGTTTTAAACCATTGGATACAAGTTACATTAATTTTGAAGCTTAATGACATTCTAAAATAATAATATCATGACCATTTGTTAGCTAAAAAGTAAGTTTAGAAGACTTATTCTTGTCTTTGTTGAAAATTTAATTTCCTTACAATCTTGTGGTTGACGGATCAGCTTGCTCAAAGCTTTCAAACACAGAATCCCATTTGCTTGGATCAATACCTATATCGCATATATAGAAGACATAGTAATTAATCCTTAAATTGATTTTATTTTAACACAAAAGGTATTGTTCAATGTAGTTTTTCAAGACAAGCTATTAGGTTCATACCACAGCCTGTGTCATCAACTTCAAACCAAAGTATCACTTTGTTATCTTTCATTGATGTTTTCTTTGAATGATTTGCATTTGGCTTCTCTTTGCTCTTTTGTAAATTTCGTGATTTCTTCTGGTCTAAAGGACGATTTGGAGAAACAAAAGAAGGATTTGGATTTTCACACCATCCTCGGAGAATAACATGACCCGCTACAATACATTTGAAAGAGATTAGAGTAGTCTTCTATCGTTGACTAAATAAAAGAGTAGTCTTCTATGAAAGCTTCAAAGCTTTGTTGACTCAGCAATAAAAAGATTTAATGATTCTTTAGAATTTTCAGGAAAAACATACTAATGAACATATTATCATAAATTTCTTCAGCAATAGAAGATTAGATAATCACATTCCCTAATGATTAATTGAAAAGTGTTATCTTGACGTTTCCACGATTATTTTAATAAAATGACACTTATTTTAAAAATGAATAAATTCAAAAGAACATTATATAATATTTTGTTAAATAAAATTAAATAAAAATCATTATAAGAAAGGAATATATAGTTCATATATGCCACAAATTATTGACAACTTACATAATGTAGGAGTTAACTACAAAACAACCAAAACTAACTCTTAAATTGTAGTCCAGTCATTATGTAGTACTCCTCATAAGAGAAACACGCCTGAAAAAAGAATCCTTTTTATCACCTTCTAACCTTATGCCTACAAAAAAAAAAATGGAACATACTAATTTTTAAGTTTTGCATCGAATTTTTTGGGGATGAACATGGATTTCATTTCCAATAAACCAATTAAAAAATTTTGTGAGATTCTTATATTTTACGTTGGTAAAATTTTTCATGTATTTTTTTGTTGCCACGATCATAACAAAACTAGAACATTAAAATTTAGACTCACATGGAGTAAACTTAATTGAATTGTTGATCAAATTGGCAAATATTTGCACTACCCTCGCAGAATCACCCCGAACTACCTTTGGCATGTCATCTGTAGGAAAATAATTATTGGCTAGATGTATTAAAACTTGTTTAAAGAACTTCTAATTATCAAATTTGTCAATAAAAAGTAAAAATATACCAGTCAGGTCTAAAACAGTCTCTACATTGTGGTTAATGCACTGAACAGAAAACATATCTACTAGCCCTTCAAGTTCCCGTGCCAAATCAAATTCTGCATCTTCTAAGACCAATTTTCCAGATTCCACCTAAATTCAATATAATGTTAGAAACTTCTTTTTTTTTTCTTTGGCATAATTGCAGTGGTAATGGAAATTGGATTTAAAAAAAAACTATTCTTGCACAAAATGCTTAATTGATATCCCACCTTACTCAGGTCCAAGATATTGTTAAGAAGACGGAGCAGAGCAGTTGAGCATTTTCTTATTTGAGTAACTGTTGAATATTGTTCATTTGTGAGACAATCATCAGATATAAGAATGTCAAGCAACCCAATTACTGCTGCCATAGGTGTCCTCAATTCATGACTGTAATACACCCAAAAAAGAAACCATGAACCACATTTGTGAATGCTCAAAGGAAAGGACATCTTAGACTCAAACCAAATGAAAGATAGGTAGGTCATCAGTGTGATTTGTGTATAACATCTTCAATAAGATTTGTTTTATAGCAGTAACTAGTCAACAAGTTTCAAAACAAAATCAATATTAGAAATACATACATAAAATATAGTAACTGTAGTTGCCGAAGTTCCTTGACTCCATCAATATGAATTGATGGATATAATCTTCCTTGTTCTTCAGATTATAAATTTTAGATCATGCATCAGATAAAGCAAGATCTTCTTTTATGTATTTCCAAAACTAAATTTGAAAAACCAACCTCATGTTTGCAAGGAATTGACTTTTGTAATTGCTTGATGCCTCTGCCTTTCTTCTTGCTTCCAATTGATTTATTAGTTCTGCTCTTAGATTCATTTCCTTTGATACTCCATTTGTCAAAATCAAAATGCAAACACATCCAATAACTAAAATACACAATGATGCAGATATCAAAATAACCAATGTTTTGAAGGCTCTTTCATCTACTTGCCCCATGATATACCTTCTTGGTATAACGATTACACCGACCTGTACAAAGTTCAAGTCGCAATTAAGACACTTGAAAGTATAATAGGATAGTTAGTTATTCAAAATAGAAGTGAAACAAGAGCTAGTAATTTTCTTTGAGTTTATACTTATTGTTGGTAAAAAAGAAAAAGAGTAAAGACTTACAATACTCTATCTCATCATCAATAGCTTTTTTATAAATTTTAAAAGTAATATTTTACAAAAGATCAAATGTAAGGAATAGGTGGATTATCTTGAAACTTACCAAAGGAAGTCTTTTCAAATTTAGGAAGAAAGAGTCAATGTAATATTCCTGATGGCCTAGCTTAACATTCTCTACATGAACCTCATGACTTGGAGGAAAATTGTTCCCATAAGTTCTTTGTAACCATTCAGCTCCTTGTCGTATTATATCATCTTCACAATCAACAGCCATCTTAAGCTTAGGTGGCTTTGTTGAATTTGTTAATAGAGGTGCACTTGTGGAAGTTGCAAGTAAATAACCCTCTTGAGAAGTCAAATACATATGGCCACTATGCAGTTCAACGAGTTCTCTCATTAGTTGTCCTACACTATAGAGTGCAGTTGTGACACCCACAACAGCCATAATAGTCTTATTAGAAGAGTCCCAAACTGGTAATGCTGCTGAAAGTAATGGTGAATCTGTAAACTTGCTCACCGCAACATGCCATGAAGCTACACCATCAGGTACCTGGGAAAGGCCAGCTATATTGATCAAGTCTTCGGGTGCAATTTGCATAGCTTTTCCAATCTTTTCACCACTAATAGGGTCAAGTGGTTCACGATACCAAATTGCAGAATAGTTACCATGGATGGCTTTGTCATCCCAAGCTTGGTGTGTTGAAAAGGAATTGATCTCATTAGAGTTGCTGGCACCCATGGAGTAATTTGCAAGATCAGAGTAAATGTAAAATGTGTTGTTATCCTTCAGATCTCTATGGAATGCTTGGACAAATCCATTCTTATAATTGATAGTTATTGAGTTGAGAGCTTTTCGACTAACAAACAATGCCCATGTTACAGCCCTCATTGCTTCATAAAGCTGCTAGAGTTACAACAATACAAATAAATAAGCATAATTGATTAATATGGTAATTGCTAATATAGTCTTAAACATAATAACAGAGAGTGGGATCCCCTTGATCTAGTAGTAAGTTATGTTATATGCTTAATTGCTTATATTGTTTAATAACCTTTATATGTGTCAAATTTTTAAATTTAAATTATTGAATTGAAAGTTCTCAATAAATAGAACAATTAATTAGATAAAAAAGTTTGCATACAATTTTTAAAAATATTAAAAAATGTATGTCTAAGACTTACTTTTACAGCGAGGAAACCCTCATCAAACATGTGTGCACTGTGCATTAATATTGATAGTGGTAAAACAGTGAGAACATATAATGAATAATAAACTAATAATCAACCTCAACTTGCTCTGCTTGAGTCGCAGGGTTGCTGTAACGTTTGATCACATACTGAGACAATTTGACCTGAGCTGTTGTAATTTCGGAAGTAGAGTTTAAAATGTTCCACATTCTCAAAACAGGTCTTTGCAAAAGTTCATAACGCAAACCATATGCCAAACTTTTAAGTGATTTCGTTGTATAAATCTTTGTGAAATGCCATGTCAATATTGTGAGCAGCCCTATCAAGATTGCTAGCATGACCTACATAAAAGCAAAATAGCAGCTAGTTAAATCAAAATAATCAGGTTTTACTTTTTAATCATTAGAAAAGAAAGGTCGAATCTAGCGGTCTTTTATTGATAACTGGTTTTCTTAATTTTTCAATGGTAATTTTGCCTTAACTTGGCTTTACTAATGAAATTTCAAATATAAATTAGAAAACAAGAACACCCTTTTACTAATTAAATATTGAGCAATTTGGTTAATAACAAAGTTAGAGAGAAAAATTCAATGTCACAACTGAAATTATGATGATTAGCACACAATTTATTTTTTGAAATAAAGAAATTTTGCCTATTTTATTTATAAAAATAAATAAATATTTAGAAGATGTGATTAGTCTAAGAAAAATCAGGATAAATCCAAGGATTGGAGATACGGGACAAGGTGAAAACTTAATCTCACACACCACTGCTATATTTGATTTAGGGCAGTTGGTTTAACTTAAACTAATTATATAAATTAAATAACTATAAAGTATTTATATTACCTTTTAAATATTAAATAAAATAATAGAAACAAAATTACAAAAACTGAAAATTATGCTGAAAAAAAAAATCAAATCCTTTTTATCACAATAACAATATAATTTTGCTAACTCAATTTTTAGAGTTAAGTTTAAGGATTTAAAAGTACTTTTTTTATTAAAAAGAAATATTCATTATATATATAAATATATAAAAGTATTATATATATATATATATATATATATACATACTAATTTTGAATGTTTAAACTTAGTCTTGAAGTTAAACAAAATCAATAATAATAATAATGAACACCATTATTTACTAAAAGAAAAAATTATGAAAAAGAAGTAAAAACAAAATAACGTGACATATTTTAAAGCATAAATAGATACATAAAAAGAAAAAAAAATGTATAACTAAAAATAACATAAAAAATATTTTCTCAAATGAAAAATCCACTAAGCTATCAAATTTGAAGTACACACACGTAGAACCTCAGCAAATTACTAACCTTGAAAATAAATCAAACCACTTTCCGCACTTTTCTGTCTTACCCACTAATTTTAAAATATTTTACTCTCTTCTCTTACTTTACTTTGATTAATTCCCTACATTCAAATTCAGATCAGAATTTCAACTGAGGCCTATGCCTAAAGCCTAAATTCAAATGACATTAATAACCCAAGCCCAAGCTTAATTAGAAACATTACAAATCAAAAAGGGGGGTTGCCATAATGATGATGAATCGACCGGAGATTGATGATGGATGAAAAGGAGGAAGATAAAATTTAGACGTAATTATTTATGTATTTTAAATATTCTTTTTTCATTGAAATGTTTTTTTTCGTAATTTCCAAAAACATTATATACTTACTTTGAATTGAATGAAACATAATTTTAATTGACCAATAATACCACTTAAATTTTCTTCGAAAAAAGAATCACAAAATTTCAATTAATTGCATGGATACTCAAGAAGCAGCAGCCCAACCGGCAACGGCAATGCCATTCGATTTTTCTTTTTTCATGTGTTTTCCTTTTTAATTTTTTCTTCTTCTTACAGATATGTTCATTCGGCCCAGAATATTGCATCAACTTTCACTTTTATTCGATAAATGATGACAAAAGATAAAATAAATATTGGGTGGTGGAAAAAAGAAAAAGAAAAACTGACCATGATTGCTAGTCGAACAACGAAGACACTGTAGTAGGATGAGAGACAGTGGCTACTGGCATACTGAAATTCTTCTTTTTCGACGTCCCTATGAAACATTTTTCGACTTGGGCATGTTGGTGCGGTGTTTTTGTTCCAGGAACCGCATAATCTATGAAACAAGTATGTGCACCTGTTTGAGGGTGGTGAAGTTTCAGAACATGTTTCGTCGTTGTTTTCTGCCATAACTCTTAATTGCTGGTTTGATGAAGCAGCTGTGAGCTTATTAAGTAACACATCAAAGAGATTCCAACTTGTTTATGTTTATGTTTATGCTTCCCCTCCCTGTCAGACAGAGAGAAGCTTCCATGTATTCAATTCTCTTTTATAGTCACACTCACTCAGTGTGTGCGTGTTTTATTATCATAATATTTTTTTATTAAAAATTATAAAATTTATATATATTATAATTTTTTATAATTTATTAATTTTTTATCATGGTAATTTTGTATCCGTTAAAAAAATTGATTAAAAAGTGGTAGAAAGATACTCTTGAATATTTTTTAATATATTTTTTATTGTTAACTAAAATTTATCAAAAATTATATGTGATTCATTAAACTAAAAATGTAACTTATAATTTTTATAGTTTTTATCAAATTTTAGTTAATAATTAAAAAAATTAAAAAATAATTATATCTCATAAATATATACTTATATTTTAGAAATATCTTTAATACCATATTATTATATTAATTTTTTAGTTCAAAATATATATATAACTAATTGCTTGATAAAATGAGTTATATAATTGGCTGAATATTATTTTATGTGAATATAAATTATATAAAAAATTAAAATAAAAAATTGAAAACTAATTTTTAATAAATTAAACATTATTGAGCTACTCGAAGTAACTTTTGATATGGTAAATTTTAAAAGTTATACTCTTTTTTATTTTTTATTTATCAAACAATTATATTTTTTTATTGATAAAAAAAATTATAAACTCTTTATTAAACCATAAACTTATATTATAATACACATTCTTAAATATTGTTTTATTTTAATATTTATATATAGATGATATTATTCCTTATTTCGATCTTTATGATTAAAGATATACCATAGATTTATATTGACTCATGTCGATGTTAGCTATACATCGTTACACTGGATAAACATAGCCAATTGCATGCTTAATATATTCTTATCATTTAAAAAAAACTTATATTTTAAATAATAAAAGCTGTTGATATTAAAAAATATATAGTAACCAATATTTTATAATATTAGTTAAAAAAATATTTTTTATTAAAAACGAAAATAATAAATTCACTTTCATAATTTCTAATATATCTCAGTATAATTTTAATAAAGCCTTACATTTATTAATTTCTTAAGTAAGGTTTTAAATATACTAATTAGCTGGAAGCTTTTTTCAAAGTACCTCCGGCACTTTACTAAGACAGAATTTTTTTATCTTATCAGAGAGAGAATAATCTTTGAATTCAACGAATTTAATGCCAAGTATATAATCTTTTCTAAAGATCAGACCTTCTTTTAATCAACATGATCGATCAAGATGTGGAAAAACTTCTTCATGCTAAAGTAAAAATTATCCAAGTATCCTCCTTCAATCAATACACCAACATTGATAGTAATAATAATATGTCAAATTTTTAATTAAACACAATTGTTAAAAAAGAGGGTTCAAGATAAACTTTTCACCGACTTTGAATTTGCTTAGAAACAATGATTGTTTTTCCCATTTGAGTTGGTGGTTATGAGACATTGCAAGCCTTTGGCGGCACGTCATGGGATCTGAAAATGGCACAGAAGAACTATATATATATTGAGAAAAGCAAGTCTCCATTTTCCATAACCATCACCAAGTTGAAATCTTTACTTTTTATTCATTTATCTTCTGACGGATCAACTACTTTAGAGTGTGAATTTTAATTACTAAACTTTCAATATAATTCCTGATATTACAAAATGTTGAAAAATATTATTCATTTTATAAAAATAAACGATTGAAATGAAAAATTTATAAAATAAAAGACTAAGTTTATCAAACACTTAACTTTTAGGACAAAAGTAAAGATTCATTCCATTTTGAATACTATATGATTAAATATCAGTCCATATTTGTCCGACTTGTGGCACCCAAAAAATGGAGCTGCTACTATTATTACCTCAGCATAGGCTACATGCCCGGCAAAGGATAAACTCCAACAACAAATGTGAAAAAGAAATAATAATTAAAACAAAAAAAATTAATGTGAAAGATATGTCAACCAAGAAAGAACCAAAGGGTTGGCATTATTTTTTGTGTCAGTGGATCAATACTTGATCCTATTCTGATCACAATATTTAGAAGCATGTGAAAGTGGCTATTAAAAGAAAAATTAGCTGATAAAATATGGGCCTATTAGACTTGCACTGGGTTTCTTTGACTTGGCTGAAGCCTCTAGAACACAGGGTTTGTGCTCCAACTCAGTAATCCACATAAACCCTTTTCGTGGTGTGTCATCGCTCCATCGTTGAGGCTTTGGAACACCAATTCAAGCACTAATTAAGCTAAGGTTAAGCTCTTTTTATTTGTGTATAGTGGGAAAAAGGTTTCAGCTGCTTGGTGCCAAAAATTTTCCACGCTATTCCACTTCCATTGCATGGCTAAAAGATATATAACCTAACAAGAAACAATATCTTACATAAATTGTCGTTAAAGTTCGACCTAGTGGCGCACTTTCCTTTACCTAATAACTCTTCTTCTCTCAATGAGTACTGTAATATTTTTCCTTTTCCTTTTTGATAAAGGAACCTGTCATTTTAATAATGCAATTGTTAACTTGTTTCTTTCTCTTCCTTTTACCAAACAGATAAGATAATTTTCATTAAATTATTATAATTGTTGAAAATAAAAGAAATTCTACATTGGCTATAAATGTGAGAATAATAAAAAAGATATAAGTAAGATATGCATAAATCTAATTGCCTAAGGCATTTTGAAAGTTCATATGAAAGATCAATCACTCTTTCTATAGTGTAGAACTTGTATTGAGCCTATTTCTAAAAGTCAACATGATATTAGTGCTCACAAAACCTTAAGGTGCATTGATGATTCAAGAACTTGTGATTCGTCAAGACCCGACACTTAATAAAAAAGAAGGAACACAAAATTGATTCAAAAAAGAATTAAAGGAAAGAAAGAAGATCCAATGAAGAAGACCTACCCAAAGACTCAGTGAGAAAGATCTAATGGCTCAACACCTAGAGCCTAATAGAAAAAGAAAAAGAAAAGAAGAGCTCAATAAAAAAAGACCTAGGCATAATAAAGAGTTCAAAATGATAAAGCATAAATTTAGACTGAAAATTTAAGACAAGTCACAGTTAGATTAAACTGGCCCAGTTAAACTTAAAAAAATTAAGTGTTAAAAATAAAAAGGGTCCTGCATTACTTAAAAACGTGAGAAGTAAAGAAAATATACGTAAGAGGTGTAGAAATCTAATTGCTTAAAGAGTTTTAGACATAGTTGCAGTCTCAAGTCCAAATCTCATAAAAAATTTCAATCCACTTAAACTTGTCTTGCTATTATTACCACTTGGTAGTTGGACCTTAATGCATTTTACTCAAAACAGTACGAACAAAGGAACCAATTTTCAAATTAACATGACGTATATGTCGGTCACTTAAAAAATTCTAGAACCAAAAATGTATTTTGTAAATAAAATTTAGAAATTATTTAGTTTGAGAATTTTTTTTTATTTTTGTAAATAAATACAAGTGTCTTTTGTTTATATTTTAGAATTTTATATAATTGTACATAAATAGTAAAAAGTGAAAAGTTATGTTTTTTATTTGTTATATAAATATTTAGAAACAAAAATAATTTTATACAGAATGGAATATTTTATAACTATTTATATAAAATAAATAAGGACATAAAATATTTTCTCAAAACTTACATATATACCTACCATTTCTCTCTAAGTAAAGGCTAAGATTCACGTTATGAACATGTTGACCCTTACTAAGACTAAGTTTGAACTGGCAATAAAATAAGATAAAATAAAATGATATAATATTTTTTCTTTTTCTTCATTTCTAATTTAATGAAATCATAGTTTTATATTATTTTATTTCATTACATTTCACTCACCATTAAATATCTAAACTTAACCTTAAGTGGTTGCTTGATAGAGTCAGCAGATAGCATTTGTGCAAATTAAACAAATAAACTTTATCTATTGCTCTTAAATAAGTAAACAAATATGGTACACAATTTTGGTCTTTTATAGCAAACCATCAAGCAATAGCTTGATATGCAAAATATGCAAAATCTTTTGGCATTTGAAAAAGAGAAGAATGGATAAAGGTATCTATTCAGCGACACTCCCAATCAAAGTCAAAACAAAGCAAATGCTAACCAGTCATTAAAAATGAAAAGTTTTTATCATAAAATATTATTAATATATTTTTTTATAATTTTTAATATATTAAATAAATTTTAATTTTTTATTTTTAACTAATATTTTTAAGACACTAATTAATAACATCATTAAAACAATTTAAAAATTCTTTCTATAGAGACAGATCCCAATTTAGATCAAGAAAGAAATTAAATTCTTAAAGACCATAAGCTAAGATTAAAAATTCTAAGTTGTGGTTTTTAGAAAAAGCCTTCGACAAGGGAACTTTTTTTCTAATTAGAAAGGATGTGTAGTTATGTAAAAAATATATAAATCTTAGAAATTTTTAATGGCAATTATAGAAGTAATCTTTATTTAGAGTGAGAGAGAAGAACATCAAAACATCAATCAAATCATCTAGATTATGTTCTACTAAGAGAATCAAGTGGAATCTATGTCTTTTGCCAAATATAAATATATACACAGTTCATTAAATAATTTTTACATTTTATTTATTCTTGACGACTTTATAAAGTAGAAATATTAAAAAAAACTATCATATAAGAGTAGTAGAACAGTGTAACAACAAAAATTTCTAATAACCTATTAGGTCACATCTCATATTCACCGCAAGTCATACATATTTTAATAAAAATTTAACTTTTTCAAATAAAAAATAATTAATTTAAAACTATTGTATTGGCAATGATCTAGGTCAATGGTTGATGAATTCCTTCCACTGGTTCAAACATAAATATGATAAAGTATTATATACTCTTTTTTAAATTCATAGACATATTTTTTTTAATATCTTAAAAATTAAAATATATTTATATTTTTTAAAATAAATTATTAACTTCACTATCTATTAATATAAAATTAATAATATTAATTATTCTATAAAATATCTTCTTACACCGTAATATTTTTAATTCGTCAAATAAAAGAAAATTCCTCAAAATGAAATCCACTCCTCTTGTGTTCTGATTAAAAAAATCAGTAATCCAAACATTATTTACTAAGGAATCGACTTGGTGATAGAACTCCACGCCACACTTTAGCATAACTCATCTTTAATCGGATATCATTGTAATGGTATACAATAAACATGGGTTAGGTTAAATAGTCATACATGATATTCAATTAGGGTGAAATAGTTTCCGCACGAAAGCAGCATTTGATTCGCTTCAAAGACTTACACAAGTTTATGGCCATTAAAAAAGAGAGCTTGCGGTACACATTTAAAATAAAATATCACAATCGTTGTATAAGTTGGTGCTCCAATAATACTTTACCCTCCCATGCCACCCAAAAAAATACTAAGCTTATGCAACAGCTCATCATTCCATAGGCCACTACTGATTTTATTCTCTCTCCGAATTTACGTTTCAGAAGGTGACAGGTACAGATTGGAGATGCTTCGTTAATCTAAAGGAGGGCGGCTATAAGTTTATGAAAATATTGTACAAACCTATCACCAAAATTTGAGTTTCAAACATTAATCTTTGATTTTTTTAAAAACCTAATTCGTGAGCTAAAATATAGTTCATCATCAAATTTGGCTTTTATATTATCAAATTAGTCTTTTGTGTCCCATTTTAGCCACGTATAAACATCAATATGAATAATATTTAAATTTTTTAAAGACTATTTGATGCAAACTTTTTGAAAGACTAGAAATTAAGATTTTGAAAATCAATATGATAACATGCAATGGTTTTATGACTAACTAATAATAATATAAAATTACTAAAAATGAATTACATATTTTTACTCAATTTTAAATAAAGTTACATTTTAATCATATTGCACCTTTTATCGAGCACTAAAGAGTAAAAATAAAGATATTTCCATTTCGCTTCATTTCTCACTTTTATTTTCAACCTTTTTTTTTTTTAATTTGACGGCATAGAAAATAAGACGAAGTTAGGTTGTCGGCCCAATCTGTCAATATCAGTATTAATCCGTAGAACTTGATGGTTTTAACAATTGAAATTGTCCGACCTCCGTCTAATGGCGACATGTCACATAGCTTATATTTATTTCATTTCACTAGGCCGACATGAAGCCATTGAGCAACTAATGAGTAGCAATAAAGAGATAAAACTTAATATTTACAGGAAAATATCAGAATAAAAGGCGTTAAAAAAATCAGGGTAGGTGAAAAATATCTCATGTTTATCTTATTCTATTATCAATTGGATTGATCCAAAGATTGAAAATAACATTTCAAGAAAATTATGTATAACTAACTGAAGTGACAATAAATATACTAACTTATCAAGGCCGATTTTCCTACAGCACTGATTTTGCATTATCTTCCAATCTTCTTCCCGCACATTCAAATTTTGGCTGTACCTTAAAGTGGCACAATACTAAACTACCTCGTTTCACATAAAAGTGAAAGTGATATGTGATTACATATGCACTTTGGAAACAACTGATGCCAACAAAGAACACACCTCTTGGACACCAGAGCCACTGAACCACAAGTGAGTTAAATTTCTAATATACACATCACCAAACATTCGTGAAGTTCTCGCTGCCCAAGCAATAAATACAGTTGCCACACACAGGCATATACATATTCACACAGATTCGGATCCTATCATGTTCTCCAATATAAAGTTATGGTCTGTTGTTAAGGAGAGAGAGACTTTTTTTTCCTATATAACCAGTGGATCTCATGGCCATTGGCCAATCAGGGTTTCTCACATGAGAAGTGCCTTTCTCTGACCTGTTATAAAAAACATGAAAGCATCCCAATCTAATACTCACTGAAAACAAAAGGGATAATAATAACGACAAATCATGCGATGTTCCCCACCTTTTCTAAGAGGAAATTGGGTAATGTAAAGCCATAAGCAGAAACTTTCGATTGGAGGATGGACAAAACCGAAATTGAAGAACTCCTAGCTTAAATTATTTGGACTTTTTAGCCTTAAATTCAGAAGCTGCAGCTTTGACACCAGATTTGGCCAGGGCGGTAGGTTTAAGAACACTCTTAGGGTTGACAGCCTTCCTAATCTTAAAAGCAGCCCATGCAGTACCCAAAGCATGACCAGCAGCACCAAGCCCTTCACTTGTTGCTTCAGCAGCTTGTTCTCCATATCTGCAGTATACAAATTGCGAATTATTTCTGAACTGTTAGAGAACCCTGTATCTTATGCCAGCCTAAATTCTCAAAGCATGTCATGGAAAGTGAAATACAGTAAAAGGTTTTGATAGCCATTAACTTCTACCATTGCCCCAGGAGAAATGGTTAAGGAATCAAAAACGAAAATTTTTATTAGAAAGTGTAATATTTAATACTCACTAAAGTATACTCACAATGATTTTTAATAAAAACTTCTATTTATTAATTTCTTGACCATTGTCGGTAATGGCTAGCAAAACCGTTCAGATAAAAAGTAGATGTTAAAAAATGAAAATAATATTAACAACTAACCCTAATTACTCAAAGAACGAAGTATTAAATGTTATAAACTTCCACTTTAATAATTGTAGCTCTCTTTAACTAAGTCCGTAGTTTGGATGGCATCATTGGGATATTATATACTTGTGAATTCAAGATCACTGCATTCTTGGTTATCAGACCTAGAAAAAAAAATTGCCATTCTAAACATGCGGATCTTGAACTCTATTTGAAGCGGGTATTTTACAGACCAGAGTGAAATTGCTGGTGCGCAGTATACTCCCATGATATCATCAGTTCATCACAGCAGTAAAGCAAGAGAGCATGAGCATCTAATTACTAGTTTAGGAAAGGCAGTATCATACTATTACTAACTTCAATCCCTAATCTATAGGTATTTTTCGCTCTAGATAATGCATATATTCAGTTTTACCTGTGATCAACAAGCTCGGTTGTCACGGTGGACGACGTTGACATGACATTTTTTCCAGCTACTTCAACAGCATCGCACACTCTACCTATTTACAAGAAAATTGTAACATAAAAGAGTGTTAAGTGTAAATTTGAAAATTTAAACTTTTCTAGGACAGACTTATCAAGTACATCATTAGCTTGGTAAACCATAAAGTACCAATAAAATTGTTAAATCGTGTAAATACGTTGATTAAAGAAATTATATAGTAATTAAAGAAACTGCGTTTCAATTTTGGTTTCTGGATCTTAACAGTTCGAATGTAAGAATTGTGGATTAAATAAATACAAATGACTAAAGACTGATTATGGACAAAGCAGGAGGGCTCTAACAATATATACATTAATGGATCAAGGAGGTTTGATGAAAGGCAAATGATCTTGAGTGACTAAATTTGACACCCAACACCAGTCATATCAAACGCCACACAACTGACTGTCAGTCTCGTGGATTAAACTAAAAATAGTTCTCTAACAGATATCTCCACAATCAGGTCATAGATCCTAATATTCGAAAATAAAGTTATCCAAATGAAAATAAAACGACTAATCGGCCGGGTAAAAATCCAATGCCATCATCAACCGTGATCCACATATCCAATTTCTAACATACACACAAACACATCCGGTCTGCACTTTAAATATTCTTGAATCCTATACTAAATATTAGAATTATTAAAATCTATAGAACATACACAACAAATTAGGATAACTCTTTATCCTCAATAAAAAAAGAATTCTTTAGCATATATTCATGACTGATAAGGATGAAAAATCTAATATGACGATAGAAGATTGCATTACAACCAGACCAAACAGATTGCAATATTGGGTAAAACAATTTGACATTAGGTTAACTTTAACAGTAAATGCCAATTTCTCTATTTAAGACATTTAGTCTTGTTTGGTTTGAAAAAACATTTTCTATTTTCATAAATAATTACAAAAAGGTCATATCACTTTTACTTTATTTCTAGTTTTCAAATATGTATATAGGAAATATTTTGAAAACGAAATAATCTAGTTTTAACTTTTTTACTATACAAATTTTTAAAAACAAGAAACAAAATAAAAATAAGGTGACCTATTTGTAATTATTTAGAAAAACAAGAAAATAAAAACAGAAAACATTTTCTCAAACCAAATGAACTTTTATATCATGCATATTGAATTGATAACACAAAGAAACAAGCTAATTAAGCAAGACAATTCCAAACTGAAACAACTCTCATATAAGCATGCATCCCATTTCCACCAAATCTCTGTTGTATTCCCCTGAAGATACAGCAGACAGTATATGCATCTTTATCCAAAGATTAGCTAGATCAGATTCATACATGAAATTGTTTGCATTGAAACCGGACACAATTTTTGTTTTTCAATTCTAAAGTCCAAAAAATAAATGGATACTTCAACACCTACTTTAAAAAAATAGAGTCGCAATGAAAACGTTTGTGATGAAAATTTACTGTATCCACATCATATAAATTCATTTAATATGCTGAAGTGAAGTAAATCCACTATGCTTTCCATATAGACAAATCCCTAATGACGTGTACAATGCCAAACGAACTGCACTGGATTGCTATCTACCTAGAAGAACATCTTAGATATGAAAATAGATACAAGAGACAGCACTGGAAAACACAACCTTGGGGCAGGGGGTGGCAGCTGCCCTCCACCGCAAAAAATAAAAAATAAAAAAATTCATTGATATCACAATAAAGCACCTAAACGTATGTCCATATCTTCTATTGTCAAATCCACGGGATATCACAATGAGACAGATGTTTCGGTGGCTTTTTATGTCCGAAAAATATTCACTGATATCACAATGAGAAGCAATCACCTTGTCTAAAGAAGATCTAGTCATCTACTTCTTCCTTTCTTTCTACTTCGAAGTTATTTCATATTTGGCTACTGGTTAGAACTAGGACCTCAAACATTTCGGCTATGCATGTTAATAAACAAACAAGCAAAAATATAACTGACATACTGAATCCATCCAACGATGCGAGCACAACTTCCCCTGGTAGAAGGCTGAAAAATTTCTTTCCGACTTTTGAATTTACCAATGAACCGGTGAAAAATCCAGACACTTTCACGACCCCAGAGAGGAACCCGTTTGCTACTTTCTGTGTCATTTTAGTCACTCTCTTAACCCTATAAAGTAAAATATACATCAAATCAAAGGTCCAAATTGTCAATTTAATAAACGATCAAACAAAAAATATAACTACCAACTTAAAAAAGTAGCAGACTTCAACTTCCTCATCTTATAAACATTGGATATGATATAAGATATATCCCTATTCCAAAATATCTACTGTAACTCTTCATTTAAAATATTATTAACTTAATTAACAGAAAAGTATTTTATATAAAAATTATTTAAAATAAAACGGCAATAGACATTTTAGAGTAATAATAGACTCACCCGATAAAATGATATAGGAATATACAGGGCTGAGTTAAAAATTCACGTACGTAAATTATCAATTATTTAACGTGATTAACCCGAACATGGTTGGACACATAACTACCCTAGTAAATTTGGGCACAAAAGCACAACAACATTAACAAGGACAAGATTATTATATATCATGATATATCACCTTCTAATCCGCTTCAAGGTCTGAGGACTAATCTCAGACTGTGAACCAGGAGTGATCTTCTTCTTCATAACCTGATTTCCCCATTTCAACCTATCCACTGTCACATCTCCACACCACAAAATCCCCTTAACCACATGACCAGACCCTGCAGCAATCATCCTCGCAGCACTTCCACTGTAATCTTCCACATTCGGAGCCAATGTTGTCCAATACGCAGCGCATCGCTCCTCCATCATCTCCTTCTTCTTCGCCGACTTCAAATCCTTCGGCGAAACCTCCTTCGCCACCGATCCATCCAGAGCTTCCCCCTTCTTCTTCGCCTTCTCTGAAACCTTCTGCACAGAGAAGCTGCTGCAGTTCTGCAAAACCGCATCCAACTCCTTCAGCAAAGCCTCTTGCCCCTTCGATGCGATCGTCAACCCGTAGCTCAACAAATCCTCTTCATCGTCGGGATCCGAACCCTTGGGGACGCGGAAGGAGAAGAAGTAGTGCGAGTCGTCGACTTTGACGGCGGTCTCGTCCTTCGCCAGCGGCCATTGGATCTCGTCGGCGACGCGAGCGTAGACGGCGACGGCGTTGTCGCCTTGCTGGAGACTGATCACGGTGAAATCGCCGCACGCGAGTTCGACACTGTATTCCTTGTCGACGAGGTTGAGAATAGCGCCGGGGATCTTCAGGATAACCTCTTCGGTGACTTCCGGCGGGGCAGAGGGGGAACCGGGAGTGTCGGTGGTGTTGGTGTTCTCGGGGAAGAGGTTTTGAACGAGGTCGTTGAAGTCAATGGAAGGGTAGAGATTGGATTGCGAAGAAGATGAACGATCAGGGTGAAGGATGGATGAGGGAGCATCGGGGTTCGATTCGATTACTTCAGGGTATAGGGAATTTCTTGGATTAGGGTTTTGGGAAGCCATTGATGAAGAAAGAGTTTGGGTCTGTTACTGTAATTGGAGTGTGGAATTTTTGAGGGCGCGAGAGGGAAGAACTGGACAAATCAAGAAATGACGCGTGGCGTGTGGGACAGGTTATAACTTCCACCTAAAGATTCCCGCGCGAATACCCGTAAGAACTTAATATTTAAATAAATATTTTCTCTTTTTTTTCTTTTCTGCATATAACTAAACTCCATGAAGTAAATTCAACAATTATACAATGAATTACCATAATAAAATACAATGGATTATGTTTTCATTTTTTATTAATTTAAATCTTTTTTATAATTCAAATATATTTTTAAATTTTAATTATTTTCCTACAATAATACAAAACCTGTCCAGTAATAATGCAACGTTTGACTTGGTTAAAGGAATCGATTAATCTGTTTAGCATCAATTTCTTCTAGAAATGCGACAGCGCTTCTATCAGTTTCAACATCGTATCGCATTTACGTTCGTTTGCTTTGCAAGAAAATCAGAAATGAGAAAATAAGAAGATAAAAGGAAGGGGAAAAAAAAGAGGCTTTCTTCAATTTGAACGAGTTAAAAATAGGGAGAAAAAGTAAGGAACACGAGATTCCCAAAAAATTTCTCACCTCCACTTTACGCGTAGTAACGGGAAAACTAGGTAAGCTAACAAAACAATTTTAATATATTTTATTTATTTTCTCTTTTCTTAGTTTTAATCTAATTAAATAAGTGAAAAAATTATTTTTATTTTCTCCTAATCTAAACAAGATAAAGTTAAATTATTTCTCTACTTTTTATCTTTATATTCTATAAAATTTTCTCTCATTTTAATTTTTCATTCAATCGATTATAGTGTTTATTAGCATCAAATTCTTGCTTGCCTCATAGCTAGCTATTAAAGCTTGAGTGTTACAATTCTCCATCCTGTTTTTGGCATGTTCATTTTGACTATCACTATCCCTGTCAAATGTTATTCTTTGAATTTAGTGAATTTAAATTTTAAATCGAATACAATATATTAAATTAATAAATATAAAAATTGTATATCTTATTTTTAAATTTTATCTATACAATAAAATGAAATCTTTATTATTTATAATCAATAAATCCTATATTATTTTTTAACCTTTAGTATGAATAACTTGAATTTTATTTGTTAAACATGGTTTAATTTTTAAAATATCTGTACACTAAACAATATTTTTTTAATTTTTATTTCAAAATTTATAACTTACTTTAAATTATAAAAATTTTGAATTCGATAACTAAATTGATAAATTATTTGATAAAAGTTATTATTTTCTAATATTTGATGACACATATAATCTAATATATGCATGAAAATTTTTATATTAGGAAAATATGTTGTGAGCATAAAAATGGGACAAATAGTTGCTCCGTTTGATTTAGGATATGTTTTTGAAACATGTACACATATAAAATATGTATATAATATGATGCCACACATACAATGTGAATTTTTTTTATATTTAAATGATGAAATTATCGATTTTAAAAATCACTTTGCATAATTGTCTGTCTAATGCGATTCTATAACAAGACATGGAAGATTGCAATTAACAAAGAACAAGTTGATTATTTGATTTCTTGTAATAAAAATTTTAAGCATAGAATTAAGGAATAATTTTTTCAATAAATACTTATAATAAAAAAAATAGATCAATTTCTTTTAGAAGTTACAATCAACTTATGAATATAATTCTGTTAAAATTTTCTTTTAATTTCTCTAAAAGTTAATATATAAATATAAATTTAATTTATAAAAAATAATTTAGTTTACTTTTTTTACAAGTATTTGCGCATAAGTTTATTAAAATTGAACTTGTATGTTTTTTAGAATTTCAACAGGAAAGTACGTATTTCCATGGGACCAAGCTCAATTACAAGATTGATATTGCTGACAGGGCCACCCCTAACTGCTTGAGATTCTTGCTCCTTGTCCCCTTCAACCTTCCATGCTTTCTTCTTCATTTTAGACTTCTCTTGGTTAGCTGATAAACTAACCTCAATCAGCTCCTTTATCTGCATAATAAAGCTCCAATGATCCGTAACTATCCACACAGACAGTAAAACTTTGAAAACATGCCTAAATTATGCTTGTCTAAGCATGAGTTCCACAGATAAAAACTACATCAAAACGCAAATAGATTTTTTGTTCTTAAACTAAGAAAATTAGTACATTAAATTTATAATTTTATATTAACATATTATTTTACATTTTTTTTAAAAAAATTATCAAAGTAAAGTGTGCTTATTCAACATTAAAAAAAAAATCTTTATGGTTTCCATTCAAATATTTTCTTTCCAAACAACGCCTTATGATCAAGGTTTGGGGTAGAGAGAGACAGAACTTTATGTACCGTTTTTGAGCCAAACATTTTCTTCAATTCAACTTTGGTCAAAGTTGAATACTGAGCATCTTCACCGGCCTAAACATGAAAGAAATTGATGAGAAGTATATTAGAAATGAAATATAAAGAGGATTATTATATTATATTATATCATATATACCTCATAAAGATGTGCCAAACGGAGAAGCACGCTTCCATTATCCAACTCCTGCAAAACTATTTTAGCTAGAAAGAGAGAAAGAGAAAGAGAGAGTGAATAAAGTGCAGTACCTCAAGAGTTATGAGAGCAACGTTGGGAGGTAAGGTGTAATTAGGATCAATGAGAGTTCCTTTCGTCCAATGAGAGGCCTTCCAGTTTCCCATGTTCTGATAAATATAGATCTTAGAATAATATGCCCACCATTTACCATTAATTTACCACAGTTAGTTTAGTCATACCTCATGTGTAAAACCCAACAATAATGGCGAATAAATTTCCTGACCAGTTGTCCGGCGCCATCGTGAACCAGCTCCCAGGCTGTGGATCCCCACATAATAATTTCCTCTCACCTCATAAAAAGAACAGCGATATCAACTTCATACGCTATATATGTTAATATGCAGAGTATATATTAAGTCTGATTATGCCTTTTCCTACAAATAGCTGTACTTTCATGTTTCTATTAGCACTCATACTGTTAGTCCTTCACATGTATCCTTTAGGCAAACTTGTTCATCAAGTGCTTCGTCTACTCCTCTGCCATCATCAAAGACTATGCGCCTACAGTAATAAAAATCAGATATTAGTAGTTTCTATCAAAAATGGATCACTTGTAATCCAGAAAATGATTGCAGAGTATGTAGTTTCATTTTTTTTATCGTTGATTCTCTTTAATTACATTTCTTTATTAATATTTTATTTTAAATAAATATATGTGGAGAAATGTCATGCATTTTAGTTTCATACCTATGAAGCATAAGTTCCACCTGACCATCTCTGATACTGGCCCCTCCAGTTGCCCGATCAACTAAGACTGATAATTCAGATTTCTTATCCTTGATATAAATTCCAAGATTGAGCTGAAAAGGAGAAACTTAGTCAGAGTTTAAGATAAACCAAATCTATATTTTTCCAAACTTAACTAAGAATTAACGAGTATGTTTTTATTACTCTTGTGGTACGTACTCCTTATTGATTTTTAAAAATACAAAATGGGTGTAATTAATTTGAGGGAAGGAGTAAGCATCTCTAACTCTTCCCTAAATTCTGATGACTTGCTACCCAGTATAGGATGGCCTAAGAAAATAAATGTTCTATAACCACCAAAAATCCAAATTCTCGATGAAATGGAGTAAATTGAAGAAATTTACTGGGTAATAGTTTCCTGCTACAGGTTGATTAACTTGAAGGGACCAATCTTCTCTGTGATCTCGAACCTGCATGAAATTTTTTGTTATGAAAGTCAATTTTGTATGTTTTTCCCCTGGAAGACTTTATAAACCGCAGAAAATTTGTAGAAGAAGAGACTTACCCGTTTCATAAAATCTCTTCCATTAGAATCAGTATAGAACTCCTTGTTTGTAACCATATTTGCAGTCATTTGCGTGATCACCTCTTTCCCAACTCCATCCAACGTAGGAATTGGACCAATCTTCAAAAAATAAATTTGTGTCAGAACCTTATTTGTTATGATTATTATAAAACTTCATAGTTAACGACCACAGGATTTTATTTAGCAGCTACACCTTAAAAAAAAAAGTGGTCTTCTACATATCTAGACAATTTGACTTACAGTGTATTCAATCTCGGCATGCTCTTTGTCTTTGTAAACCCTAGTAACCTAAAATAAACAATAAAACAATGAGTTATTCATGGATTAATCAAAACCAAGTAGGTAATTAATGAGAGCACCGAGACTGGGAACTTAAAGGGGTGAGTTTCAACATTCAAAATTCAAATTTCCCCCACTATAATGCTCTTTTTCTGTGATGTGCTTAAATTGTAGTGCAAAGTGAAGAGTTCAAAATGATTTTAATCACAGATACGCAATATTCGTGATATTTTGTATGCATAATTGCTACTAAGATTATGTAGGACTTACTAACCTGGTAAATCCAAGAACTGAAATTCTGATGAACCTCATCAACTAATGGTCCGCGGATTATCTTTAAGGGCACCTGTTTTATATGCATTATAAACCAAAATGAATCTATGGGTAATAGGTAAAGTATAAGCAATTTAGATAGTCAATAGAAAGTGAGCAGAGATATAGTTTAAGTAAGAGAAAGTCGAGCAAAGCCAATAGTTGAAGGGCACCTGTTTTATCTTGAATGGCTTTTTTTAGTCAATGTGATTTATTTATTAGTTATAATAATATACTTCTTATGTTATCTTGTATAAATAGTAAAGATATAAATTATTAAAATATTGGTGAGTTAACTGATTAGAGGAAGAAACTTACTGATCTTGAAACAATATTTGGAGGGGAATTAGGCCGAAATATATATGCACCAGAAGCCTGGAGAGATAACACAGCTGATATTGCATCATACTCTGTACTGTTTAATCTGTCATTAGAATGAGTGTTCTGTGCAACAAAACAAAGTCACATACCTGATCGTCCAAACTAGAACCATACCAGAGATAGCTTTGCTGAACTGGTACATCAACCTGGAAAATAATTAAAAAATCATGAAAATTGTAAATTGTAATCGAAGATGATTCCATGCATATGAATTCAACATAAAATAATGCTAAGCCCAGCACTTAGCAACAAAGCTCCCTATAGAAAATGAAAAGTTGAGGCTTAATGATAGTGCTTTATCGATGGCTAAAAATAGACTTCCCTAATGTGTTATCTTGTGATGTTAAATAGAACCTGTATTGGTCCACATATTTGTTGAACAATATCTTACTATGAATGACAAATTGACAATTAAATTGAGTACTTGAGTTTACTCTATTTGCCTACATTCTTCTATGCGGTATTTCAAAATTACTTACTCCAGTTCTGGAATTATGCATCCGTATGAGTTGTCCAGAGTCTGAAGAAAAGGACAACTTTAAATTTCCAGGTCCAATTTCAATTATATTATTTGTCTGACTGCTGAGGCGTGAGAGAAATCCATTCTTTCTTTTGCCTAATCAAATTGAAACACAATCAAAGCATATGAAAGTTTCTGAATATTAATAAATGAGATATGCTATTTGACACCATGATAAAAACCTGCCATAAAGTGCTTTTGGATGAGCGTTGCAAATTTAATTATACATAATCTTGATATTAAATTTTTTTAATTAAATTAATTTATGTTTAGAAACTAGTGCAAAAGCAAAAAAAGAAAAAATTTGTAAAATTAAGTTTGTGGTAATCATATGATTTGGTAACATTTCTAAGTATTTTTAACACAGATTTAGGTTTTGTTTAGATACTTATGGATGAATCTTTATAGAAATAAAATTAATATAAATAATGAATAATTTTTTTTTATAAGTTAAAAAGAACTTATCTTTTCAAATTTTAAAGAAGTTAAATGAAAGAATTTTGTAAAGAAAAAATATAAGTTATTTTTAATTTATGAAAAAAAAATTATTTATTTTTTATATTAATTTTACTTTATACAAATTTTTCTAGAAATTTACTTAATTAGGACCTTAGTTTGGGTAGATTTTTAAAGAAGTCTTTAAAAAAATCAATATAAAAAATGAATAAAACTTTTCATATAAATTAAAAGTAATTTATTTTTTAAAATTTTAAAAAAGTTAAATAAAAGTTATTAATTTTTTAAAAATAACGAAGTATAAGTTATTTTTAACTTATAAATAAAGTTTTATTTATTTTTAATATTTTTTTTCTTAGAAGAATTTTATTACAAATTTTGGTCTTAATGGGCTTAGAAAAGCAAGGAAAAAAGGGGTACTTCACCTTTTATTGCTGGTTTAGAAATGAAATAGGTACTCCATCCAAGTGGAGGTACCGAAACCTGAAACAGAAGCGAGTATTTTGGGGCTTGTTTTGGTGTCAACCCAACATAAGCTTTGACGTACATTTCTCTTAAATTTGCTGTAACACTATCCACTTCGACATATTGTGTTTGAACGTTATTGCCCAATGAATCTTTGACGATAAGATTGGCGTCATTGACCTAATGCAAACGTTCCACCTAACATATAAGTAGGAATGTTGCAGTTCTAATCACACATTAATGGAATCTTGCATTTGAATGAAGTAAGGTCAAGTCAGTGATAGAATTAAAAGTAGTATCTAATTAAAGTGTATTGGAGAAAAGTGGAAAACATACACAAAGGAAGTCATCATTACATGTATCAGTTTATGCCACTTAAAGATGCTAAAATTAGAGTGAACTCCAATAACTTAATGACGTAGCATTGCACTTGATTTATTTTATGATGCTACAAGCAAATGGTAGATACTCACTGGTATTCTCACAATGTCAGTGCGATTCCATCCAAGTGTGTTATACACCACTAATACCTGGAAGCAACCATTATTATGTGATTCATCATTGATAAAAGTTTAGCCAAATTAATATTTTAGACCAAATATGGTAACATTACCAAACTCTTGGCTTGTGGTATAATGTCTTCGGTTGGTGGGCAATAACTGATATTGAGTAATTGACACTGCCAAAATCAATTAACAAAATTACTTAAAAATTAAGTACAGGAGGATTAAAATTCATAATCAACAAAGAGAAGGTTAACATAAGATGGAAAAGAGTTTAATACTTGACGCCAGAACCTACTTCAAGATGTTTATATGATTTTGTAGGGTACTTGGACAACAGTAATTGAATTGAATGTCAAAAGCATTCAATTAAGAATAGAGAAATAAAAGAAAATTTTTATTTTTATACATATTACCTGGGAAAATGCGGATGTAGGTGCTGAGCATTGAACCCCTGATCTCTTGCTAGCAAGACAATACAGAGAAGAACTAACAACAGCTTCAGCCTACAAGAAATCATTGCTTATAGAAAATTACCATGACATACAAATACTAATGTAGGGGAAAATAAATCATAGTTGGAGAAGTTCAAGCTCCTGACCCTTGAGGCTCCAATAGCTAGTCGTTTTGCATAGTCATTAGTTGTGTGTTGCGTAGCAGTGCCAGAGACAGCATCATGGTGTTGTGCAATTCCAAGAGCATCTCCAAGGTCTGAAGTGTGGTCTACACTGGATTTCCTTCCCACAAAAAATTCAAGTTGACGTGCTGCCTATGTAAACAAGGTTTTAAGTTTGTTTAGAATTGTAAGACAAAGATATATCCAGAGTTTTCATTTAAATAAGAACATCTAAGACCAAAGTGTGTACCAAATAATATCCACTTAGTATCCTAACATAACGCTTAAAGGCTGGGCGACTAGTGAAATAGCCTGTCCAATAAGCATTTGGTCCATCTGCATACCTATGAAAAAAATTAACATCAATCTTGTGCATAAGCATTCGGTAGAGCATAAGCTACTTCATTAATCAATTCAACAAATCCATACGGGAAGTAATCATCAGTTTTCAGGGGCCATGCTTGATTTGCGGCATTTTTTGCATCAGTGTAAATAGATGGAGTAGAATATAAAGCATTGACTCTGCCATCCTGACAAGATTAAACACAAACAAACAACTTTTCATGGCTTAATCACAACACAAAACAATTAACACGTGTATAGAATGGATTGTTATGTATACATCATAAACACAAACCTTATTAACATAGTGAATTAGTTTATCCATTTGCCTGAACCAAGACTCGGCATATTGGTACTGGAAATCATCACCCATTGTCCACATGATATGGTTCGCCCTAGTCACACTTGCCTGTTATAAGTCAAAGCAAATTATAAATATCCACATTCATTTTGTTTCATTTTATTTTTGGTGAATAGTAGGGATGAATTCTAAGAAAACTGCACTGCGAATTTTCGATCTTGGAGGGAATGAGAGTACTTGTGTAATAGCAGCAGAAATGAAGTCGTTGACTCGCTGTTCAACATTGTAATCAAATAGAAGGGGATCATCCTGCAGTTGTCAATTGTCCACATAGTAAGCAATGTGTTTTTACTTTTAACCAAATAAATATGCAGAATCACATTTGCAATGTTCAGGTTTTAGTAGTAAAATGTAAAAACCTGTACAGGAACAAAGTCATCATTGACTTCAAAATGAAAACCACTTGGTGGACTATAATGAACAGGAAAACTATTGGCAAATATCTGCACGAGGCACAAAAGGTGAATTAAAAGAGATAAATTATATATATATATATATAAGAAAAGGAAACAATCCAAACCTGTGCTGAAGAGCCAAATGTCTTGGAACCTCGCCACACAGCTTCAAGAGTTTTATCAACTCTGCGCTTAGCTCTGTCCTGATAATCAATCCTAGCGAAGTGCACAGAGTCAAGCCCAAGCTGCAGAGACAGTATAAAAGCAAATCACTCTTTTGTTGTCGTGAAAAACCACAATCATTATGAGGGGTATAATTCATAAAAACAAAAAAACACAAAATTAAGTGATACAGAAAATGTTTTTATCTACAATAAAAATGTACGACTAAAAGTTGTTCTAACATTTTCGATGGTATTTATACAAAAAATTAATAAAATTATATACAATGTCACGTTCGTGTCATGTTTTAAGTGTTGAAACAAAGTGGGAAAAACTAAAGAGAGAAACCTCAGCAGCCAGCAAGTAAGCTTGGACAGCAGAGTGTCCAAAGGGATCAATCTGCCACCCTGCACGAGGGACTTTGTTGAATTGGTTTTTGATGAAGAGGTGACCCAAAGTGGTTTGATCAATCATGTCTATGTAATGGGTCGTGGCTTCGTCATGCATGCACCAACCACCATTTCTGCACCGCACTAACATACGTCACACTCACATCCTCACATGTAAAATCTCTTTCACACACACACACACAAACATGTAAGCACAAGTCAAACTACGTACACAAATTCTAGTTGCCCAGCATCAACAAGCTTTCTCACTTGTTCTTGTGTTTCTGGACTTTGTTCCACCCACCATCTATGGAAAAACGCCTGCCATTCACGTCAAGAAAAAAGGTAAATTTTAAACTCATTCAATCTAATAAAACATGGGTTTCATATAGATTGTGATTTTAACATCATTTGAACATGATTATGGTATTAAGTAGTAACTAGAACTCCACAAACTAAACTGAAACACACTAAACACTAAGCTCTCAGATTTTACCATCTCAGCAAACACAAACTTTCTGTTTTGGTCACGCTGCAAGGAATTAACCACCGAGTCCAAAATATTCTCCACACATGCTCCCTATAAACCACAAACATTTTGGGGTCTAAGAAATCAGAAGCTACATGCTCCAACAAAAATCAGTGAACAAAATTATATGACTCTAACTTGAATGCTACTGTTGGACCCAACATAGTATTGGTCAACGGTCTTGAGCCAACCAACATCATCGTGGGAATGAGCAACCAGATGAATGTTCAATTTTCCTGGTACAACACTTGCTCCAGTGTTGTACTTTGTGTGTTTGACAGACACTACTTCGCCACAAAAACAAAGGAGGAGGAAAGCAGAGAAACACTCTGAAAGTAAAGTCATTCTATTTCCCATTTCAAACCCCCCCAAAATGGACCTGGTTTCATGCCTAGCAGGGCAAATCTAAGAAGGTTTAAATTGAAGTGTATAAACTTCACCCTCAACAAGAATAATTAGAATAATCCACATCATATTAATTACATGATTTTACCTTTTATATTCAATATAGTTTAAATAATTAATAGAAGATATTACAACTTTGGTAATTAAGAATTTAACACTCATGATGTTTTTAATATAATTTTAACGAAGCACAATAAAAAATAAAAAAATATTTTTTTAAAATTGTAGTATTTAATATTATATTCTAATAAATTATTTGTCGCTTTATTTATGAAATTTTAATTTATTTTTCATTAAAAACACAACTTTATCCCTTGAAATTTTATAGTAAAACGTAATAATAATATAACTTAGTTAAAATGAATGAAGTCATAAAAAAAAAGTTGTTATAATTAATCATGAATGAATGAATTTTGAATTTAAATTTAGATTTAAAATTTTAAATTTAATTAATTGATAATAGTAAATTTGTATTAAAACATTATATTTTAAACTTTTATATTTTTAATGTAATAAATGTATCATTTGTTAATAAAAAGTTACTGTTTTATATAGACAAAATCCTTTATTTATTGCATTTATTTAAAAAAATAAATTTTTAATTTCTAAAAAATTATTAAAATTTAATATCTATCTCGATAACTTCAACTAATTTAATTATTTACAAATAAAAAAATAATGTGATTCTTTTCATGTATTAGGTATTAGTATGGGATTTTGGTGACCTCCAAGTGAGCTTGTTCACTCTTAGATGTCAGCAACAAACGACATGCTTACTTGTAAATTGCCACCTATCAATTGGTGACATGTGGGTTTATTACATAGATACTTGTTAGACAAGTTAGCATTTAAAAGAGAAGATTTACAAGAAGTACTAAATGCATTAGCATTTCACAAATTGAAAACATCAAAATGAAGAAAACATTTTGCTATCATCAAAGAGTGAGGGGAACTTGAAGAGATATAAACTATTAATTTCATTATCTGTAAATATAAAATTAGTGTTATAATTATTTTAGTGTCTTTTTCATATTTTAGAGTATAAATATATTACTAATTTTTAATGATTCAAATAATAAAATTATGGATCTCAATGACTTTTTTAGCAACATTAGTTACATCTATACATATTTAAGTAGAGTATTATAATACAAACTAATGCAAGGATTAATAATGGAAGGTGACATTGAACTCGTATTGATCCTCTGCAGTGGCCAACCCCTGTTCTCATGAATGCATCTTAGTTTTTGTGTTTTCAGATTGTAATGATGATGCGTGGATTAGTTAAAACTCCATTTACAATTTATTAAGGGGCCTTAGTGTGGCATGTAAGACCATGAAATGGAGGATCAATGGAAGCATAATTGTAATTGACTATAGTGGAATTGGGGGACCATGATTCGACAATTGCAATGCAATTTTTGCAGCCCATTAGAGCCGTGAAATAAATCATCTTATCTCTTCAGTCCAAAGTTCAGGATATTCTGCTTTGATATCCTAGTCATGTTCAAACTTCAAATACATGAATGATTAAAAGCTCATTCATTGAACAGAATACGAATCTCTCAATTATTTATTGCCTTCACTTAGAAGTGCATTATTTTTCAGTGCCGTATCGCAGTGCTTTATTTTTCAAGAACCTTATATTCTTTTAGTTTCATTTAAATAATACACTAGATTAACATTTCAGCCAGAATTTGATTTCTGTAATAATTAATATTAAAATTAATTTAATTAAAATATTCAAATTAGTTGATAATATAAAAAAATTTACATTCACGATGTATTAATTTTTTTAAAAAAAATTTCAGTCATATTTATAGGTATAATTATAATCCTACTAAACTTTTTTTTAAGACAGTGATTTTAAAATTCAAGCTTCTAACAGTTAAGATTATAATATTTCGTATAATCAATTATTTATTAGCATTTGTTATGATACTTTTAAACTTAAAGAAGCAAGATATATTTTCTCTAAATTGAGGATTGTAATATTTTTAATATTTTAAAATATAAAAAATATTTACATCTTTTTTAAATAAACTACTAACTCTATTATTTATTAATATAAAATTAATTATCATAATTGTTGCACGTGTAAAATATAATAAAATACCCTCTCATTTTACCTATCACAACAGAATTTACCTTATTTTATTTATCAGCCTTACTTAGGTGCAATATTTTTTAATGACAATATGAATCGTTTAGCACTATCTAATGGCCTTACGTGTTCAACTTTGTCTAACAAGCCTGGGCCTATTTAACGAAGTGTGAATTTGAGTTTGCCCGATTATTTATTGCCGGTCTTCTTTGTTTTGTTTTGTCCATGTCCAAATGAAAGCTTGACGTTGTTCAAACTTTTATTTAATAGCCTACAATACAAAAACACTTTTAAACAGGCTAAAAACTTAAATCTATATTTTCAAAATTGAATTAACTTTAAAAATTTATTATATTAAACACAAAATTAATATATAATTACTAAATTACGTAAGAATTACAAACTCTTAATTACAAGTCTAATTAATAAATAAATAACCTAGTTGAGTTGGTAACATAATCTTCTTTAAAGATATGGATATATCTTTTAATATTTTTTAAGAGACAAATGATAATAAGTGTCTCAAATAAAAAATTAAAAGTGATTTTTTTGTCAAAACATATAATAAATACACATTTTCTTTTATTTTCAACAGTCTAACATATATTCTAATAAAAAATTTACTGTTTTTAATTCTCTAAAACATTGGTTAGCAAGACCCTTTCTAAAAATGACTTTGTAAAAGTTTATATTTGAATTAATTTAACGCAAGCTTTATGTATAAGCAGCATAGATTTATGCTTATTTTCTCACTCTGTAATAATAATAATAATAATAATTGTATTAAATATTTAAAACAATATTGATAAAATTGTACTACCAATTTGAAAAATGTATTTTAAAATTCTGGATAACTTTCAATACCAATTTTACTTTAATACTTTCATTTTTTAAAGGATTTTACATATCAATTATGAAAATATACATTTTAAATTTGATAAAAAGTTATTACTTAATTCTCCATTATACTATCTACAATTGTACCATCTTTTTTATTTTAATAACTAATTCAGCTAATTTAGTCAAAATTACATGTAAAAATATGATGCCATGTATTTCAAAGATGAAGAAATTGCAGTGATAAATATCCTCTCACATTTAATAGCGAAGACTCCATTTTATTATATTACAAACATCGCACATTTAATGACGATTACTGTATTTGATTATATTAAGGGGAAAAAGAAATCCATGCACAACGATAAAGTTAAGCATCCATCTATATTGAACTATTTAAATATTTGGAACTTTCTTCATAAAACAAAGTCTTTTAAAAGCCCTCGTCACATAATAAGCACCATCAACCAATAATACGGCATTTGCGAGCATTTTTTTTAAGTAAAAAAATCATCCAAGACAATCGAGAGATATGCATCGAGTTCCAATCAGCTGCGGAAAGACACAGATTAGAACATGCGAAAATAGTTCCCGATTAGGACAGCCACGTAAAATTTTACCAACAAAACCAAACCGGACAGGGTAAAGTAAGAGATTACTTCTTCTCCTCTTCGTTTGATGGCTTGTCGTCATTCTTTTGTTGAGGCTGGATAAACAATACAATCAGAAAGCTGATAGCAGCATAGGAAATGGAGAAAAATTCCACTTACGTAAAAGAATGCTAAGCATAAAAGATCATAAGCTAGGTAGTAAATTAGGATCCATTAAAACAATATTCTGCAGACCAAATTTATGCATGCATATACATTTAAAAATATATTATTAGCAGCAACAGTTTGTTATAGCATTTAAAGCACAATAATCAACCTGAAAAAAATTCAAAATAGGAAAAGAAAAATAAAGCAAACAAAAACTAATGAGTGGCAATTTCTAAAATTTTGCAATTAAGAACATATTTATTTTCTTACTAGTATCTGATTATATTTTCTTATTAAAAAACCAAGACAACAAATGTTTTTCCCTGGAAAGACTAACCTCGGACGGATTTTGCATGGAGGCCAGCAAATCCTTAACAGAAGGGTCATTTGGGTCAACCCCAGGAAGCTGCAGAAACAAGAAATTATTAGTTAGTGCAGAAAATACAGCACAGAAAACACAGCAAATCAATCTACTACATTAAAAGAACAAAGCAGATTACAGGATTTATTAGACATACTGATGCAAGGATAGAAGATACAAAGGATTGATCTGCCAACAATTTGCTCATGTCTGACTGGCTTGCTTGATCCTTTGTGCCATCTGTTATTGACAATTGGAGAGCTGCAAGTAATAAATGACCCAACACCAACAAAAGATTATAACTACCACTAAAGCTTTACTGCGACCTAGAAATTCTAAGACATAAATTAATTTAACCCCATGTACAGAACACTCATTCTACTGATAAAATGTTTGACACAACTTCAATTTGGAGAAACAATCACTTTTTTTTCAAAAAATCACAGAAAGCTGGCAAAACAAACATATTTCTTGAAAGTTAAACCAAACATGCAATAAGCCCAATCCTCAAAACAAGTAGGACTAAGTTGAGTAAATATGCAAGACTAGTAGGACTAAGTTGATTACTGGAAAGTAGAGATGCACACGACTGTATAATTTGGCTATGGAAAATGCCTATTGATTGTGGGATGCACGCTGATTTGGAAAATGTAGGGAAAACGCAAGTGCTTTTTGTTGGCTGTATATACAACTGCATAAATTTGGTTAGCGAAATGCCTAAACCGACAATATGGTGGTCCTGTTCATAAGTTTCCTGATGGGGTTTGTGAGTCTCTATAGAGGTCAGCATAGCAAAGACCCTGGTTTGGTTAAGGGTGTGGTCTCTGGTCATTGAAACCAAAGGAAGATGGAAGCAAAGGATGGTTGGTAACGGAGGTTGGCAATTCTGTTAGGAGTACGGAATGGATTATTGGGCCTTGGTGGGCATACATGGTTTCAACGTGAAATGCAAGATTGATAGTGGTAAAAGGAGGCTTTGAGTGAGGCTGAGGACATAACAAACTGATCATGCTGGGCATGTGGCCTGGTGAAGGTCTTGCTGGATTTGGTCTCACACTGATTTGAAGAAGGTGAGGTGGTCTTTTTCAAAGATGATACAATGGGAGCTTGAGGTTCTGACTAGTGTGGTTTTTTTGTGTGTGGACGCAGGATTGTAACTAGAGTTGAAACTTGTGGTATGTTTAGAATCGCTCAAATATATAAATGCATACCAAACAAACCTTATGCATTGAAATCATTCCTTTTAACCAAAAGGAATAACTATACTTCACTAAAGTGAGAAAACCAAGAAGAAATCCTCTCCTCAATTCGATAGTTAGTTCAATCATCAAGAAATATAATCAAGGCACTTCCCATAGAAAAGACTGGATGTAAAACACTGACTAGCAAAACACACAGCCATGTTTAATGGAGGAACTACAAAGCACAAAGAATTGGACACTTCAAAAAGGAGAAGTGTCCATGTTTCCATGTTGGACACTTTACATACACCGTGTGACATTTAAATGCCTAATGGAACACTTAAATTGTTCTTTGTTGTAGTGTCCATGTCTACATTGGGACCCATGTCCATATCTGTGTTTCATAGATGAATAATGAATAAACAACAAAAAACTCACCTAGAGCCAACTCAGGATCATCTGCAGATGCTTCTGACATATCTGTATCCTTTACATCATGGCTAATGGCAGGATCATCCATTGACATAGCAAGTGCCTGCTGTAGTAGGGCATTCTCATCATCCTGTTTCCATTTGAAGGTCAGCACAAACAACAAAAATAATACAATGTCAATTTATGGAAGAAATGAAACAAAACAAAACATGAGAACTGATTCGAAACCAAAGCAAATAGGAAGATGCAAAAAAAAATTATTGAAATATATAATGCCTTATATATCATATCAGCCAAGGAAAGAGACACTAAAGTTGGGTTGCATTTAGGAAAGAAAAATGTTGCTAGAAATAACAGTTTCCCCAAACTTCCTGGATATCCACAAGGCCATAACTCTTGATGTCTCTACAGACACAGCAATGCACACACTGGCTAAAATGCAGCCTATAATTATGGTAAAGGGGAAAATATAGTTTTAAACCAGCATGTCTTTCATCTAACAGCATAGGAGTACAGAGTGCAGTAACTAGAGGGACCACCATAATTGGTGCATGAGGCCATAATGATGGTGGCTAGTGTTTGAATGTGAGTAAACTTTAGTTGTAAAGAAGCAGACACAAAAACGCTATAGCAGTATGAATATGACAGGATGGCTACTATACTGAAGATTATGTATATACAAATGTTAAAAAAAATAAAAATAAAAACACCTAGGAACATATATATATATGTTCATCATCAACACCAAAAATTTAAGTCATGATTAAGAAGTAAATAACATAGGGCTCAGATCAAATCACACAACACATAAAATAGATAGAAGAACAGATTCAACAGAATAGATGAGGTTGTTACATTTTAGAATATCTAAAACTTATCTCAAAGTATCTTCAACGTCTCTTGGAGTAATTTAAAGTATCTTTAGATGATATCTTAGGAGTGGTGTTCATATTTCATTACATTTCTTGATTTTTTCCATATTTGTATGATTAGGATTAGTAGTCAAGTACTACTATAAATAGGGTTAGTGATCTGTCTTTTGTAACATATCATTACACACCATTTATCAATAGTATATTCCACTATTGTTATTCAAGTTCAATTTCTGTGGGGTCTAAACCAGTCGGACCCCCATTAAAGACATACCAAAGAAGGAGGGGTAAAATGGGACAGGAGAGCAAGGAGGCCGCAAGATTCTAACAAATTAACAAACTAGCATAAGTGGCAAGGGAGGTGGGAGGGAGGATGCGGGGGAGGAGAGGGAATATATGAAAGCTGAACATTTGACAAAGGCAGAAAATATATGGGAGGTCATTGGGGGTGGCTGCTGCCATAGGAGAAGTTTCCATTTCGTCATTGTTATCTTTCTGTTATTTCACCTTTCTATTGTACTACCAGGGTATTCCCTGAGATTTTCGTGTTAATTCAATAAATACACTCAGTTCCTACCAATTTCCTTTTCTGTTTCCATTTTTGTTGTCTTTCCATACCTAAATCCCTACAATTTTAACATAGGTCACAGACCTACAAAAACAGAGGACTGTGGAGTGTAAATGAAACTACACAACGCGCATAATGGCCAGTCCATCCAGCAATGGTAAAAGAAAGAACAGTGGCAGTAAAACAAATTGGCACAAATTAACTACCCTTGAGTAAATGTTTTAGCTCCAGGAATGGTTAACGGAAAAACAGTGGCATGGTGATTCATTAGAGCTAATGATCGTATATGGATACTTCTGATACAGGGGAAAAGACAAAAATTGTCAAATTGATGGATCTATTATGGAGATGGTTCTATTTCAGATATTAACATCAATAAACAAGGTTACAATCAATTGAGTCCTAGCACATCAGTATGAAAATAGATGATTATATTCTAGTCGAGCTAAAAGAAAAACATGGAATTACATATAGATAAATGCAACAAAAGCACCAACCATCAGATCATTTGTCTTATTTTCAGCTTCAGACGTTGTTGCACTGGCACGCTCAGTCATTGTTGCATCTTGTGAGCTAGCTTGCTGCTCACCTCCTTTCTCTTGTTTGGCAGCATCTTCTGAAGCCTTTTTTGCAGCTGCTTCCTGCCTGGCTCTCTCCTCTTCCATTGAAACTCTTAGAGCAAGAGCCAATTCAGGATCCAAGTTTGGATCCACCCCAAACTCAAAACCAGATACACCACCAGCTGCTGCTGCTGCAGCAGCAGCAGCAAAACCACTCCCACCTTCCCCATCACCAGTAAAAATAGGTGTACTGCCAGATAGAAACATCACATGAATATCTGGAAGTTAGACACTTTGATCCCAAATTTTTGCATTGAGCTTAAAGCTTAAGAGAAACAAGGGATATAAAGGGAAAAGTACATGATGAAATTGATCCACAAACCTTATAAGTACATCAGAGAGAGCATTTGGACCAGGTGGAACATGAACAATGTGGCTGGTATCATTATTGTTAACAGCTGCAAGGAGTGCCTCCAGCTTCTCTGTCTTACCCTCATCTTCTTCACCAAAATTAACAATATCAAGTGCTACACTATTCTTTTTCAACTTTCTCCCAATCATCTCTAACATTTTCTTTTCATGCTTGACAGGACTATAAAACATTAATTGAGATAGTTACGACAAATTAACAACAAATAATATAATTCCAATAAAGCACAAAATATAGCTAAGCAAACCTTCCAGCAAAAACGATAATCCTTTGCTGTTGCTTTTTATTTTGCCGATGCTTAAGAGCCAATTGTGCCACTTGAATGCCAGCAGCCAGGTTCATCTCACCACCTATTTCTAGTCCTAAATTGGGGGGGAGAGGGGATAAAAGCAATCATTTTTTCACAAAAAAGAAGAATCCATAATGACACAGCAGAAGAATATGATGCAAACTTAATTGATTCTTGTTCAATGTCACAGAAATGAATTTAGAAAAATTCCAAACCTAGCAATAGACTTGCGCTATAAATAACCTTACATAGCTGCTACTAACATCCAAAAAGAAAAGAGGCTTAACAAACTTTTAAGTCAATTAACAAAATCATACAAAATTGATTTTTTGAATCCCTGCATAATTTAGTAATCCCTATCTCCTTCTACATCTTTAGGAAGGACTTAACAAAAATACAAGTGCATCAACATCAAGAAATCGCCAGTAGGTAGGCACAAACACAATCATCTCATAATAATTTTAGTGTGTTTTGTCATTGTGTTAGGGAACATGTTAAGGAATAAAAATCACATCTATCACTCTTCTTAAATATTTGAATATAAAATTATTAAATGATTTTTTTTTTATTTTCATGATATTTAATGCTTTTACTTTTTATTTAGTACCTATTCTTATTATTTTAACCTACATCCTAAGGGGATATGCCAACAAAACACTAATTTGAATAATAAAACCTAAATAAAAAATATAGCCATTTCATAACACAGTTAGATTCAATTATCTCTCACACCCAATATTTTTAACACACAGCATGATCCAAATAATAAATTTAGAACAGCAACAGGTTTTACAGAAAAGGGTAAACATTATATATATTTTCATATAAAACTGACCATGCATACAAGCTAAGATCTTGCCCAGATCACTGGTAGGGGTGACCAAAACACGAACGCCCTTTCCTGCCATTGTGAGAACTCCCACTGTATTTTCCGGATTAGACTGTATTGTTAAATCAAATAATTCGTCAGCACAGGTGAACCCTACACAGTTATCTGAACCGCGGATTTGAAAACCTAATCTGAAATACAACATCAACCTACTCTATCCTGACTTAAGCCAGCTATAGTATTCATAGTTTTCTCTAACTCTAACTAATTTTCCAAAAGCTAAACTGATCTAATGAAATGATAACAAATATAAAATAGAGAAGAAAAAAAAATGTAAAATAGCATAATAGTGTACGGTTTAGCTTAACCTGACCTGGGTTTTAGCACCGCAAATGAGATTGACAGCGTCCGCTTGAGCTTGAAATCGAGAAGGAGCGTAATCCCCGTTACGCATCCACTCAGAATTGTCGATACAGATCATTGTTGCCTGTAGAAGAAAGCAATACGTAACATCGGAAAACCCTAATAATTGGAATCCTATGGTTGGTTGAAATCAAGAAGTGGAGGAAATCGGGGATTACCTCGAGCACCATTGTTGGAGATTCAGAAGCTAAACGAAGCGAAAGAGAGAAAGAACCTTCTTCTGTATGTATCAGAAACTTGCGAGTTCGGTAACTGGGAGCTTAATTCTTCGAGATGAATAATTATATTTTTTTTTGTCATGGATATATAAAAGAATAACAGGCTTAATAAATTCCGAACAGACCCGCTTGTGTTGGCCCAATACTTTCTATCTCCCCCAAAAATATTGTTGACAAAAATAATTAAAATATAAAATTGTTTTTTATTTTAAAATTTTAAAAAAATATTTTCATTGTTTATTTTATGAATCTTTGAAAATAAAATAATATTTTTATAATTAATATTAGAAATATAAATGAAAGCATAAAATATTTTGTCCGAAGTAAACGACGCCGGTGGCTCTTTACAATTTTATTATTATTTAGTGAAATTTTATGTTAATATTGTCAAATAACTTGTGCCTACTTTATCAATAGGTTTAGTATAAAATTTTGTTCAATTATAAAATAAATAAATAATATTTTATTGTCAAACATAAGAGAACATTATGTGACTTTTTTTTTTATTATTGAAATGGAGTGAATGGAAAAATATTTTTTTCAAGATTGCGAAACAAATTGGTTGTCCACGATGAAGCTAACATAGTGTCGTTAACTTTCTTGTTCACACACATATTAAATTTTATTTTTTCTGCACAATTTTAACTTACAATATAATGACACAAAATTTATATTATTTATAAATAAAGTATCAACAAAGTAATAATTGACACTAATTTAAATTTTTGTCACTCAGTATATGTTATATATCGGTTAAATTTTTTGTGACTCCTGTGTATTGATAGGTTAAATTTTGATAATTTACAATTTGTCAGTTACTTTAATTCTTTGTGTATCATGCTGTTACTTAAACTTTTACTCTACAATTAAAGAAGATTACACTTTTTTATCTATCAGTTTTTACTTAATTTAAAGTGTGTGTATATATATAGATATCGAGGTATGTATTGATTGAGCAAAATTTAGAAGAAGCTAAATTTATAGAAAGAGTTGAAGGTTAGAAGTTTTATTTTTTTTTAATTTTTGCAATTAAATTTTAAATAATAATATTAATATTATTATGAAGTTATGAAATTAAAAATATTTGTTGTGCTATGATAATTTATTTAGTGTAAATACAATATTAAAAATATAAATATAAATCTCTTTTAATTTAATTCACTTGTAATATTTTTTTATTAGTATTTAATTAAGTAGTTAATTTATTTTTGTAATATTATTTTTGTATTTTTTAATTTGATATGTCGATGGCTGAAATTGTTTAAGTGGTTGTTTTATATTGAAATTGTAGTTATTTTACTAGTCTTGCTGACGGAGTGCTGCATAAAACTAGGATCTCTCACTTTTACTCACAGTCTATACCTCCCATAAAAAATTATTCTTATAACGAAAAAAAAGCATTATTTTTTAAAAATATATTAATATTTATATTTAATATTAAATAGCTTTTTTTTACGTTATAAATTTTTAAAATAATAAAATTATCTTGTAAAATGATATTTTTTCAGGAGAGAGCCAGGTGAAAAACGTTTCACAAACTCTGCCATATGGACCAATTAAAAATGTGTCGATCCTGCTCATGCTGACACCCATGTCAGCTAAACCAATGCTGACATCAAAGTTGTATCTAAGCCATTCAACACTATAAAGAATATCCACGTGTTAGGATCACAGTCATTAATTTTTTACACTTGTCATCCTTTCATTGGTGTTGGTATGTTGTTTGACGATATTTATAATTAAAAAAAGAAATATTTTATATCAACACTGCATCTTTCGTGCCTATAACACGTGACATTTCTCACCACACCCAATAAATTTGTTTTCCAATCACTCTATATGGAGAAACTGTCTCTCATTCACCCCATTCCAACAAAAAAGCCATGTTATATTATACGTCACTTTAAAATAATAAGGTAGAAGTTTGAATATTAATTTTATCATAATTTTTTATATAATTTTTGTGTGGGTTAATTTACTATTTACGTTTAAAAAACCTCACAAGATAACCATTAGTATTTAATTTTCTTTTTGTAAAAATTTAATATTTTTCAATAGGATATATAATTTTCTGTACAACTTACAAATTTTTTTTTCATTTTTCAGAAACCTCATTTTTATTCCTTTTAATGTTACAAATTTTAATTAGTTTTAATTCAGATTTTAGGTTTAGAAAAAAGAGAAAGTATTATTTTGCCAATGATAAACAAAATAAAATTGGGATAGGGTAAGGGTATATACCATAAAGTTTGCAATGCACTAAATAATATCTTTTTATCTCTCACCTTTTTTTTTTAGATTTTTTTTGTTTTTATTTATTTTTTATTTTTAAAAATTAAGATAATATTAATTTTTTTATTAACTTAAAATAAAAGATGCAATTAAAAGAGTATGACAAAATCAATTAACAACTTTAATAAAAACAAAAATATTAAATATATTCTTTAATTGCTATGTCAAAATTTTGAAGTGACATAAAAAGAAATCGAGAGTATATGAGATGAGAGGAAGTTATAAATAAGTATTCCAATTCAATTCATTTTATAAATAAGTATTCCAATTCAATTCATCACACTCTCCAGAACATGATCAAAGAAATCTCAAGAGAAAGGAGGGATAGAAGAATCATCATTTGCATTATGATGATGATCATCTTCATAACTTGGAAATGCTGCATTTCTTTGGGTCTCTGACACATCATCATTAAGATGATGATAGAGACAAATGTCTTTAGTCCCTGAGGAACTTCCTTTCTCAGTGATTTGGGAGTTTGATTTGTCCATTCCATATAGCAAAGAACCCAATGATGTTGTTGATGTAGGATTAAGTAGTGCATGAGAGGGACTTTGCCGGTCCTTCTCCTTCACTCTTCTCTGCCATTTAGAGAGTGATTTTCTTACATTTTCAGATATCACAGACTTCTTGAATCTTGATCCCATCTGCATTCACATAATCAAGATTTTTGAGAGGGACTAAGGGTGATTGAGTGCAATTGCACATGTGCTAGTGTGGGAGAGGAATATGCGTCAAACAACTCCCAAAAGCCTAAGGGCTTGCTTGTTTTAACGTTACAAGATCAATTCTCGTACTTTTTAATAAAATAACACACATTTTAATAAAAAATGTCTTGTTCAGATTAATTTTTAATCATAATTTAATCGCTTTAAATAGTTCAAAATCAATTCCTCTCAACTTTAAACGGAACATCTCATAAGTTGTTTGGTGCAAGCCCAATAAATGTTTAAACTACTTATAGGGGTACTGTACTGATATCATCTCAAGAAATATCAAGTTATTAAACTGCTCATAAACTGTTAGGTGGAGCGGTGAAGGCTCCAAAATGATTTTTATATCTCCAACAAAAAGAACAAGAAGCATGACCTGTGTGATGATAACATAGAGAGGGAACGTTATAAAGCTGCACCATACTTGGGAGATGACCCTGTGGCAACAAAAGGGTAAAAGTAGATATGATTTTGGAGGAACTGTTATTCAATTTAATTGGTAGAAATAGTAAGTCAGAAATTAATGAATACCCGAATGACAAGCGGATCACAATAAACGTTCGGTTGTTCATGAAGCATGAAGGATCTTTAATTTCCCACTGAACCCAAAATAAAAGGCAACATAAGTGTTAAGGTAATATGGTTAGTCCATAAACCAACCAACCGAGCAACTATATTTCTTCTAAACATAAAGTGATTATATTAACATTCACATTTCATTCAAAGATAATTATATATTATTTTTATACTCCAAAGTTTCTATATATGGCAGCAAGAAATGGTGTTGGAGAACTTGCAGACTTATGGTACAGTACAGATTGCCTAGTTTTAGGTACTGCAATATGAAAACAATGTCAGATTCTTACCAAGGACCATAAGAATGTTGACATTTCAAATGCATTCTGCAAGATAACAAAAGGGAAAAGGAAATTAAAGAAGTGTATCAGCAATGAAAAACAAAAATGGGAAAAAAAAGCTAACGATACATACCAAGAAGGATATCAATTGTATTAACCGTAACAGAAGCCTTGGCTTTCCAAACCAAAAGAGCTCATCTCTTAAGTTAAATGAATGATGTTTCATGTATGGGCATCGGTCCATTATTTCAACAGCCAACTTTACCACTACTCGATGCAATTTAGTACCAATTATGAGGATCAACTAAATTGTATGCCAATACAAGAAAAGTAGAAAACCATTATGAAGTGTAACTAGTAGTAGTAGATGGAAAGTGAAAAAGGCATAGTAAACTTTACCAGGACTTACCATTGCTGGAACGAAGGAAAGCCAAAAGTAAAAGTTGCTTCCTGAATGAAAATTGTGGAGTCAAGTTTCACATTCGGTTCACCAAGTAAACACATTTGATTTACTCAAGTTGCTTAAGCTCACATCTGAACAACATGCTTGTAAGCTAAAATTTACAGCAACTTACCGTGAAAATTTAGAAAAATACAGCATATGGCATATATCCAGAGAGGCACACTGTAAAACAAGTCCAGATGAAGCTATCAAATTTATTTTCAAAAACCGGAACAGAAAGTAACACAAGAATGAAAAGGTTTTAAAATATAATTCATCATAAAAACATATTCCTCTATTCAATTACGCTAGCAGTTGTAAAAATCTAATTGGTATTACAGTGACGAATTTAATATAATAAAGAAAGAAAGCCACCAAATTCATCTGAATAAAAAGAAACAGTACCTAACACCAACTATGTCACGAAATTCCTCGTCCATACTTCGGAGCATGTAGTTGTGGAAATCGTACGTTAGAGGAAGTTCATGATTCTATAGAACACCAGAACAAAAAAGAAAAGGCAGAAATATTAGCTGGCAAAATTAATTTGCCTTCTTCACTTCCACATTCCTTTTGTAAAATGAGAAAGCAGGGGAAAAAAGGTAATACTTTTGCACTATAATCTCATGAATTTTCCTCTCTATATTTTCAGTTTGATGAGATTGTATAAGAAGCTATAACATATAATACGATAAGGAAATTCAATATCTCCAATAACTAATTTCCTCATCAACTTGGTGCCATTCAGTTTAAAACTAAGGACTATCTACACTCTTTTTTTTTTCATTTGATGGAAGTTACTGTTATACTATGAAAAAAAAAATACTCACAGTAATGAAGCCTAAGCGCAGTGCCATATAATCAGCTCGGTGGATAGAACTCCAGAATTGGCGGCTGAAACATAGCTGTGATATACGTTCATTAGTATTCTAAGAAGACAGGGAAAATGAGACTACAAGTGTCAAAAATATTTAAATGAAGAAAAAGCATTTCCATTTTTCTTTAAGAAACATGCTGCATTTAAAAGGCTTATCCAGGAGAGTAAATTACTGAAACTGGCAAGCACACAGTACGTTGGCACGCTTCTCTTAATGGAAATAATCCTTACAGAACAAGTTAGGGGGGAAGAAATATTTATTCAGCATTAACCATAGTTTATTAACTACAATTTTATCCAAAGGAAAAGTACATTTGGATTGATTTGTTCCTTTGGAAATATGAAACATCATATGTGTAATATCAATCCATTCCATAATTTTTAAGTTCCAACAATGAAATAACAACATGTAGAAATAAACCATGAGTAGATACAATATTTGAGGCATTGTCAAAGATCTTATGCCTAATAAGAATATGACAACAAAAATGACTGCATAGAATACCAGCCAAACAAGAATTTTGTGATGACTCCAAGGGTGGGATGTGCGGTGAAAGATGAAAGTACCAAGCCGCCTCAGTTTCATGCTTGATGTACTTTGTGAAGTATCTAAACTAAGACAATTTGATAAAAAAGGACTATTATTTAGAGATCAAAATTAATGTATTGCAAAATAATCGTTAACTCATTGTAGTTATCAGATACTTAGAAGTCCGAACCTTGTAAGCTTTGTACAGCCATAGTCTTTGCTTCATTTTCCCATGTTCTCCAGCTATATATCTGAATAAACCTCTAAAATTAGTGTCTGTTGTCTAACCACCAAAATTAGAATAGGAAGAAAGTTTGATCATGACTACTGTAACCTTGATAATAGCCAGGGCAACAGTAACAAAGCTGTAGGAAACATGGGTGATTCCAAGAACAAACACAAAGCGATGAAGCTGCTCAAGGCTTTCATAAGAAGCCAATGATTCATGACCCTGTGAAGCAAGTGACCAGTTTCAGTGAAATGTATACCTTTGAAGTCTATTGTAGAATTGAACTACTGATCAGAATGGAATCACCGAGAATGAGTAGTTTGCAAACAATACCGACCAAAGGCTAAAGCATAGCAAATCTACAACTGGAACATCATAAATGTGAGCTGAAATAGATAGGAAACTACCTCAGGACAAAAATTGTGGAGGCCATTGTTCACTTGCTCTTTGGGAACTGTTTTATTTAAATATTCTAAATTCGACCATAAAATACGTTTCACTGTTCCAGAATTCTTTTCCATTGCACACGGAAAAAATCTACTGCTTAATACCGATGACTTAACACAAATCTTTGCCACAAAAAGAATCCAATGACCCATCAGCAATGACAGAAGTCCAAAAAGCATTAGTTCTGCAAATATACAAAATTTTTATAATAGTAAGTTGTACTCGTCCAAACATATATAACAATATAACACAAAAGTGCTAATTGAACCCGTTTGGTATTCCCTAGTCCCTACCTTCTTTGATCTTTTCCAGAGCAGAAAGCAGAGATTTTCTCTTAGTTTTGTCCAACCACTGTGACATTTTTCAATGCAAAAGAAACCTATGAATGTGAGAAATTCAAAGGAGCGAAACAAAAGAATAATATATATACTTATGTTATGTACCTTAACCAATTTTTTTAACGTGCCTTGAAACAAGAAACTAAGAAAAACCAAAAGAGTGATGACAGTGGCGACAGCCCAAGTGGGGGTTTCAGCCAAGGATCTTCCTCCTCCATTTTCTTCACCCATGTCAGAATCGGTCCTCAAAAGAAACACACGGTGTCATGGAAATGATGTGCTTCTCAGTGACTTATAATGGTTGTCATAAGAGAAGAACAAATAAGGCTATTATTGTATGTATGGTCTGTTCAAGGTAGAACATAGTTAGACATTAATATAGTTGGTGATGGCTTTGGTGTGGCAAAATTTGAGACCATGTCCTCAGAAAATTAATAAGCACATGCATCTGTTGCCACGAACCAGTTTGGAATAATGGTCCCATTAACTGATCTCCCAACTCTCTCTAGTTCGGTTAACTAGTCATTTCAAGTTGGATCTGTCGCATAGCCACCGTTGAAGAACATTATGGAATGGTCACTGATTCACCAATACACATGCACAGATCCTACATGGGCTTAAGCTACTTTGGACCAGGGGAAATAAGTGGAAAATAAAAAAATGGTTTAATTATATTTTTAGAGTGTGTTCGAATAATTGCTTGTTTAAATATTTATTTAATAAGCTCTTTTTAAAATGATAACATATCTTAAATTAACGATAACATTTATTAAAATAAGTTTAAAATAATTATTTTAATAAATTATATCAAGAATTTTATTAAAATAAGCTTAAAATAATTTTTGTAAGAGTCATTTTTTTTAATAAGTAATTTATAAGCTCTTTCAAATAAGCATTTAGTTTATATTTATTTTTTATAATTTTTTAATTATTCAAATTAAATATTTTACTCAAAAATTTTATCTAATAATTAACAAAATACAACTAAGATGCAATTTATTGTTGATTCATATAAATTTAAAAAAAAACATAAAATAATTATATTTATATATATTTATTTATTTATTTAAATAATTTATATAGTTTATTAATTTATATAAATTAATAATATGTCACATTTTATTATATTTTCATTAATTATTTAATGAAGTTTAAAATAAAGAGCGTAATTAAAAAATTAAAGATATTAAATACAGAGCATTAAAACTAAAGAAATTACAATCTTACATAAATGAAAATAAAGAAGCTAAAATACAATTAAAATTAAATAAATAGTTTTTGTCAAAAAAAAATGAAAAGGGATTATTCCCAACTAACCATGATACATCACACATATCTGTATCCGCGTGTAAATCCTATATATACCATTTTCATTTCGATTCAGGAACAGTTGGGCCCCATAAACCAAAATCACTAAATCTTGCCCCTGCTTTTCATCACGCGGCAGCGACTGGTGTTATATATTCGTCAACTGTGTTACGTCATTCTAATTCCCAAATACTGCAAAAAAAACTTGAGCAAATTGCTTAAGGTACTGAATCCTTTTTCATGTTAGAACGTGATTAATATAAGTAGAATTTATGATAAGATTAAAAGGTAAACTTAATGATATATATCACAATTGATCAGGGAATAATGGACTAGCGCTAAATACATTTATTTATATATATCTTAGAAAGGAAAATGGTGGATACAGATTTTTGTTGCTTTGCCTTAGTTTTCAACAAATGTATAGAAATATCCTACATGTGCAAATACAATTGGAAAAATAGCCACCCTGTTTAAAATAGTGTGTTTAAGAAGTAGGAACAATGAGCTCTCTGAAGTTGATAGATATGTCATCTCCATCAAGAAAGCATTCAGAAGGAAAGATGAATGATTCTATCTGTAACTTATAGCTCCTCTTTAGGTAATAGGGTCTTCACTGGCAACTTGTTTTTAACCCAGCCCATATAACCTCCTCCCATGTCATTCACATTCTTAAAACCCTGCCAGTTCAAATCAAACCAATACAAGTTAGCCTTTTCATCCGTTGTTTACATAGCAAACCAAAAGAAGTAAAGGAAAGCGTAACAAGCTACATCACATGAACTATATGCTATATATATGAATTTTATACAAAATTGAGATAAATAAGTATGCATAGGGGTAGGATTTTCATACCCAAATGCCAATTCAAATCAAACTAATACGAGTTAGCCTTCTCATCCATTGGCACATAGCAAACCAAAAGAAGTAGAGGAAAACATAATAAGCTACATTACATTAACTATGCTACAGTCATGTTAGATCTTTCATAGCATCTGCTATATATATGAATTAAGAATAAATTGAGATAAATAAGTATGCATAGGGGTAGCATTTTCATGTCCAAACGTCATATGGTTTTGATTAAATGAGGGATTGAGATTCGGTTCAATATCTTGAATATTTTGAAGTTGACATGAATTAACTTACATCAGCTAGAAGATCAGTAGTTGCATACAGAGATCTCACCCCACTTTGACAACCCTGCAACACAGATTTCACACAAGAGGTAAGAAATTTTGCCTTTAACTAGCACGAACCAGTTTAAATTGTACTTTGTATTTTGAAGGGAGAAAAAAATGACTAAGAAAAAAGATAGTTACCACAATGAGGTGATCTTCTTTGTTGCAAGCCGATGAAACCTCCTTAAGAAAGTTCGGGTTCTTCACCCTGCCTAATCTCCAAAATCACATTCATCTTAGAATATGTTATCCTAAATTGCTAACATATTGATAAAACTAAATAGACATGTATCCGAAACTAGTTATTATTTTCTCTCTTACCCTTTGGTGTATCCAACATGTATGGAATGTTAAGGACATTAACTGCATCCACATGCCCCTTCTCGAACTCTTCCACCGTCCTATTATTAACCAAAAGATTTAAGTTCTGTTTAGGAGAAACAAACCTTATTAAACATTAAAAACCCAGTAATACACACATGATGACTTACCTAACATCAAGATAAACTGAGCCAGTGTGAATGAGAGCCTTGGCTGCGTTTACATCAATTGTGACAACCTTTGCTCCTGAGCTACACAAGACAAAAAGAAGAACAAGAAGAAGCGCCGACCAACGAGGAAACATGGTCATATGGTATGATTATGGGTAAGCCTAATTGCAAATGGTAACATGGCCATATGCTATAATTATATTTATGTGTAAGTAGCAAATGGATTTGGGTGGTGGAATTTTATATGTCTGGGTGCTGTGTTGCTTGGTTTAAGTAGTCAATTTTGAAGTTGATGTTGCCAAAAAGGGTTGAATAAAGATGTAAGGAAAATTAATATGCTACTTTTATTGAACCGCTAATGGTTTTTATGGTACACTGCTTCAGCAGCTGTTTCCAACCAGACGCTTTCCTTTTGGGTTCCGGGGAGGGGAGGGTCCACTTTCTTTATTTACACTTACTTTAACAATACCATTATCTTATGAGAACACTGAGCAACAAATTCTATTACCTATCATGAAGATTAAAATATAAAAGATATATAATATTTTAAAAGCCTTTTTTAACACGTGTTTAAGAATTTATAGATAATAGTTTCTTAATTAAATTATTATAAATTAATATATTAATAATATAAAATATTGTAATTTTTAATAAGTATATATTATTTATTATTTTTTTAGTATCTATTCTTGAATGTATATTAAAAAATATTTTTTTAAAAGTGTGTAACTTTTAAAATTGATCATATTATTTTAATTAGTTTTTAATTTACTTTTATTATATAAAAATAACATTTTCATTTTCATTTTCTAATATCTTTCATAACAAATAGATAAATGAAAAGATAAAAATAAATTGATAATGTAAGAAATAAAAAATAAATCAGAAATTAGTGTCGTAAAATTCAAAGAGAAATATCATTACATTTTATTTCCGATTCTAATTAATATTGACTACTTTAAATTATACAACCATCACTCTTACTTGTTGATTTTTACACCTCACCCTTTATTACACTCTTTCTTTCTGATTATATAAACAAATAAAATTGTCACATCTGTTCTATCTCACTTTTCACTTAATTTTGTCTACGCTATTAAATAAAGAGAAAGAAAATAAAAATAAAAATGTGATACAAATATTGAAAGTTTAAAACAAAATTAAAAAATTACATTACAAGTAAAAAGCAAAAAGATGAAAAACAAAAGGTATAATAACAGGCTCAGTTGCTTCATTGAAAAACTTGATAATTGGGACAAAACGTGCTTGCAGCAGCTGAAGGACTTGCATGCAAAACAAAAAGTGTTGAAAGGGTGGGACAACATAGGTTCCTTCCACTTATATTGTTGATTACTCATATTTTGCTGCTCTCTATTTACCATACACATAAGATACGCCAATTTTGTCACTTTCCCTTCTTTTTTCATGATATATTTAGCACACATTCATTTGAGAATGAAAAAAAAGAAGAATAAGAGGCACGGGGCAGAACAAGAACACAGAGAAAGAAGGAACGAAGTTGTCTTGTTTCTCTGATGCCACAAATGATGTAAGATTTTCGTTCTTCTTTCCTATGGATTTTCACTTTTTACATTTGCATTGTGCATGTGAAATTCATGTTATGCCATTTCAAATTTCCTCTGCAACAATAATAAAAAAGAAAGCCCCTCACCATTTTCCACCTCCTCGTTCTCCTGCGAAACCACCATCTTTAACCTCTTCCATCACAGCACCAACCCCTTTTCACCCATAACCAGCTACATGGACGAATCAAACCTGCAACCTCAACCGCAAGTTTTTCTTTGTAGTTAAAAATAGATGCAGGTTCAGTTTTTGAAAAATGAAAAAAGAAAAGAAGAAGAAGTATGATTTCATTTATTTTCGAACTATTGGAAAAAACAAAGAGTGAATAAATAAACAATTCACAAGTAATGAATAAAATTAAGCAAGTAAATTAGAAGTCAGGTTGGGAACAATAAACAATCTTAAAATAGTTTTATATTCAAAAATAAAAAATGACAGAATATAAAATACTATTATCTTATTTAGGTCATTTGACTTATTATTTGATTATGTTTATTTCGATTTTCTGATTTCCTAATATGAGTTTCTTCTTTATATTTGTATAATTTTTTTATACTAACTAATTAATATTTTATTGTAGAAAATTCTCTTTGTTTAATAAATTTGTTCCATCAAATAAAAAAATTAAAAGAGACCAATTCAATTTTATTTTGATTAAAAAATTAATTATGATATCATAATTTATTCATTCTTTGATCTCTCAAATTTCACTTTAGTCATCCTATTTTTTCATATAAATTTCCATGTTCATTAAGATTTTAAAAAAGAAATAATTAAATAAGCTGCAACAATTTGATAATCCAAATGTTTAAATACAAACTTCTATATCTATATAATTATAAATATAAATAAATTAATTTAGCTGTGACAATTATTTCTTCTATAATTTCTAGAGGGCCAGTGAATTATAACGACTTAATATTATGATATTTTTGTCTTTAATTTTGCAAAAAGGTCAAATTCAATTTCATTTTAAAAAGGATTGTTTTAATTATAAGCTATAATAAATTCAATTTTAAAATTAAGATAATTATCAAATATCGAAATATATAAATGATAACAATCCCGATTATACTTAACAAAAGGAAATTGAAAATGCCAAGTATATTTGATAATTATCTTACTTGTAAAATTTCAGCTTTATAGTTGATTTTAAGATTCAAAAAATTAAGTCAAACATTGCCTATGAGCATATGAGTTTCTCTCTGCTCATAAATTTGTACAACTTAAAATAATTTAATTATTTTATCAGTTAAAAAAACTTTATTTTAAAATTTGCTTTTAATCCGATAAAAAAAGTTTAAAAAAAGTTTTAAAAAAATATTATGGATTTTTGTAATAATTCTTCAAAGCAAATTTTAATTTTACGGAGTTCATCATCATACGTTACAGAAGTTATGTATTTTTTCAGTGACTAAAATGGAGAACTATAGGCACCTTCCTTCATGTTTTGATGGCGGAATTGTGTGTGCCCCTCACAAACTCATGTCTGGTTCGTTCTGTTCAACTTACCATATCATATAATACAATTGTCCTCTAAATTTACCAATCAACAAACCTATCTTTTTCAGTTCCCCCAAAGGGTCCACTGTTACCTTTCACTCTGTTTTTTCAATAATGCAGTTTTAAATTCGATTTAATCCAACGTTGAAAGAAATTTTGACGTTGCAATGAGTTGTAATTTGTACCTTGTTTGATGACTCCGCGTAAGAGACCTTTTGTTCTGTAACGAGTTAAAAATTCCAGATCAGAGCCAACGACTAAATTTACTAAATTAGAGCCAACTTTATTAAATGGTTCATTGCGAGATCTCAAAAATTAATTTGCAATGCCATTATGAAACAAAGCAAATTTAATTAATTGTAAGTAGTTCTATAAACGTTGTGTGAACCTTGAAACATGTTCTGACTTTAATAAGCTTTCCTAAACTTACATTCATGTAATAAAATCATCATTTGATTTTCTATTATTTTATACCATTTATTGTTTCAACTTGCACTTTTGGTATCACAATTCATAAACAATTTAGATAGTTCATCTTTCCTCTCAATGTTGACATAATAATCATTTCTTCTAACCTGAACTAATTAAATTCTAAACCTAGGCTTAATCGGAGCTGTGTAGTATTTAATTTGAAAATTTGCAAATTAATAATACTAATAATAATAATAAGTGGGCATTTGCCATACCTCACACGGAATAGTAAAACCGTGTTCTAACAAGGACTTGTGACAAGCAATTGGAGTAATAATAGCAATACTGCCGCCTATCCCCATCAACTCACTCCTAAAAATATATATATTTGACTGAAATAATATTTGACATTCACAATAATGGAATAACACTCTCTCACATAATAATAATCTATCTTCTATGAAATGAGTCCAGAACCTAATGCATGAAGAAAGTGAACCTATAAATAACAAATGACTGGCACCATTGAATAGCCAAATTCAAAGCAAAAGCAAGCATACATAGTTTTCAACATCTCTTGATCTTAAAAGTTGTTCTTCGTTTCTTGTTGTAATCATTATGTTGTTATTCCCTAGGTTTGCAGCAGGTGGAAAATGGCTAGGATTTGTCACAGCCATATGGGTTCAAGCAATCTGCGGAAACAACTATACTTTTGCCAATTATTCTGATGTATTGAAGAGTCTTATGGCTCTAAGCCAGATGCAGCTCAATAACCTCTCTGTTGCTAAAGATGTTGGCAAGGCTTTTGGTGTTTTATCTGGTCTTGCTTCTGATCGTTGGCCAACCTCAGTTATACTCATGATCGGAGCCATCATGGGACTCATAGGCTATGGAGTTCAATGGCTTGTTGTTAGCCAGAGAATCAGTCCACTCCCCTATTGGCTGGTAAACATATATAGCTTTCTTTATATCATAGTAGAATATTCATTAATCATTATTCAGTTTAATGTTATTCCAATGAATCTAACTTTAAGCCCCAAGTCAACGATATAGATGAATAAAGCAACTTTCAATGTCAAATTCAATTTGTTTTATTGCTTCATAGTCTTGAAATGGAATGGTTTTTGAATTGTGTTGCAGATGTGTGTCTTCTTGTGTATGGGAGGGAACAGCACAACCTGGATGAACACAGCAGTGCTTGTGACTTGTATGAGGAATTTTCCACAAAATCGTGGTCCAATTTCTGGTATTCTAAAGGGTTATGTGGGACTAAGCACAGCAATCTTTACAGATATATGCACTGCTTTGTTTTCCTCTGACCCCTCTAAGTTTCTGCTAATGCTTACCATTGTTCCTGCTGTCATTTGCCTTATTGCTGCTCTTTTTCTTCAAGAAAGCCCACCAGCTTCTACTTCTGCTGAAGAGAAGCAAGAAACCCAATTCTTCAATATATTCAACTTGATTGCAGTCACAGTAGCTTTGTACCTCTTGGCCTTTGACATATCTGGTCCTCATGGCCATGTTCTTTCCTCGGTTTTCACAGCAGGACTTCTTATTCTATTAGCCATGCCACTTCTTGTTCCTCTGTACTCGGTCATCTTCAAATCAAGTCCTAATCTTGACCAAGAAAACCAGATTCATGAACCATTGCTTGCCCAAAAAGTTTCAATAGTAAAGGAAGAGAGGCAGGGCCATGAAGTAAGTCGAGGCACCAAGGTGGAGGAAGTTGAAATGAAACGAAAACCCATGATAGGCGAGGAGCATACCATCATTGAAATGGTAAAAACTGTTGATTTTTGGGTATTGTTCGTGTCATTTCTTTTTGGTGTGGGAACAGGATTGTGTGTGATGAATAACATGGGGCAGATGGGACTAGCACTCGGTTACCATGATGTTTCTATATTCATTTCCTTCATTAGTATATGGGGCTTCTTTGGACGCATCATTTCTGGCTCACTCTCAGAATACTACATCAGGTCTGTTCACCATCTTCAATTCTCAATTACATAACATGACTCATTTTGTTATAACAAATGGGATTTCTCTAAATGCGCTAACTCATTGACATTGAATGTTATTATTGCAGAAAATCAGGCATGCCAAGGCTAGTTGGGAATGCTGCTTCTCAAATTCTGATGGCTCTGGGTTACATTACAATGGCTTTGGCCTTGCCGGGGTCACTCTACATCGGTTCAATGTTAGTGGGAATATGTTATGGGGTGCGTCTTACTATATCACCAGCAGCAGCTTCAGAGTTATTTGGTCTCAAATACTATGGTTTATTGTACAACATTCTCATTCTCAACTTTCCTATTGGTTCCTTCCTTTTTTCTGGTCTCATTGCCGGTTACCTTTATGATATTGAAGCCACTAGTGTGCCTGGAGGGGGAAACACTTGCATTGGAGCACATTGTTTCATGCTTGTGTATGTGATTATGGCCTTTGCTTGTGTCCTGGGATGTGGATTGGACTGGCTGCTAGCAGTTAGAACAAAGAAGATCTATTACAAGATCCACTTAGATAGAAGTTGTGTCAATTCCTCTAGTTCAACACTCAGATGATACTCCATTTTTTTTAAGTTCGTAGGCCTACGAAATTTTTTGGGTAGATTTTAGGCTAGAAGATTATTGCCATTATCTGTGAATTGAAGTAGCCTTGAATTGGAAAAATGTAATGTTTGTTTATAAATTGTTCTTCAGATGTGGTTCAGTTGTTAATAAACTGTTTGTTAATAAATTGTTTCATGTTAAAAGATGATGATTGCCAATATCTGTTAATTGTGAAGTGCCCTCGAATTGGAAAAATGTAATGTTTGTGAATAGATTATTCTGCAGATGTGGATAAGTAGACATACTTGGCTATCTTCTAAATTTATAAAAAGAATATGAAATATTAATTTTACTAAAAGCGATCATATTTTTAGTTTAGTTTAAACATTCAACTTAGAGTACTATGTTATAGAATTCAATTTAATTGTGATTTACTGTCGATGTAATTTTTTAAACAATATCATTTTTAACCTTGAGAAAGAAAGTTAGAAGGGAAAATCCGAACCAACGAGACAGAAATTCTATCGTCACACATCTCTTCCAAATCCAGGTAGGTTTTTTCGCTTGCTTTGCGCTTTGATCAAATTCCTAAAATTTGGAGGGAGGAGGGCAAGTGAATTATATTTCTATTTTCACATTATGGTTTGTGACATTTGTTTTCTTATTTTGAAGTGAACTTTACATTTGTTCGATTCATTCTAATTACAAGCTCTAAAATATTATTTTCTTTTAGAATAAGACTGTTTGGTAAACACGTTTTTGAGAAAATTTCTCTTTAAAGGTTCTTTTACATATTAAAACAAATTGATATAAAACAGTGCTGTGACTATGATTGATATTGAGATCAATGATATTTTCATTTTTTGAGAAAATTACATGATGGCGACATTAAAAAGAATATATCATTTTGTATAAGTTCTTTTATTTCTTGAAAACAATAACTCCAACATACGCTACTTGTTTTTGTTGGGCTCAAACAACCACAGTGCCCAAGAGAGGGTTTCTTTTACCCCAAAAAAAATGCATAGGGGCTGGACTGAATGAATGAATGGGATCATTCTCACATGTTCATTCTTTGCAAGGAAAAATATTGTCTCTGAAGTTCAACGCTGTATTTGTAAAACCATTTCTTGAATGAAGTGGTGACATTTGAAGAATTTTTATGTAGGCATTGCGGTCTCACACTCTTGTATGTGTTTATGGTTTAATATTTCTCACTTCGTTTTTAGTATATAGTCTTTTACCTATCACCCTTACCCTTTGTGTTGTGTAATTCCTATTCGTATTTTAATTTGTAATGGTTTTTCGCATTTCCACAATGCTCAAATAAAAAAAAAAGACGGTAATCTAGAAAATCTTCTGTGCATTTCGTAGTGAAATAATGGAAAATGTCATCTCATGCCAAGAACATTTATTTGACAATGCAACAAATATGAGGGCTAGACAAGAGTTCCACGTGAGATGGTAACCATTACCCTTTCTTGTGAATATTTTTTTAAGAAAATCATGCCATGGTTAACAAATGAGGTGCTATATTTATTTCTAGCATCAGTTTCAATTTTGAGAGTTGGATATCTCCAGATATTTAAATTTATTCCCCATTGAACATTCACTTGTGCCTATTACGTAATAATATATTCACATGGGGCTTGACTTGCTTTTTTCTGGTCTTTATACTATATTTTTTTCTATATCCACAAATTGATCAATTCTTTGATAGTAGTATCACTTTACGGAACTCCAGTTTTCATTTGAGGATTTGCTTGCATTGTCATTCCCTTATCAAAAACAGGTTCATCTCATGGTCTTTTTTCTTTTTTTTTTGGTCAATTTAAAGTCGTAAAAGAGGCAATTCATTGCCTTTTTTTTTCTCTTTATGGGGGGATCTTAGGTTGCTGAAGGAAATGGCTTGCATGTATTGTCAATGGTAAACTTTAGGACTCCTGGCCCAGTTTAGAGAATGACCCCTTTTTCGATCGGAATTACCCTCATTGGCCTCTATCCCTTGTTGATTGAATCTTATTATTAGACAACAGATCACATAATAGATTTATATCCAGACACAGGAAATTAAGGATCAAGTACAAACATTTCTAATTGAACAATTCTATTTCTGTTACAATTTCTACGACACTCTTTCACAACAATTTTTTCTGTCTTTCTTCCTTATATCACTCATTCTATCCCATGTTTCTATCTCTTCTCTTCCTATCTATCTCCCCTTATTGTAAAAATTATTGTGAGAACAACATTATTCTTACAAATTTCAAATCATCCTTGCATATAATGTATCTATTGTTTGGAGTCACATCGTTGGTGGATAGTACTATTCTCATTTTACGTCATCCATGCTACTCAAATGAATATGAAGCTAATTACTATGAGGGATGACCTTAATTGGATGAAGATATAAATTTCGGATCCAAAAGTACCTCAAGATTAAAAAAAAAAAAAAACATTTTTAATCCACTTGGCCTTTGCATCCAAGAAAAGTAACGGGAAAGTAGAAGTTCCTTGTATTTGGTAGATGACAGTAGTTAGCACCTAGTAATCATAAAATTCTATGAATATTGTTGCCTTCGTATTACGAAATGATAAAAAAAAATTGATGGCTTAGGTAAATCATTTACCTGTATATCTTTGTTATAAGGGGAGAGGGTTTTGGATTTGCAATTGGATTTTGCATTCAAACTTTGACAGAAAAAAGCTTACTTATCTTGATAGTTGTCCATGAGTAAATAAAGCAAATTTACTAGTGGGATGAAGCTAAACGGTGTCAAAAGCTAGCAGGTCTATTGGCTCTATTAAACTAAAATTAATCCAAGTGGAAGATTGATGCTTGCTTTTATCTCTTGTACGTTACAGCAATGGGATGTGCTTTGTCATTCAGTGAGATTATGTATACATGGACATGACTTGGGATTCTTAGCCATTACGGAAGCAAATATCAACTTACATTTATTGCTTTGTTAAATTTTCTTGTAGATTTCTAAATAATATGATCTCCTGGTCAATTAATGGAGAGTCTGCAAGAAAGAGGGTGCTAAAGACAAGTTAATGCTAGCTTATCTATAACATAATAAGGCTTAGAAAAGTTGCCTGCCCAAACATGTAATGCAATGTAAAACAAATCCAATGTAAGGCAAACTTACCACTAGCCTATTTCAATTAGGGTTGAAAATGAAGTTTTCTTTATTACTACAAAAATAAATGGAAAATAGACAACCACATTTTATGGCAAACTGAATTCTAGTGCTAGAATGGTGTGCCGGAGATTCTGCTGTTGCCAATTGGTAGTTGAGCAGAGTAGTCATACAAGCCATAGCCTAAAAGAACTTATCCATGTCTCATTATTTAGAAAACTTATTGATAAATTAAAACTTAAATTGAAATCTTCTAGTTTTCTTCCTAATGCTACCCTACTTTTAGGCACGTAGCAAATATTTTTCTTTCTGATGGGTGGTTATGCACTCGTATATAGCTAATATTTTGTACACGTTCTACATCTTTTATGCATCCTTTCTAAATAACTACTAGCCAATTGCCTTTGGCGTGAAGAAACAATTGGGAAAAGGTTGAAATTGGAAAGAAAACAACCGTTGAGAAATGGAGTGAAGTCATCTTCTTATCATGCATGGGACCATAAGAGGATTTGTTTCTTTTCTTTGTGGTACTAGTCATGTGGGTTTTTATCCCAAAGGCCAAAAGACCCAATTTGGTGAAAGAATCACTAGCACTCGCAACCCTTCTGTGCGCAAAACTGGAAATGGAATCTCATAGCCACAGGGGGTGGCAATTTGGATCACCCTAGTTTTGGCGTCTCTGCTGTTTTATTTCATTTTCTCATAACAAGTGGTGTCTGAAATGTGCCTACAGAGATCATATAAAGTAAAAGCATTTTTCAACCATCTTGTGTATGTATCACCTTTAGAATGTGATAGCAGAAGCTCTGGATTTTTACAGCTTTTAGCATTCATATGCCCAATTACTTACATAAGGAAAGTGTTAACATCGTGTGTCTGATAATATTATATTATTTGTAAAACTTCAACACATAAATAATTTTTATTTATTAATCTAATTATTCAATTATCTTATATCATATTCATAACTATACATATCAAATTTTATGTAATATAAACATTTATATATGTGTAATTCAAAATTTGATATTTATTTATATTTAAAAAAATATTATACATTAAAATAAATTAATGAAATTAAATGTTCATCTATTTTATTTTTGTATAAAATTTTGTAAGATTGATTTACTTAATAAAAACCTTTCAATTAATGGTTGAATTAATTAATTGTGTATTCTATAAAAAGTTATTTTAAAAATGTTTAAGTTTAACATATGATATCAACTTAATATGTAATCTCAAGTTATTATTTTCAATGAAAATATATATATGATTTAGAGCAAAAATTAAAATACATAGACTCAATTCATACATTTAATGAGTATTGTCATTGATATTTTTATTATATTATACATTATTTAAAATAATAATCAATTAAACAAACAGCTTAATCATATTTCTTCCCCCTAATTTCCTGTCTCTCTCATTCCTTCTCCTAAAAAATAAATGGTTGAGTATGGTTTATAATTATCATTTCATTTCATTTGAATTGATTTTTCACTTTCTGCTTTTCGTCAAAATTGTATTGATTTCAGCCAATTAAATCCCAAAGTTGGAAGGACTATGGTTTATCCCATCCTTTTGATTCCCCACAAATATCTGCCAAATAAATATCTTCAATCTTCTATCTTTAACCCTTCAAGATTCCTATAATTGATCTTAACACTTACCTCCTTCCTTTTCTCGTCTTTTTCTCCTCATCAACAAACAAGTCATTTTATTATTTGAAAAAACAAAGGCATCATTTTATTAGCCAGTTCTTGTTTTAAAAATAATCATCATTTACGCTTTTAAGAAAATTAAAATTTATCAGATGCTTTTCGTTCTAAAAAATTGAATTATATGATTATAACGTTATCATATTTTTTTAATATTCTTTTATTTGACTAAATAAAATACAAAAATATGGTTAAGAATCTTTTTTATTGAGGACATTAGTTAAGAAATTAATAAATAATAATTTTTCATTAAAAATTATGTTGAAATAAAATATTTTTTTACTTTTAATTTTTAACCAATGCTCTTAAGATAATTGCGAGCATTTAAAAAATAATAATAATTACACATTTTCTAAAACCTAAAAGAAACTACAACCTCTCAAATAATATTTATTTTAAAAATATAATACATTTTATTTTGGTCAGTGTTAACAAATAACAAATGTGAAACTAATAATAGTTTCATTATTTAAAACTACTAAAAATTCATATCATTATTTGTGTTTTTTGACATTTTTTTACATATACGTGTTTCAAAAAAAATTGAAAGAAACATTTTTAGATATTTGTTACTAGCATTGCGATTTGATTATATTCTTATAATAATTTTTCTTATACTTGATAATATTAAAATTAAATAAAATATATATTTATTATCTTAAAAAATACAATAATCTTATTAAATAATTAAAATTATATATATTTGAAACTATTAGCAACTAAAATCCCTTGTTATTTCTATTACAATACTGATGTGGCAAAGATTATATTTTCAAATACTTAAATTTAATCTTAAGAATTAAAATTAAAAAAAATCGTGTATATATTTGCTATTTTTCATTTCTTAAAAAAATTAGAGGCTGTGAACGATTATTTCGTAAAAAGATCGCCCACAAGCTACCTCCATGGGGCATAAAGGGCCACATTTTTTGTTTTTCTATTTGGTCTATTGGGTTTTGGGTTGGTGTGATTAGTGATGAAAAGGTGATGGGCCCGAAAACCCACCAATGCTAATCTTCATCAATTTAAGAGACAACTTGGTTGCTACTCGTTCCCACTTGATAAAAGAGAATGTACATAATTATTCCCCTCCCTACCCTACCTTCCAATTCCAAAGGCTCCGAATTAAAGAATTCACCGTACCCAATACAAAAATCAGCAACAAATGATTGAAACGCTTGTATTCCACTTTGCACACACCAATTTAACTACCACTGTAGTACTCGTTTTTGACACTAAATCCATGTTACCATCGTGTTTCTCGATAAGGATGTGTAGTTGAGATGTCACAATGAAATAAACCCATAAACTAAGCCACCAAAAGACACACAATGAAAGTAACAGCCACCAAAATAGAACCCTTTGAACTCAAAAAAGCCCTTGTTCGTGTTGATGCCCCCGTTGCCGTAGCCATATCCGCTAACCACGAAGTAGAAGCTAATTCAGATTGCTCAACCGGTGAACCCGACCCAGTCCCTGTACCCGTACCCGGATTCGTTAACTTTGGAGTCGAATCCGTTGAAGACTTCAAACTACAAAATAATAAACAAACACAAATTCCAACATCTCAATCACTTATTATGAATTATTAACATTTGAGCAAATAAGAAATACAAAACATTAGTAAAAAATTGTTTACCTAGGAGAAGAAGGACAAAATGTAATCGTATAGTCAGCACCAGAACAAGTGAACGTGCTAGTGGCATCATCGTAAGCGTAGCTATACGATTTGGGACATGCGGATTTGAATATTTGTGAATACATAGAAGGCTTGCACGTGGAAGGGTTGCTAAACGCACCGTTGCAGCAATACTCGGGTTTCCCAAACGCGCCGCAAGCACTCTGACAGGCGTCGCCGCCGTCCACCCTCAGTTCCGACGGACACCGCCGGTTGAGATCCGCGCCGCAGCCCGTGGCGGCGCACGAGCCCGAACCGCCGCTGGCGACCACCATCATTGGTAAATTGTAGCCGTCGACGAGGCTCACATCGTAGTAGTCCATGGAACCCGTGCCGAGAGTGAACTCGGCGAGCGTGGCCGGCGGCGAGGCTCCGGCGCCGTTGCAGTTGATCTCGCCGGAGCCGCAGTCCGCGGTGGCGCATGTTCCGCGTCCAGAACCGTCGAATTGGCAACCGGTTCTTCCCCAGAATCTACCGGACCAACCGGTCGGAGCCTGGAAACTTCTGGAACCTCCCTTGGCGAGTTCAAAGCCGGAGCTTCCGAGGTCGGGTTTTCCTAAAATTCCGGGCCATACCGTGTAATCGCACTTGTTCACGAAAGTAAATGTTGCCCCTGAAACCCCTGCATTCAAAAACACGATTCAAATTGGTTATTCTTACGTATATGAATTATCTATCCAATTGTTTGAAACAACAAACACCCATTTTCTTAATTCCATAAAAGAATCCAAATTTACCTTTGAAAACGAGGAAGAGTACGAAGCACAAGAACGGTTGAGAAGAATGTCGGTGATGTGATAAGAGACCCATAATTTGTCAATTAGTCTTTGAGTTATGCAATTGAATAGAGAAAGAGAACCGTGATTGATAGTGTATAACTATGTAGATGATAACAAGTACTAAAGAATAGGTAGGACACTTGAAGCAGAATCTCTGCTTTATCAAGTGCGAGTATTGTGGTACATAAATATAATTACACTCTAAGCACTCTCTTTCTAAGAAGAAAAAGAGCGAAGAGAAGGGAAGGATTAGGCTTAGGAGTGAGTGGTGGGGGGAATCTGAACGGAAACACCTGCATCGCTATTTATAAAGAAGGCATAAACAAAAAGAGAACAGCCACACTTGCGTTTACTGTGGCTGAGTGAGCGAGAGACAGAGTGGGGGAGAAAAGGTTCAAGCCGAGTTTGGACTTTTTTTTTTTTTTTTTCTTTTGTTAGTTAGTGCAGTTAAAAAAATGTTCTGGTGTCGGTCGAAAAATCTGGTGCTGTAATAAGGTTTTTCCTGTTGCAACTGGATGATCTGTCAAACAATTATTCGCTCTCTTCATTGACATATGCATAGGTTTTACAGTCTGAAAATTGCACCTGCAACATTAATATAAATATATATAAATAAAATGTAATTAAAAAAAAGAATGATGAAAGATCATTACTGCACATCCTGCAATTATTTTCTCAATTGGAGAAAATCTAAACTCCAATATCAGTATGACAAAAATTAGTTTAAATTGTTTCTATTGGCATATATTAATGCATATAACGTTACTGTATTAGTATAATAATATTTTTTAATCACATGACTCATTTTGTCAAAGTCTGTAATAATTTTATTTAATTTTTGGCTTCAAAGGCAAGAAAATAAACACTGATTTTATGTATTTGTATTTTATGTCGTACCAGTTGGATCAATTACACAACTCACATATCGAGTTTGCGTCAAGTTTAATTATCTTTTCTGCACCTTTGCTACTTTTATTTCTCGATTCTTTATTATTATTATTATTATTATTACGTAGGCGATCTTATTTCTTTATACCTAAATTATATTTAAGGTGTATAAAAACATATTTTATAATAATATTTATAACCTTATACTTATTAAATAATAATTTAAAAATCCATGATGCATTTTAGCTTAAAAAAAGACACTAACAAAAGCTTTTATAACGAGCGAGTGTTTTAAAAAAAAAAAAAATGGAGTTCATAATTGCGAGTCTAATTGGAGGGCCCGAGGGTGTTAGCATATATGATTGTAATAGCAGCACGGAAAATGTTCCACGTGTTAACGCAAACCGCAAATGCACAAGCCCCCACCGCTTTCATCTTTTGCACCGTTTTTTAACACTTCTTTTTCAAATATATTTTTTATTATTAATTATAATTTACAAAAAATATAAAATATAAAATAAAATTAATAAAAAATATATTCAAATTATTTTTATTTTTTTAATAAATTTAATTATAAACTAAAATTATATATTACAAAATAAAAATGTGTTCTTACGCAACTTTTTTAAATGTTTTCTGGATTTTGGATTAGGATCATGTCCTGTGCCGGGACCTTTATGATAAAAGAAATGTTACAGATGGCAAGAAGATACAAGGTCTTTCTAAACCTAACGGAACAGTTAATTAAAAATTGAAATATGAAAAGTCAGTTAAAATTGTAATTGATAGGATTAAAAATATTTGAAAATTTTATTATTAAATTATTTGAAAATATAAAATGAAAAAATTGATTTAGAAAATTATTTTAAGATAAGTAAGGATAATAGAGTTTTAAAAATTAAAGTCATAAATGGAAAAATTATTTAAAAATAATAAAAATGAATAATTATTTTTAGCTAGTAATTAAAAATATTAATTAAAGTAATGTTAATAAATTACTTGATTCAATTAAATTAATTGCTATCGGCAACAAAAGAAAAAAACTTAACTAATAAAATAAAATTTAAAATTAATTAAAATATTTTTCAAACTAAAAAAATTAAAATACTTTTCTAAACACGTTCTTAGCTTACTCTTACGTAACTTAAGTAAAATAATTTTTAGGAGTACTTGGGACTCAGAAGAAAAAAAAACGCATACATAAATGTTAGCAGAGGTTTGATAAGACAAAAATGAACTATTAAGATAATAAATAGGTATAGTTAATCGTAATTTTAAGCACCCGCACCTTTATTTCTAACTTTTTTAATAAATAAAATTTTTAATTAAAATATGCTAATAAAATTTAGGAAGTTTGCTTTCCGAAATTATACCCAAAATATTAAATAATTTGTTGATATAAAAATATTTATATTAATAATATGTTAAAATTAAATTCTTATATGATATTCTTTTATATAAACTCGCGTATATTTTATTAGCATTATTTTTTAATTTTTTTTCTTTATTTTTTATACACTATTAATAAACAATTCTTGATATAAATTATATGATTTACATATTATGTACAACTTAATCACCTGATTATATTGAAAAACAATCAGTAGACATTCTGCAGAGTGTCTATAGATATAATAAAAATGTAAAAAGATTAAATAAGTATTGACATAATTGAAATGACTATGAATTAAATTATATTCTTTTGAAACATTTTGTTTTTGCGGATGACACATATATAAAAGTCAGAAGACATTATTGGGCCTTCAAATAAGTGTCTCTATATGATCCATTAAAGATGCTTACAATATTTATCTCTCCCATGTCTATATTATACCGATAACATTCTTTTATACATTAAATATTTATAGACATATATATTAATAATTATTTTATATTTAAATTGAATAAAATTAGTTATATTAAGTAACATCATATTAAATTTGATACACCATATATATAAGTTGATATATATATATATATATATATATATATATATATATATAGAGAGAGAGAGAGAGAGAGAGAGAGCTAGAAAAATATATAAAATAACTTTAAGTTTTCAATTTTTTTTGGTGGTGTACGATTTTTAAAAATGATTTTATTTTCCGTCCACGCAAAAATAACTGGGTAACCATGAGTCGAAGGTCGTGATGGTGATCCAGGTAGCACGGTGGATATAGTGTTTGCCACTATCATCTTGAACAGCCCTAATATTTTTTCACAAAATCATAATACTACGTATAAATGAAAAATTGGTTTAAATATATTTTTATATCTATATGTCTCTGCACATATTAGTTAAGAGACAATCAATAAGACGGAAATTTTTCGTATATCATAAGGACCAGTATTTAATAAAATAAAATTATAAAGAAGAAATCAAAATATGCTCAATCATAAAAATAAAAACATATTTCAATCGTGATATAAGTTACATCTAACCCACCAGTGATTTGGGCTTTCTTCAAGTTGCTAACTGAATTTTTAAAAGAAAAAAAAATTGATGCTTTAATATCTCAAGGAAGTGTTTATACCTTTAGAGAAATAAATTTAAAAATGTGAAAAAAAATACTAAATGTTATAAATAATATAATAAAAAAATAAGTAGAGAGGAACATAAAGTAAGTGACAAAAAAATATGTAAATTTTTCATTATGTTTAAAAGGATCATTTAGCCTATGTAAGATTTATTTTGGGTCCATTTATTTTAAATTAAAAACAAATTTGAGTGTAAACCGTTAAAAATATTTAAAAAAATGTATTAATTGGATGAAATTTTGAGGAAGAAAACTCAATTTTGAATAATTAAAAAACTAAAAATATTATACATGAGAATTAAAAATATAAATACATATTAAATTATAGGAAATAAAAGTTACATTTAACTTGTTTGGTGATTGTATCTTAAATAAGCTGGCACTTAAATTTGCTGTTGTTCATATTTGTTATCCTTATTATAGATTTGAGAGATCATATTATACTCTTTTTAAATTAACATTATTATTGTTTAACTATTTTAAAAATTAAAGAATATTTATGTTTTTTTTATAAAATAGACCACTAACTTTTATTATTTATTATACATATTTAATATAACATTAATGGTTATAATTATTCCATATCAATAACATGTTTTATTGCCATACTTTATTTGGAATATCGATCGTTAAACAAAAATACAGACTCGAATTCACGTTAAGACTGTTAAAATTTAATATCTAATCTTTTGAGCTTCAAATGTAGACGTGGATAGATGATTCCCTTCACAATGATTTTCTCCATTCATTAATACTTAAATAGGATAAGTGTTTTAATTTATTTGTATGTTTGTAACCGAGTTAAAATGTAATTCCTGTGGCATTTATTAATTTTTATTTAATAAGCAAAATCCTAAGTAATAACATATAGATATAATGAAAAAGCACTTAGTAAGATTGCCCCCGGCTAGATATTGAATTCCTCAATTCATATATCTACTTGACGTGTGACCTGATCTAAAATCTAAAGTCCCTTTCTGTCTGAAACATCATGCGTGGACAAGACAACAATGTCACATGGTTGATGCTTGAATCACGTCTAAATGTCCCAAAGTCAGTGCCAAACCTTTACTTCAGTATCGTATGTTTGGCTAAGAATTTTTTATGCATGGACCTTAAAACCGCTTTAGTGATGCTTATGCAGCCCTTCTTTATTGGTACGGATCCTTTTCCCGAATTCAGAATCTTCAAATCCTTCAATTCGTTTCCTCAGCGACTATTGGATATATGCCATGTGAAGCTTCGCTGGTGACAATGCCATGTTATGGGCTGGAAACTTCAAAGTTCAAGAGCAAGTTATCTGTGCATTCGATCGTTTCTATTTGTGTGTAGGCAAATGGATAATGGTAATGATCTATCCATGTAGCCGCCTATGATATGTTTTGCTATCAATTTTTATTATTCTCCAACCTAGTTCACTTTAGCTACAAGTGCTTATTAATCTATGGTTTGTGCATGCTTGTAAATGATTAAATTTTCAACGTCCAAAAGCAAACTTTGACCTTTTTATGGCTACTAACACCAAATTTTACCTGCAGTCGGCTTCATAAAGTGGTCAATAAACACGTGAAAGTCAGTGGGTTGATGTGTGCAAAACGACAGAACTAACGTGGTTAAATTGAGAGATGCGTGGATGATGATTGCGACGGGAGTAACCTAACACTATTAGATAATGAAACCATGACCTATTTATAGGTGGTTTGTGACTATAATACATCACCAACATTGTTAAAGTATTTAACTGTAGTCAAACTTCAACAGCTAAAGCAGTATTGTCCGAGTCAACATGTTTTGTTTTTTCTTTTCCTTGTGGTTTGCAATTAATTAGGTCTATGCTGGAAGCTTATATATTTAGTTGTTTTAATTCATCTCTTAATTAGTTGCCTTATAATGTGGTCCCCGCGCGTTGGGTTGAAAGTCTCATCTGAAAAGAAGTGGAATATATATGACGTGTGAAGGAATAAAAAC